AAATATTATTTAACTTAAATTTTGACAATAGAAACGATGTATAAGTTCTAGAATAATCTCTAGTTTCTTAAATGAACTTTTTAACAATACAAAACTTTATAAATTGTTTTTTCTTTGGTAAAGCTCCTTTAAATAATACTGAAAGTAAAATTTTTCTAAAACGGTTACTACGCTTTTTAAAAAATTTTCGTTTCTCTGAATATTAATTAAAAACCTTCCACAAGGCGACCACACGTAAAGTCACAAGATTGTAGTCCCGTAACATACATTCCAATTTGGCACTGAGTGAAATATTGATGCGATGGATTTAGCTGATCTTCATTGTTTACTTTTTTTAGATAAGAGACATTAAATGTATTCGTAGCCTTGTCGAAAATAGGTTTTTGCTCACAAGTTATGGGACATTTAATCTCTAATAATTTAATTTCATCGCTTTCGACGACGATACCATCAAGACTTGCACACAGCCATGGCTGACTTTGAAGAACGAAAAGACCGACTGCGATAACTTTAGTTTTAAAAACTGTTTCACATTCTGATATGGCAACGCGTTTATTTTTTCGACCGTAACTAAAATTTTTTTTTGCTGCTCCAACTAGTTTCACTGGATTAAACATTTCCTTTAAAAGGTTTTCAATGCTTTTTGTTTTGCGACATTTAATTGAATGTGCTTTTGAACTTGCCGAAATTCTTAAAAATCTTGCATCAAACCATTCTTGTGAATTTGACTGATTTCTCGTTCTCAAACAAAGATTCATTATTTCGCTTTCAAACAGTAATATTTCTTGGCGATAAAAATCAAGAAATTTTGCTTCCACATCATCTGAACTGTCTCCAAAATATATAATCATTTTCTAAGTTTTGTCTAAAATTTGCTGAATACACGTATCACAGACTCTATCTTGGCTAGAAGCAACTGCAAGATTAATAAAGTCGCTTAAAATCGATTTAACTATTCTTTCAGATTCTGATTTTTCTTCACGAAGAACAGATCGCAAAGCACACGAGTGATTAAGATCTGAAGACTTTAGATCATATGGAAAACAATTAACATTTTTTTTTAATTTTTACATTTAAAATAGTCTGCAACAGCTAAACCCTTTGCGTATAATTCTTTGCCAATTTGACTGTCTGAAGGTTTTCCCCACTGTTGCTCGAGATTAGTTTTACTGATACTTCTATTAGTATTTATATAATGTATTAATGCAAATATATGTTTACATTTTCCACCAGCCTGTGCTACGCATGTACATGAAACATAAGTAACTTTTCGATTTGAGTCAAGCTGGAAAAAATATTTTAGGTTGCATTTTTTATGGAGGATGGTGAAAATGGCTATTAACATAAACAAAAAATTATTTAAAATTAATTTAAAGTAATTTTGAAAGATCTAGTTATATGCACTTTTTGGAAAAAATTATTTTCAATTAAAATCTTTTATTAGATAATTATTTCTTTACAAATTTGAACTTTTTTCTGAACCAAAAGTTTTTGTTATTTAGTGAAACAATTCTCTTCAACCGTAATTTTTTTAAAGTGTTAAAAATATGTTGTAAAAAAATTAATTATGAAATAAAATTTGAATTGTTTACAATTTTTTAACAATTAAAAAAATATTTCGATTGTAAAGAAAGTTTCTCAAAATTTAAATTAATCCTTTATAAAAAATAGATAAAAAATTCGATTTTTATTTATTCTGAAAAAATGTCAAATGTTAAAAAATAATTACTTAACATAATTTTATCCGAAATTTTTATAACTAAATCTTTAAAAATGGGTTATATTTAGTTTTTGTTTGCATTAAAAATTATTTTTTAATTTTGAGGTTATGTTATATCCTACATTCTCTTTAATTATTTGTTTAAATAAATTATTTTCGTTTATATGTGTAAGTGGAATTTTAAAAAGCAATATATATATATATATATATATATCTTTTAAAATAAAAAACTACCATTAAATTAACTGAATAAGGAGGAGAATTGACAGACGTTTGACGAATCACACTTGCTTTAATTGCTTCACTGATTCCATTAACTCTAAATTCTTCCACCCTGACAACGTGAATCATCGCTAAAGCCTTCCCTTTTTTAATTGTTTCTGGGCGAAATTCAATTTCATGGTTTATTGCAGCAAACCCCGTTTTTATTATAACATTCATATTATTTACATTGATTACTATTGATCTGTCATTATCGTTGTCCAACGAAAATTGCCTAATTTTGCCACATGGAGCGCTGATAGTCATATCCGGCATATATTAAAGGCCATGTCCGTAGCGAATATTAGTTCTATGGTTTTTATTTTTGCTGATGACGTTAAAATTTTTCGACGAATATTGTCTACACATGACGTTGAGCTTTTACAGGATGATCTGAATTCAATTTTCCAGTGGAGCACCACTAACAAACTTTCTTTGAATTTATCTAAATTTCAGGTCATGTCCTTCCATAAGCAGGGAACACTAGCTCTGTTTTCTTATAATATTAATAACACAATTTTAACAAGGGTTACATCTGCCAAGGATCTCGGTGTGTCTTTTATTAGCAATCTCAACTTTACTGACCATATCACGTCGTTAGTTGCTAGTGTCTCAAAGACCCTAGGTTATCTTTTGAGGTCATCTAAGAGTTTCTCAAACATTGGCACTTTTACCACACTTTTTAATGTTTTAGTTAGACCCTCAGCAGAATATGCGAATTTAATATGGTCTCCCTACTAAAAAAAATATTCTGATAGTATTGATAAAATTCAAAAACGATTTCTCAAATTTTTGGCCTTCAAGGTGGGTGGGACCATGGACGTAAGAAGTAAATGGACCCAGCACAAAGTTGCGGGGTGGGGACTCATGTAGGTAAGAGGAGAACTGTTCAGTGCGCATGAATTGGTGGAAATTCTGTGATTGGTCGAACATTGCGTCGTGTATAGCAGACGATGCAAAATGGAAATCGACTATTGTTTGTTGACAATGTGTCTAGCGGTTTTAATTATGCATTCTATTATAATCTTAGAATAAGTAAAACATGGTAAAAAAATATGAAAAATACATTATTAAAACGTGTGAAAATTCTCGGACTATTAAAACAAATGGAAATAAGAAAAATGTGACATATCACAGGTAAGTATTTATCTCGTGTTTCTCTGTTTGTTCACGGTACAGGTTATGTTTTTAACAATTTTTATGTGACATTTTTTAATTATTAATTTCATTATTTATAGAAATAGTTGATCATATTTCTTTTAAATGTATCTATTCATAATTTATTTTTATTAATTTTTTTATAATTCATTTTGTATTATTAATAACATTATTATATCGTGTTATATTTTATTTATTGCATATTGTTTTGTATTTGGAAAATATCTGTTTCATATTAAATATTTACAGAAAAATGTTATTAATTAATTTAATGGACACTTTTTTGAAAAACATATTTTTTTAGATTGAAATTTACGGATTTTATTACAAGTTACTTTTTATAATTATGTTATTCGTTTTAAATTACGCGCGCCGGCGCAAGCGTACTAAACGGCCAATCAACGTACTTCCACCAATGCCTCACCCTTCACCGAAGATCGGTTTTACCCCCCTTGTCTATCAAACATACAACGTGCTGGGTCCATTTACTTCTTACGTCCATGGGTGGGACATACCCTCCAAGGGGATCTGATTATATGTATAATGCTTTGTGAGCGCTTTAATTTTATAACTTTAAACGAACGACGCATCATTTCTGCGGCCATGTTTATCTTGAAAATTATTCAATATAAAATTGATTGCCCAACTCTTCTTGACTTAATTAATTTCAATATACCACGTTTTTTACGTGACGTGACGATATTTTTTATTTTCGTCTAAGTGACATAGCTTTAATAAATAGTACTCTGATAAACTTCGGGTGCTACCTTATTAACCTAATGTACAGATCTTTGAATACTAACACTGACTTAATCTCAGCTAATCCTTCTGTATTCAACGATTTTCTTCTTAAGTACGTCACTAGCCGTCGCGTCGTCAAAATTGATTATTTCAGGGCATATTGCATATAGTTATTCTTATTTTTGTATTTTCGAATTGTTTCACCATAGCACATTTTGTAGTTATATGGTCCTCAAAGGACTGCGGAGATATGTAATAAATAAATAACCTAATTTTACGTGTTATCTAATTAACGAGCCTCGGCAATCAGGTCTAATTTTCTACACGCGTCCGGATTACCGATGCGCGAACGGCAACTTCAAGGCATTCATTTGACATTTCAGTCAGTTGTTGTTTTTGGTTATTTGTGTTTACAAAGGTAGGTTATTTTTTCTGTTTTATTTTTTAAAAAATTGTGAATTGTTTTGCGTTTAAATGTCGCTAAATTGTAAAAAAAATTACACCATTTACTGACAACAGAACAGGTCGGCATTGGTTTGAAGCTTTCCTTCAACGTCATGAAAATTTAAGACAAAGAATGGCCGAAAACGTAAGTCTCCTTCGTGCATCGATAAGTGAAGACTTTATACGGAGTTGGTTCAAAGAAGTCGAAGAATATTTAAATGAAAAAGAGCTTTTAAACATTGATCCTTTGAGAATATTCGATTGCGATGAAACTGCCCTACAACTAAATATAAAAGAAAAAAAAGTTTTGGTAGCTAAAAGGGGGAAAAAATGTTTACAACATTGTAAATAACAACGAAAAAGAAAATTTAACGGTTTTAATTACAGTCAACGCTGCAGACCAGATATGTCCTTCAACTGTAATTTTTCTTATAAAAGGTTTCCAGAAGCAATTTGAACTAAAATGCCTGAGCATTAGGGTCTCGGTCGACCTGAAAACGGTTGGATGACAGGAGAAAATTTTTTCGAACATATATCAACCATTTTCCAGCCTTGTCTTGTTGCAAATAATATTGAAATGCCTTAAAGGCTCGGTAATAGGGTCATTTACCCTAGGTGTCCATATTTTTTTTCACTAAAAAAAGTAATTAAACAGATGTATTAAAGGGGTACTTACAAAGATTCATAGGGAATAACTGGTTCTTCTGTTCGAATTTTCCTTTTTATGACTCTTACTTCGACATCATTGGGAGGAAAATCTAATATTGGTTTTAGAGGATCTCTATCTAAAACAGCTTGATGTTGAAGTAAAAACTCTTCATAGTCAAGAGGTTCTAATACTTCACAGAGAGACATCTTTAACAAAAATAAAATTTCAATTAAATTAAAAATGAAATTAAAATTTTGTATTAAATTATAAATTAATATAAATTGTTAAAGTCTCTTATGGAACATAAAAGTTTTAAGATTTTTAAGTGGCTTTATTAGGCAAGAAAATCACGAATTAATTGTTCATTATGAGCCAAAAGTTTTGAATGTTCAAATGAACGAAATATTATTTTGTAATCTATAAATTATTAAAAATTACGATGGCAATGTAAAATACAACAGTAAATTAAACAATTATTTAATTAATAACTTCGTTTTAGATATTTAAAACAATATTTTGTAATAAAAAAAGTACTTAAAGAAGTTGCAAAAAAATGTCGTTCATTTGAATGTTCAAAACTTATGTCTCATTTGTTTGTTTTAGTTTTAATATTAATGTTATTACATACTTTAATTTTAATAAAAAAATTTAGTTTCGTTTTTAAATTTTTAATTTCTTTTATTAATCCTTCTAATTAAGAAATTATTTTTGTATTACAAAAATTGAGTTTTGTTACAATAAAATTCTATATTTCACTTCTTTTTCTATTTCCAATATAACATCAGACGGATGTTTTCTATGACGAATATGTTACGATATATGCTATATGAGTGTAATTTTTTAACAATACCCAAGCAAAACTTTCTGTCAAACGCCGATATTGACAACAGGCGCAATAATGCACCAATACTGGCTGGCCGACAGTTGACTTACCAGTATTGGTTCAGGTAGTACTAGTAAGGCAGCACCACCTATATCGAAACTAAAATTTTGGAAAATTATTTACAATATTTACTTGAAAGCAAGACAATAAAATACTTCTTCCTTTAGGATAATTTGCATTTGTTAGCAACAGCGCCAATCTCCTCCTGTTGGCAGAATCACGAAATAACTTGTGACATTTATTATCTACCAAATGGCTGTCAAAATCAGTAAAATAGTGTTGATGTGTTATGTTAAAAAAAGTTTTTGTTGTTATTTTCGTGATTGGTGAATCTTTTCTGGTGTATTTTTTTAGTGTTTATTAATTCTCCAAATGAAAATTGCATTCTTTTTTGTTATTTCCGAGAAAATATCTTAAAAGTTTTCGTAAAAAAATATGCTCATTTTTAATTTATCGTCATTAATTTTTTTTCATTGTTTTAACTCAAAAAAAGTTTTAGCTGGTATATTTCTTGACAATAATCAATTATCCTAAAGGAAAAAGTATTTTACTGTCTTGCTTTCAAGTAAATACTGTAAATAATTTTCCAAAATTTTAGTTTCGATATAGGTGGTGCTGCCTTACTAGGACCTACCCTTAAGGCCAGGTCCAAGTGAGGCAGCGCCATCTACATTGAAACTAAAATTTTGGAAAATTTTCAACAGCCTTTTCTTGAAAACAAGATGGTAAAATGCTTTTTCCTTTATGGATAATTGATTATTAGCAAGATATACACCAGCTAAAACTTTTTTTGAGTTAAAATAATAAAAAAAATTTCATGTCAATAAATTAAATATGAGCACTTTTTTCACAAAAACTGTAACAGTACTTTCTCAGAAATTACAATCAAAAATGCAATTTCCATTTGGAAAATTAATAAACGCTAAAAAATACACGACCTAAGATTTACCAATCACGAAAATAAGAAAAAAAAAATTTTATTAAATATTTAACATATTGATACTGCTTTACTGATTGTGACAGCCCTTTGGTAGATTATGTATTTCAGGTGGTTAGCAACAGCGCCAATCTCCTCCTTTCGGCAAATCTGCGAAACGTCTGGTGACATATATAACCTGCCAAACGGCTGTCATAATGAGTAAAATATGTTATGTTAAAATACTTTTTTTTTTGTTATTTTCGTGATTGGTAAATCTTAGGTCGTGTATTTTTTAGCGTTTATTAATTTTCCAAATGGAAATTGCATTTTTGATTGTAATTTCAGAGAAAGTACTGTTACAGTTTTTGTGAAAAAAGTGCTCATATTTAATTTATTGACATGAAATTTTTTTTATTATTTTAACTCAAAAAAAATTTTAGCTGATGTATATCTTGCCAATAATCAATTATCCATAAAGGAAAAAGTATTTGACCATCTTGTTTTCAAGAAAAGGTTGTTGAAAATTTTCCAAAATTTTAGTATCAATGTCGATGGCGCTGCCTCACTTGGACCTGGCCTTAAATTCTGTACTGTGCCAATACTGCAAGCCAATACCGGCATGCCAGTACCAGTACTGTGCCAGTATTATTGAGACAGTAATGGCAAACCAGTACTCGGTCAGTATTAATTCAATACCGAATGCCAGTATCCAGAAAAATTATGAAAATTGACCTCCATGAAGTTGGCGTTGACGCTCAGCGCCAAAAATTATTTTTCACTGGACCAAAAATGTCAAATTATTTTTTTTTTTTAAAGATTTTCGGTTCAAATATGTAATACCTTAAGAAATACTTTTTAAGGTATTATGTGAACCCAAAACTTTTTTTAAAAATGATTTGTTATTTTTGGTCCCGTGAAAAATAATTTTCGACGTTGAGCGTCGACCCCAACTTCATAGACGTGAAAATTGTGTATTTTTGTTGGTTAAAAATTAAATTTACATACATATTTTTTTAAAATTATTTTAATAATACTTATTTTCGATTACTGCAATGCGTTCGTTAACGGAATTATGAAATTTAAATTTAATATTAAAACTTTTTAATAAAAGAAATACATAATTAATGAAGTTCTCGAATTATTTTTCTTACACTGAAAAAATATATTTGAATCAAATAAACTCTATTTTAACCAATAATTTCATTCAATTTCGCTAATTTAAAGAAATACAAATTAATATATATTTTATAATATTTGAAGAAATTATTTGAATAATAAAATAAAGAGTAAAAATGTTAATATAAAAAAATAACAATTTAAAAGTTATTATAATAATTTATTATTATTAATAGTTAATGCTTTGAATATCTACCAGTGCTAACTTATTACTGGTTACTATAATTTTGCCCGTACTGGCAAAATACAGAATTACTGCTAAATTCCAGTATTGAACCAGTACTGAACGCCAGTACTAAGTTATTACTAATGACTAGTGCTAATAAACGTTATCATCCCAAACATATGCCAGTATTGGTTCAATATTGGCGGTCAGTACTTTGCCAGTACTGGCGCAACGCTGCGCCGGTTGTAAATTTTTGCTTGGGTAGTACTACTGTAAGAAAAGTTTACAAATAATATTGATATTAGTAACTAACCGTTGAAGAAAATCCAGAAACACTGCTTCCACTTTTGGATAAATTCTTCGAATATGAAGTTGAAGTAGCAATCTGTCGTCGAACATCGGCTGCATGTTGCTTGTTCAATTTTTGTGCAAAAGATCGTTGAACAGACGACATAATGCCTTATTATTTAGAAATAACTGAAAGATTATTTATTTTATTTTATTAATTGAATGGCACGACGCAGAAATAAAAATAAAAAACGACTCTAAAAAATTAATTTATTAATTACTAAATTGTCAATTCTCCCAGATCATTACTTTTGCATATCCTCATGTTCCTCTCAATATTTTTAATAATTAATAAAATTGTCAATGTATATTTCATTAGTTTATTACTTTTTCTCAAAATCCTAGAAGAAACAATTGTACATTTTTTTAAAAAAATTTAAGAAAATTGTTCCTTTTTGTATCACATATATTATTTAGCATACAACACATATTTTTTAAACATTTGTTTTTATACCAAATAAGTTCGCTTCGAGTACGGAACCCTCGTTGTCCGATTTTTTTTTTATTTACATCTTATCAAAATGAATCTTTGTGGAGAATCATGTAAATAAAGAAATAAATCATAATTAACTCTTAACGGTCGCACCTCTTTTTGATGTTTTTGTTGAAAAAAAAAGTCACAACTTTTGGGGCAAAATTCCTCAACTGTTTCCAATCCAAAAATTAATTTCAGTAGATTCCTCTAAATTTCAACTGAGCATAATTTCTATAAAACTTGTTCAATTACACTTTTATTATAGGGTTTTCAAAAGGATTTTTTCTCTACTTTAAGAATATGTAATCCAAATTTAAAAATTTTTCCTTTTAAAGCGTTTTTTCTTCAAATTTAAGGAAAAAAATTAAATTTTCGATGTTTAAGGCCGTTTAAAAAAAAATTTTTTTTTTTTTGTCTCAAAAAATAGCATTTTTTGTGTAATTTAAAAATCACTTTTTGACAGAAATGGGATCTGCTTATTTTCAAAGTCAAATTGGATTTTTTTTTACATAAAAAATTACAATTTTTCAAATTTACCCTTCAAAATCAGCTATTCCCATTTTTTCTTCTCCATGGTGTTAAAATACACAAAAAATGATATTTTTTGAGACAAAAAAAAAAAATTTTTACACGGCTTTAAGGATTGAAAATTGAATTTTTTCCTTAAATTTTAAGAAAAAACGCTTTAAAAGGAAAAATTTGGATTTCATATTCTTAAAGTAGAGAAAAAAACCTTTCGAAAATTCTGTAATAAGAGTGTAATTGAATAAGTTTTATAGAAATTATGTTATTGTGTTAGTCAAAGTTTGATTAGGACAATCAAAATTTTGTTGAAGCAGCACAAAATTTTTGTTTGCTTAAATACCAATCAAACGTTTTGTTGTCAAAACCAAACTCTTTTGTCAGTGTAGGAATAATTAAGATTTAATTTAATTTAAGATTACCAAATCACGTCGTTTAATATCTTTTTTTGTATTTTTTTTTTTTGAAATTCTTAAATTTTGTAGGTCCTAATTTCAGAATTATTTCTTAGAATTTTATAATTAATTTGACTTTTGTACGGTTTTGTCCGAAAAGTAGCTAAAACTTTTGTGTGTCTGAATTATTCAACAATTTAAGCAAACTAAAATAAAATAGGAGTATTTTTTTATTTAATACACAAATAACAGTAGAGTATTAAAAAAAATTGTAATGATTTTATCATTTAAAATTCAAAAAATTCAATAACTAACTTCAATAAAAAGTGCTTTGATTAATTTCAAGAATAGATAAAGTGCATTTTGTTTCTTAAAACAAAAATAAATTGTTTTCAAGAGGCATTTAAAAATTGATTTTATAAATATAGAAAAAAAAACAATAATTTTAACCAAATGCTTTTTTAACAATATTAATTATGGATTTACAAATTTCTAATTTTTTCTTATAAATCATACCTTAGTTTTAAACTTGGAAGATTTGCAATTCACTGGGTTACATTTCACAAAATATATTTTACAAAAACTAATTTTGTATTTTGTTAGATTTCATTTTGTAAACACAAACAAGGTTATAAAAGATAAATACAAGATGAAGTAGAACATCCGAAATATGAACAATTTTATGGGATGAAAGAACTCCCCTATTTTGACACTCCTGGTAAACCAGAATTAAGAAAGTTTAAGGTGCTTATATACCTCAAATTTCGATCAGATGAACATTATTTCTGGACCGTGAAAATGCGTGAAAAGTCATTTTCACGGCGGGTATTTTTGAATTGTTTTAAACAAAAAATGTTTTTTTTAAGAAATATAATATTAAATAATTGTTTTAATATGTAAGAACACTTTAAAATAGTGATAAAAAGATGATTTGATTGAAAAATTTAGCAAATTTTGCTTTAAAACGTTTCTGCTACAAGAAAGTGTAAAATGTCGATGTTTGTGAAATGGTTTGTACAGTTCACATGTGTACATGTTTCTTTCAGTTATTCGAAACAATTAGTTGAATTTAAATTTATTTGATAAACATTTCAACTTACCGATTTATTTTCAGCACTCATTATTTATTACAAGTTAAAAAGAACCGACATAACATAAACAAAATTCTGAGAGACACTAACAAGGAAGAAGCACTGTACAAACCATTTCACAAACATCGTCATTTTACACTTTCTTGTAGCAGAAAACGTTTTAAAGCAAAATTTGCTAAATTTTTTAATCAAATCATCTCTCTATCACTATTTTAAAGTGTTCTTACATATTAAAACAATTATTTAATATTATATTTCTTAAAAAAAACATTTTTTGTTTAAAACAATTCAAAAATACCCGCCGTGAAAATGACTTTTCACGCATTTTCACGGTCCAGAAATAATGTTCATCTGATCGAAATTTGAGGTATATAAGCACCTTTAAAATTATAAGCTGCTAGAACATCCGAAATACACTCGTGGACAAATATACGATATATGCACACTTTTTGTCCTTTTCTAACACACGTGTTACCGTGACAACATATGTGTTAGGCCGTTTCCGAATTGGGATTTTTAGCGCAGTTTTGATAAAGTGTATACTCGGGAAGTATGCAGTGTCCTTTTTTTAGCACGGAAAAACAAGGACACTGCATACTTGTGGTTCGAAACACCGCCACTTACGTCGCAGACGCTCGTGAGCCGTTCAAGGCTTCCATAATGGTGATTCCACAAATGGAACGCGCGTCTGACGCGCGACAATTGATCGTACGTATACGGAGCAGTATACGTTTTATGCGAGAGAGTCCGTCTGTTGAAGTACAGCAAAGTACGCTCCGTATACGTACGATCAATTGTCGCGCGTTCCATTTCTGGAATCACCATTAGGCCGATTCCAGAATGGAGACGCAAACGCTGACGCATCCCAATGCTAATTTGAATGGGGATGCGTCTGAGTTTGCATGTCCATTCTGGAATCGGCCTTAAATGGATACGTTACGTTTACGTTCATGCTTTTAGTCTATTGTTGACACAACCTTAAAGTCAGTTCTACAATGGGCACGTTTATACGTAAACGTTCCGCGCTGACGTCACCCATATGCATAACATTGTGACGTCAGCAGGTACATGTTCACGTTCGCGTACTAACGTTCCTAATGTAAACTCAGCTTAAGATTAATATTGTGACGTCATACGTCAGCACATACAAAATTCATCGCTCGCCAAAAAAGAAGAAGGTATAAAAGCAATTGTGTCTACGGTTGATTTCTATTGTTCTATAATTTTCATCAACTACCGAACCCTGCTCTAGTGAAAATTTAGTAACTTCTAATTTTAACAATAAAGTCACTAAATTTTCACTAGAGCAGGGTACGGTAGTTGACGAGAATTATGGCGAGTGGGGACAATGGAAACCAACCCAACTCTGTTAGGATCCTATTGGAGAAATACCTTTACATTTCCGATTTAAAGTCGTTTCTACAATGAGCACCTTCGTACATGAATTTTTTTTTAAGGCCTTTCTCCAAAAGGATCCTAAACTCTTGCGTTGCGTATGCATTGTGTGACTGACGCGTTGATTTTAGCATTGGTTGCCAATAGCAACCGACGCAATGCATACGCAACGCAAGAGTTTAGGATCCTATTGGAGAAAGGCCTTTATGCTGATTCCACATATACGAAACGCGCGCGTTTTGCGCTGACGCGTGTTGCTAGCGACAAAGTGAAATACGTATTAAACTATACGTATATCACTGTGGGGGTTGGCCAATGGATGTCTCTGCCATTGGTCAGTACCCATGTGCTCTCTCACAAGTGTAGATGTTGCCTAGCGTGTAGCATATATACACGATCCAACTCTCACTTCCCCATGGTCGTATAAGGCAGGTTTCCCACTACGTAGCCTTACTGATGAGTCTAGTAGTGGGGACCGGGACGAAACGACTAGTGACTTCCAAGCTACCCTAAGGCCCTCTCCAGAATGGAGCTAAACGCAACGCAAACGCGACGCATCTCAATGCTAAGGCTGCAGTCCCATGGCAGCGTTTTGCGTTGCGTTTTGTCACTAGACCATGAGTGTAAAAGAGATGCAGATATATGTTTGCTATGTTTACACTCAGGGTCTAGTGACAAAACGCAACGCAAAACGCTGCCATGGGACTGCAGCCTAAGCAAATGGGGATGCGTCGCGTTTGCATTGCGTTTAGCTCCATTCTGGAGAGAGCCTTATGGGTAACAACACAGTTGTTTCCATATCACTCTATCGCTAGCGTTACGCGTCAACAAATACGTATCCCACTCCGTCGCTAGCGACACGCGTCAGCGCAAAACGCGCGCGTTTCGTATATGTGAAGGTGGTTCCAGAATAGGTGCAAAAGCCAAGTACAAATGCAAGTCCAAGTGGCAATCTCATGAGTGCGCAGGGGATAGGTAGTCTATCTCTCTTGCAATCATGGGATTTGCATTTGGACTTGCACTTGTACTTGGCTTTTGCACCTATTGTAGAACCTCCATGAAATCAGCATCAAATGGGGATGCGTCGCGTCAACGCTGCGTTTACCTTGCGTCGAGTCCATTGTGGAACCAGCCTGAATAGGGATGCGTTTGCGTCTGCGTTGCGTTTGGCTCCATTCTGGAGAGGGCCTAGGACACAACCTTAAGGCCTTTCTCCAATAGGAACCTAAACTTTTGCGTTGCGTGACTGACGCGTTGATTTTAGCATTGGTTGCCAATAGCAACCGACGCGATGCATACGCAACGCAAGAGTTTAGGATCCTATTGGAGAAAGGCCTTTATTGGAACTTGTCGTGTGACGTCATACGTACACGTTAGAACTGCCAATTGTATACCCGACTTAAAATTAACATTATGAAGTCAGTACATACCTCGATTTCGTTTGACCCGTAGTGTAGAAAGACCTTTATCGTGTGTTGTCAAAATTTAACATGTCGCTCTCTATCTCTGAAAACTGAATTATTTATGGTCATTCTACTGAGTTTGTTTACCAATTTTAACATTTCTGACAGTTGGCAAAGCTTTAAGTCATTTAAGAAGAAGTTTACCTACATTCACTACACTTGTCAATAATATTTTACTTAATTCTTGTGTCAATTATTAATTGATACTATTTATTACGATTTCTCTATAAAAAAACAAGGTTGTAAATTTATTTTCTTGAAGTAAAACCCTCATCAAAGTATTGAGAATCAGTAGCATGTTTTTCAAGATATTTTCCTTATAAGTCTAAAATTATGCTATTATAATTAAACAATTTGTGTCTCAGAAAAAACTTAAGTAAGAATTTTTGAGTGATAAAATGTCAGCACCAGAAGCTATTCAGGTTAGCTCTTTGCCAATGCCACCAAGTCAGTATGTGAGTTTGTATACTGACGAAAATGTTCGACGAGGAAGAACACCTCGTCCTCCACCACCAATTCATGATACTTACATGATGTTTGGAAGTAATTTTAATATGGATGATACGATAATAAGACCACTTGAAACACAAGGAATTAAAAGGCTTTATCCTCAACATTTCGATAGACGAAGAGAATTAAGAAAATTAAATCATTCGTTGCTTGTCAACTTTTTGGATTTAATTGATCTTTTAGTACAATGTCCGGATAGTCCTCGAAGAGCGGAAAAGGTAATATAATCAAAAATATTCTCGAAAAATGATTCAATGAACAATTTTCTAATTATTTAAAAAATTACGTTTTTTATAGTACTTTTTTGAAATAGTACATTTTTATGGTCATATCTCTGGAACCTTTAACATTTCAATAAAAAAAATTTTTTTTTTTTTTAAGCACAGTATTGAAACTCTGTCTAAATAAACTTCAAGAACCAAGCTTTTCAATTAAACAAGTTGACAAATAAAACGAGTCGTCTTCAAAAAGTTATAAATTTTTAAAATTGCGAATTATTTTTAACATGTAAAAAAAATTCAACAGGTGTTTGCTTTTTAGGATAAAAAAAAATTTGAAAGAAATTGACTGAGGGTTTATAATTTTAAGAAGACTTTCTGGTTTAAAATTCAAAGAATATCGATTTTTTGCTTGAAAATGTTTCTTAGTATCATAAAATTACTGTTCCAAAACGTTTTTTTTAATATGTAAAAAAAAACAAAAATTGTTTGATAGTCCTAGCTCAATGTATTATGTTAAGAAAACTTTAAACACGTTTTTCTCGAAAACACATTTTTCAAACTGGTGCACGGCTTTTCTCGAAATCTATCGAACCTATTTTAAAAAAACCAAAGATAATTCGTTTCCTTATTTAAAAAACTAAAGAATAAACCCTTAAAATTTCATATTTCTACCCCCTATTTTTTTATACAGGGGTAAATTGACCCAAAAACACGGCGTTTTTACGAATTTTTGAGAAAAATGTACATAAAAAATTTAAAAAAAAAAAAACCTTTAAAAAATCGTTTTTTAGGTTTATTGGGGGTGGTACGAATTCAACACAAATAAACATATAAAATGAAAATAATTAAATTCAAAACGAGAAAACTTTACACAAGAAAATACTGCACCGCTAACTGTACACGAGTCAATTCTCAACAAAAATAAATAAAAATATATTCTATACAATTAAATACTAAATCGAAAAACCCTACACAATAAACTATTAACTAGAAAATTATCTCCATAAACTCTACACAAATAAACTCAACACATTAAGATTTAAAATTAGAAAAATAAAAATATTTTTTTTATAATTCTACACAAATAAATATTACATTAGTAAATTCTACGCAGCTATAAAAAATAATAGATTAAATTCAACACATGAAAATAATCTTTTCTTTTGTGTCGAATTTAATTTATTATTTTTTATAGCTGCGTAGAATTTACTAATGTAATATTTATTTGTGTAGAATTATAAAAAATTTTTTTTTTCATTTTTCTAATTCTAAATCTTAATATGTTGAGTTTATTTGTGTAGAGTTTATGAAGATAATTTTCTAGTAAATAGTTTATTGTGTAGGGTTTTTCGATGTAGTATTTAATTGTGAAGAATATATTTTTATTTAATTTTGTTGAAATTTTGAAATTTTGTTGAAATCCCTGACTTATAAAAATCATTTCCTGATTTTACTATAATTGTTATTAATAACAAAAAATAGACTATTATTGAAAGTTTTATATATTCTTAAACTTGTTAAAAACAAATTATTATCATTATTTATTACGAAACTTCGTAATAAATTTTCAAAAAACCCAAATATATTAAAACATAAATATAAAAAAAATTTAAAGCTTACAAGTGTTAAATTAAAACATTATCAATAATACTTTTTTAATAATTGAATTAATAACAAAAACATTGCCATAGTTATATAAAAAAAATTGATAGTTCTGATAAAGTTTAGGAATTAAATAATTAATTGATAAAATAAATAAATTTTAAGAATTCATAAAATGAAAGGAGAATTTGAGAGGGAATAATATTTAAACATATCGAAGTTTTTAAAGAAGAAAAATCAAAGAAGACAAAAAAAAAAGAAAATTTCAGAAAAAAATAGGAAAAAAAATTAATAACTTGAGAATTTTTGAAAATTAAAAAAATTTAGAAAATTTATGGAAATACAATGTTGAAGAGAAAATTGGAAAGAAAAATCAAGAATTTTCAAAATAAAAAAAAAAATTACGGGAAAAATTGTAAATTTTTTACTAGGGTAAATGTACTAATTACGGCGGGATTCGAGTCAAAATAACTTTCAAATAGAAAAGTCGTCATTTTTTTAGATATTAAAAAAAAAATTTAACTTTATAAAAATCGATTATTTAAACAAATATGAAAAATTAAAAGTAATATCGTAATTTTCTATTACGGCGCGTTTGTATCAATTACGGTGACCGATATTACGTGTATTTTGAAGATACTTTGCCCGCCGTAATTAAAGTCAATGGAAATCTTAAAAATGTTTCAATTACGGCGAGGAAAAAATGTGATCTTAAATAAATTAATAATTATTTAAATGTGCATTTTTATTAGTAATTGTATCAAAAAAAAAGATAAAAATAATTTTTTAAAATCATTTAGCAACAGTTCTATTAAATATAATAGTAATAATTGTTATTTTTTATGAACGCATCGTAATTGATGTATTTACTCTAGTTTGTAATAAAAAATTTTTAATTTACAATAAATAAAAGGAAATTTAATGAAATCAAAATTTTTAGAAAAAAAGAAATTAAAAGAAAATTGAATATTATTTAACGGGACAGAGAAAAGGACGATAAAACAAGAAAACAAAATTAAATTTTTTTCTGTGAAAAGTATATAAGTCCGATTTTATTTATATTTTGGAGAAATGTTTTAGAACCTCAAAGTTTTTCAAAAATATTGTTTTATTATTGGTTTTTTAGTTCTAACAATTTTTTTAAGTGTTGAAGGTAAAAAGGAGGCGCATAAATATTCCCCAATTGACATATAACAGAATTGTCATTTAACCGAAACGTATATACCAGAACTGTCAGAAGTCCGATATGACATATAACAGCTTAAGAGAAAAAAAAAATGTATTTTAATAAGTTCTATAACTTTTGTTTGAAAGTTTTTTTTTTAATTTTGCATATTTTACTTAATAAACGAAAAAAACCATTAATTTTGGGACTTTTTTTTATGGTTTTCACCATAAAAATCAAATTTTTTGGATATTGTCACTATGATTTTCGTAATCAGCGCATCAAAATACATAAAAGTACGTAGTATAAAAAAAAACCAAAAATATTTTTAAAAAATTCAAAATTTTTTGAAAAAGTCCGAAAATATTGTAAAAATTGTTTGCCCATTATCGGGCTAGGCTTAAAAGTTTCATAAAAAGAAGTAGTTTTTTTGAAAAAATGTTGAAAAAAATCAATCAGTACGTCAAATGAGAAAAATGACTTTTTATCATTAAAATTCAAAAATTTGATAGTAATATCGTTTAAAAAAAATTTCGTTTTTTTTTTTTTTTTTTTGAAAAGTACGTTTAAAAACACACATTTTGAAAAAAAAAACTTTTAAAATTGATGCATTTTTAAGGAAGGGTTACCAGCATTCAAAAATTAAAAGTAGTCATGAAAATTCTCCAATTTTCAAAATTCCATAACTCAAAAACGGCTTGCTAAAAAAATTTGAAAAAAATCATGGAAGCTAGTCTCAATTAGTACTAAAAAAAAAAAAAATCTCATAAAAATCGGAGATGCAATTGCAGATTCCACTTTGGCATGGAATACATCATAGGGGCCATTCATTAATTACGTAAGGGTCCTTAAGGGGAGGGGGGGTTTATAAAATTTCTACATGGTCTTACGTCGGAGGGAGGGGGGGTAGAAGCTAATCTTACGTAAGATTTTGCCAAGTATTTTCCATTTGTATTGTTGTTATTAATTTTACAATTACATTAATATTGTTAAAAACTTACGTAAGAAGGGGGAGGGGGGGTCCGAAAAATCTTATGTATTCTTACATGGGGGTAGGGGGGTCAAAATTAGCCAAAATCGTCCTTACGTAATTAATGAATGGCCCCATATATATATAAGAAGTATTAAGAAATTTTTTATACATTTGCAGGTTGAAGATTTAAGTTTACTTTTTATACATATTCATCACTTATTAAATGAATTTCGACCTCATCAAGCGCGAGAAACCTTAAGAGTTATGATGGAAGTACAAAAAAGACAAAGAATCGAAACTAAAGAGCGCTTTGAAAAACATCTCGATAAAGTAAGTTCTATTTTATGTAATTAAATACAATAATTATTCCATCACAGTACACAAAAACTAATTAATAAAATATATATAAAATAAATAGTAAAATAATATAAATTTCCTAATGATTTTATTAATTTGTTTCCCTATATGATTAAGAAAAAATTTGTGTATAAGGGTGATTCTCTCAAAAAGGACAAATTACGCTTTTAAGATATTTTGTTAAAAAATATGTAAATTAATTGAAATTATTTAAAATTCTGTCAGCCATACGTTAGGATTTAACAATTTTCAATCGGACCACTAAAGAAAATTTTAAAAGAAGGTAAAATAACTGAAATATTGAATAAAAACTGATGTTACGGAATGGAGTTACGGAATGGAGTTTTAACACTAGTTTTCATTCAATAATTCAGTTGTTTGCCATTTTTTTGAAATTTTCTTTAGTGATCCCATAAAAATTTGTTGAATTTTATCGTATGGCTGGGAGAATGTTTATTAATTGAAATTAATGTTATTATTTTTTAACAAAAACCTCGTCCAAAATTGTGCACAAATAATTTGTTCTTTTTGAGAGAATCACCCATAAATATATAATAAATATAAATATAATAAATTTTTTTTATTTTATAGGTTCAGGAAATATTGAGCCACGCTTTACAAATTCTTCCCGATATGTCTGAATTAGATTCGAAACTTGGAATAAATACTGATATTATGGAATCTATGGATACGACAGGATCCGACCAGGAAGGATTCGACTCTTGCAATATTAAAGATCGCATTATGTGTAACGTAATTGATGAACTGCTTTTATCTAATAATTTATATTAAATTTTGTAATCGTTAAAAATTTATTAATTATACACTATATATATATATACATTACTTTCCTCTTTTATAAAATTATTTTTTTCAATTTAATTTCGTTTTTGGTCAACAGAAATTTAACTTATCTAAAGAAAAAAATTATATTGAAATTATATTTGTTAATAATGATTTTTGTTTAGAAAAAAAGTTTATCTTAAAAAAAGTAAAAATAAAAAACAAAAATTATAAAACTAATTCTGGGTATGTTTAGGTTATACAGAAAATGAGAAATTTGGTTATTCAAAATCTTATTTTATTTTAAATAATTTATATATATATTTCAGTCATATTTGTGAAATTTTTATTAAAAAATATTGACTAACATCTAATTATTTTATGCATAAACTTCATTGAGTTCGTCGTCATTTTCCACTTTTATAAACTGGAAATCCATTTTTTCAAAATTATCAACTTCCTCAGGATAACTGAGCGGGTCATTCATCTAATGAAAATTAAATTAATACATTTTGTTTTTTTTTTTTTTTTGCATTTATTCGTATTTTTCCAAAAGAAAATGATTTACCTCTATATTACTTGTATCATGTATTCTTTCAATACATGAACTCGACAATTTGTACCAAATTTCAAATAGACTTTCGTCTTTTATTTCCCCTTTCCATTCAGGACTTTCATTTTGCCTGAAAGTGTAAAGCTTATCTTCACTTATCAAACTTTCTAAAATTTGTAAACGCTCCCAATTATTATTATCATTTGTATATTCAATTGCATTTTCATTGCAATTAGAATCTTCGGTAAAATTTGTAGAGTCAACTTTTAAAGGATATAATCCATATTCCATGAAACTAGTTGGTAAAACTTCTTTCGCATTAAGAGTGTCTAACGTTTGTTTGAGAACTGAAATAAATTGCTTTGTTTTTGTAAAATCATAGGTAACATTAGTTTTCACCTCTTTCCATCGAGTTTCGAAATCATGAAAGAACGATTTACACAAAGGAGTTAAAATATTAGTGGCGTCTGGATGCAATGATATAAGTTCAATTTCATTTTCTGTACAAAATTTGCTAATATCAAATGTCAATTGAAATTTGTGACCATCGATATATAAAAGTACGGGACGTTTTACTCTATTTCTAGTTAACCAAGGATCAAATGCATTTACAATAAATTCATAGAAATTTTTTGATGTCATTGATCCATTTTCACTATAGCCGAAAGGAAATTCAGTTGGTATTAATGGTGCAGCTTTTTTTGATAATGATTCTTCAGGAAAAAGAATAAAGGTTGAAGCAAGCTCACCTGCGGCATTACCTGCTATTAATATAGAAATATTTTCTTTCTTTTGGTTATTGTTCACTGTGTTATGATCAATTTTTGATCCTTTTGATGAAAATTTTGGCGGAGTTTCCGGATTCAAAGGAAGTCCTATTAATATAGATATTACATTTTTAATATAAACTTAAAATTAATCAAAAATTTATTATTTTATAAAATATATTAATTTAATAGAGAAAGGTAGATTATGCATTTAGAGACCCTCTAATTATGCGCTTAAAATATGCACGATTATGCGGCATTATGCGCTAAAATTATGCAATTAAAAAAAGTTTAATTTTTCAAAATTATGCAGCGTTTAAAAAAATTAATTTGGAATATGTATTTTTAATCGCTATTTTTTTTATATCAAATTCTAAAAATCATGTTAACATGCCAAAACTAGTGGCTTGAACTAATGAGTTAAGGACGTTTATCCATGGAAATGCAGACCTCTAGAAAAAAATAATTAATTAACATTTAAATAATTAAAATAATATTATTAATTGTACTTTCTGAAAGATGAGATATTAATTTTCAAGAAAAAAATTTTAAACCTGCAAAATTTATTTATTTATACAATTTACATAGGAAAACTTTTTTTTGTTGTATCGATTCTACAGAATTTTTTAAATATAATTCGATTTCAATGAAATATGGCTTATTTTCTTCGGAAAATGATTCTCTACAACTTCACCGTGGGGATTTTTAAACAAGCAAGCCATTTATCAAATACGGCTATTTGTTTTAAAAAATTCAAATTTTTCTTTTCAACAAATAGCTGTATTTTCCAAACGGCCTGCTTGTTTAAAAATCCCCACGGTGAAGTTGTAGAGAATCATTTTCTGAAGAAAATAAGCCATATTTCATTGAAATCAAATCATTTTTAAAAAATTCTGTAAAAGCGATATAACAAAAAAATTTTTTCCTATGAGTATTCATTTATGATTAATTTATGTAAAAAATTTTTTTAATTTAATAAAGAGACTAACAAAAAAAATTTTTTCTCGGTTTAGTTAAAAAAGCACTATTTTGGCAATTTTGAGCCAAGTATGCGGTCATTATGTAAAACAAGTTGTAAATTCAGATGTTCATTACATGAACATTTTGCTTCCTCGTGGAGAAAGCATTAACATTGAAATAAACATACAAAAATAATATAATAATATAAAAATTTAAGTACCTATACATTTGAGTTAAATTTAAAGAATTAATGGAAGTTAAAAAATCAAAAATTCACATTTTAGCTGAAATTTATAAAAATTATTGAAAAATATAATTTATAATTATTTACAATAATATCGATTCGTTTCAATTCAAGGAACACAATTATTTTATATTTAAACTTGAATTTAAATAAATACAAAATTTATCAGCTAAAATGTGAATTTTTTATTTTTTAACTTTCATTAATTTATTAAATTTACCTCAAATGTAAACTTTATATATCCCATTCGATTTGTTTTCATGCAAGGAATACAATTATTTCATCTATAAACTTAAATTTAAATAATCACAAAATTTTATAGCCAAAATGTGAATTTTTTATTTTTTAACTTTCATTAATTCTTTAAATTTAAATTAAAACTATACTTTATATATACCAATCGATTTGTCTTGACGTAAGGAATACGATTTTATTATATATAACCTTAAATTTTTCTATTTAAAAATTTTTTCGATTAAAAAAAAATTTTGGAAAAAAGACGATAAATTTTTTTTTTTGGGTATTTTTTAAAATCCTTTGGTCAGTTTTCAGATATTAATATGATAAATAAGCCTACCAAATTTTATCTAAATCCATTAAAACCTGTTAAAGTTATCTTCTAAACAAAAAAGGGATCCACACACACATACATACATCCGGACATTTGATCAGGATCTCATATAACATGTTTCTATATATAGAAAAATTTGTTTCCGCCACTTTGAAAATTTTTATAAACGAAAGGAGTACAAAGCTTCCTCCACGAGGAAGCAAAAAGTAAACTTATGCAATGACATATAAATTATGCAATATTATGCGCTTTAAAAACGTATTGCAAAAGGTCCAAAATACAAACTAACATAATAGTATTATAGTTTTACTTGATTTTAGAAAATAATGCAATTATGCGATCGCATAATCTACCCTTCTCTATAATTTGATAAATTTTGAACATTTCATTCTATTTATTTAACTATTGTTAAAGGGTAACAAATTTTCAAAACTACTTTTTACATTTTATTTTTAAAAAACAAATTAAAATATGACGAGAATTTATTCGTGTATAAGATCAACAAAATTTCTCAAAACTTTAACATTAAAGGTAAAATTTTCCATATTTTTTTTTGTATTATAAAATTAAAGTCATTACATTTCTATATTGTTGCATTCTACGTGAAGCGGACAACCCTGATCTTAGTTTGTTTTTCAATATTACTTTTAAATATTACAATTCTATTAAAAATCCATTAAACAGAAAAAAATAGATGTGGATTTTGTAGTAAATTTAATATCGTTTGATATTGTAGTATTAATTTTGAAGATTAAATTAATCTTAATTTCAAAAATTGAAAAACAAAGATCTTTTGAAATTCAATTAGTTTTAAAAATTTCAATTTAAAAGCTTCTAAAATTTAATTATTTCTAAAATTTTTTGAAATTTTTATAATTTTAATTATAATTCTCCTGAAATTCAATCATTTTTAATGATTTTTTATAATATTCTTCGAAAATTCAACTATCTAAAACCATTTTTCACTTAAAAAGTTTTCAAATTATTGTATTTTTGTCTGAAATTTCTAATAAATGTTTTAGTGAAATCATCAAAAATTTTGAATTTAAAAATCACTTGAAGTTCAATTAATTTCAAAAATTTCAATTGTATATCTTTAAAAATTTAATTACTTTTAAAAAATATTATCTAAAAGTTATTTGAAAAATTATTTTCAATTCTGTAAAATTTAATTATATTGTCTGCAAATTAACAAAATCTGTAGAGTAAGGATTTCCCCTTCCGGAATGTTTAATAAAAATTTGAGAAAAATTCGATCCTTGGAAGGAATAAAATAACATAAAAATTGTATGTTATTAATATTGTTTATTGTCACAAAACAAGAAACAACGTTTCGATGACTTGGTTCGACATCATCTTCAGGTTAAATTTACAAAAAATTAATTGAACCGTTACATCTTAGCGTTAAAATTTTATTTTGCACAGACTATGCTGGCACGTTAGGTTTTTAGACCGGTATCGTCAAGATTAACAAATTTAACCTGAAGATGATGACGAACCAAGTCATCGAAACGTCGTTTCTTGTTTTGTGACAATAAACAATATTAATAACATACAATTTTTATGTTATTTTATTCCTTCCAAGGATCAAATTTTTCTCAACTTTTTAATTAACAAAATCATTTGAAATTTAATTATATCTAAAAATGTTAACTTTAACTATTCAAAAATTATTTTTTTGACCATCAAAACTAAAAAAAACTATGACAAAATTTTTAATTCGATTATATTGCTTAAATCAGACTTGAAAAAATTATAAAAATGGAACTTTAAGAATTTTTTCAGAAATTTGGTCTATTCAAATAAAATTTTGAAAATTTGTTTTTTAATTCGATTATGAAATAGAAATAAATTTTCTTGATAATATTCATTATAGAATTATTCTCATTACAGAATTAATAAAATGAATTTAATATCTAATAACATTAGTTATTTAAAGTAAAATATTTATTAACCAATTAAATTTTGTTAAAATAAAAAAAACGATTTTTTTTTTAAATATAAATCGACTAAAACGACTTTTTTTGTGTCTTGAAAGTCGATCCGAGGCCTGGAAATGTGTAAATGAATTTACTTGATTTTTTAAAATGAAAAAACCTCAATTTCGAAAAATTGGCGCTTGTCCCCTTTTGTCATTCTACTCTTCAAATGTATCTGTGGTAAGTTAACGAAATTTCAATATTAAGGGTAGGTCCTAGTAAGGCAGCACCACCTATATCGAAACTAAAATTTTGGAAAATTATTTACAGTATTTACTTGAAAGCAAGACAATAAAATACATTTTCCTTTAAGATAATTGATTATTGTCAAGAAATATACCAGCTAAAACTTTTTTTGAGTTAAAATAATGAAAAAAAATTAATGACGATAAATTAAATATGAGCATATTTTTTTACGAAAACTTATAAGATATTTTCTCGGATATAACAAAAAAAAATGCAATTTTCATGTGGAGAATTAATAAACACTAAAAAAATACACCAGCTAAGATTCACCAATCACGAAAATAACAAAAAAAAACTTTTTTTTAACATAACATATCGACATTATTTTTACTGATTTTGACAGTTATTTGGAAAATAATATATTTGCATTTGTTAGCAACAGCACCAATCTCCTCCTCTTGTCAGAATCACAAAATAACTTGTGACATTTATTATCTACCAAATGGCTTTCAAAATCAGTAAAATAGTGTTGATGGGTTATGTTAAAAAAAAGTTTTTGTTGTTATTTTCGTGATTGGTGAATCTTAGCTGGTATATTTTTTAGTGTTTATTAATTCTCCAAATGAAAATTGCATTCATTTTTGTTATTTCCGAGAAAATATCTTAAAAGTTTTCGTAAAAAAATATGCTCATGGGGCATTCTATTTAAAAATTATACCCCTAGTAAACAATTGACAATATAAGACATTTTTTAAATAATTATTTCTCCCATTTAATTAAATATTCTATTTTTTATTTCCGTAAAGTTTATAATGGACATTTTCGAGGATTTCGAGAAATTAATTAAAATTCTCAGACGTTTCAAAGGTTAAAAAGGGTTGAAATTTGCATGAATAGAGAACCTCTGTTAAAATACAGCGGCATTTGTTTTTACGAAATTTTTAAATAAATAAATTTTAAAACTTCAATTTTAATCTTAATAATTTTTTTAAATTTGAAAAATTTTTAATTGCAAATAGCTAAAGATCAATATATTTAGTAAAATCTCTCTAACCTGAGTTTAATTTTTATAAATTTTTCTGAAATCAAAATACCACAATAATAGTTTATGATGATGTAATAATGTAAGGTTAATGGAAATTAAATTTAAAAAACAAAATCCGCTCTTAAAGAAATGGTTCTCCATTCATATAAATTTCAATCCTTTTTAACCTCCGAAACATCTGAGAATTTTAATTAATTTCTGGAAATTCTCGAAAATGTCAATTATAAACTTTACGGAAATAAAAAATAGAATATTTAAGCTTTCTTTTGACATAGATTTTGTCAAAATCGGAGACAACGTGTTTTGAGATATTTATAAGTTTAACCTTCAAACTAAATTTTTTATGCTAATTAAACGTTTTTTTAAAAAATTTTTTTTACAATAATAAAGTTTAGAAATTTCTCTTTCGAAACCACTCATTGCAAAAGTAATTTGATTTAATTAAATGGGAGAAATAATTATTTAAAAAATGTCTTATATTGTCAATTGTTTACTAGGGGTATAATTTTAAAATAGAATGCCCCTCATATTTAATTTATCGTCATTAATTTTTTTTTCATTATTTTAACTCAAAAAAAGTTTTAGCTGGTATATTTCTTGACAATAATCAATTATCCTAAAGGAAAAAGTATTTTATTGTCTTGCTTTCAAGTAGGGTCAGCCGGGGTAAATCCGAACGCTAATTATTTCAGCTTAATTAAAATTTTAAAAAATAAGTTAGACATGAGAATATTTACCTCAGATCCTCTTGAAAAGATTCTAAGTATTATCCCATTTTTCGTTTGTTAATTAGCAACAGCATAAACAAAGATAACGAGTATTGCAAAAAAGATTGAAAATCAAAGATGACACTCTTTCAGTATTTTGTCTCGTATTTGAAGAAAAAGATGCTAAAATTTCGTTTTATTATTTATAATTGTTGGTTATGAATACTAGAACAGAAACTATTTTTCATTTTTGCCTTCTATAAAATTTTATTAATAATATCAGACCGCACAGTGGGCCAGGATCGCCGATTTTTGGCCAAAAATCATAATTTTCAAACTAGGAGATATTTACTACTATCAAGTATGCTACCTTATGTTTTCGGGGTCGCTGATTATAAATCTACAGTTAATTTTTAAGAATTTAAAATTGCTGATTAAATATGGCGGTTTTAAAAAAAAATTATTGGGTTGGCTTGAAAATCGTTACTTAAGGGTTTTTGGTGTCGCTGATTTGAAATCTGCAGTCAGCTTTTAGAAACTCAATAAAAAAAATTCTATGATCATCATACTGTATCCACCATTTTAACTTTTTAAAAAGTGACATCGAATTCGTGATCAGCGACCCTGAAAACCCCTGAGTACCGATTTTCAAGCGAATCCGATGAATTTTTTAAAAAAAGTCCCCCATATTGGATCCGCCATTTTGAATTTTTAAAAAATGACTACAGATTCGTAATCAGCGACCCCGAAAACCCCTAGATTCAATTTTTAAATTTGATGTCCGCCATATTGGATCCGCCATTTTGAATTTTGTAAAACTAACACCGGATTCGTAATCAGCGACCCCGAAAACCCCTAGATTCAATTTTTAAATTTGATGTCCGCCATATTGGATCCGCCATTTTGAATTTTGTAAAACTAACACCGGATTCGTAATCAGCGACCCCGAAAACCCTTGGATACTAAGTTTCATGAAATTTGGTTAATTTTTTAGATTAAAAATGTAATTACAGTATGGACTCAATGTGGGGCATGCGCACTATTGTCTTTTTTTCATAAAAATATGAAAAGGCGCATATTGGCATTATTGTTTATATGCTGAAGAATAATTATATACCTTACTTTTTGTAATTCTGAGCGGAACAAAACGGCACGATCAATTCAAAGTCAGTACATTCTCAAAATATCTGCTATTTGTTAACAACAATGACGCTGTATTTTAATAAAATTATTTTTTTTAAACCAGTTATTGACTCTTTTCACTTAAATATGTCTATAGATGAGAAAAAATAAGCATGGAACTAAAAATAATTCATTAATTTTTAGATATATTACATATTTCAAAAAGAAACGTATTATTTTTTTAAGTTGAAAATCAAACTTTAACTAATTGTACAAGACGTAATTTTTAATATTTTTACATATAATTTATGTAATGAATTCTTGAATTACTATAGATTACAAAGGGACAACTCTTTACTACTTATTTAAAAGTGAAAAACTTGGATTTTTGGCCAAAAATCGGCGATCCTGGTCCACTGTGGACCGTTCGTATTTACCCCAGAAAATTGGAAAACCGGGGTAAATGCGAACGGTATTTTCAATAATTTTTTCTTATTTGATTACACTATTATTTTAACATTATAAAAGTACATAGAAAAAAGTTTTTCTTTCTATATGTATCCTCGTTAGTAATTAATAAGCAGAAACTTAATCTCTGTTCTCTCGAAGGAGTGTTCCACTTTTTTTTAGGATGTTAATAAAATTTGGTATTCTAGGGTTCTTGGGGTCTCTGATTACCAATTTGAAGTCAGTTTTTCAAAATTCAAAATGGCGGATCCAATATGGCGGACGAGAATTAAAAAATTAATTGAATCCACCATTTTGAATTTAAAAAATTTGACTTTTATTTTTGTATTTACATTCAATCATTCCAAAATACTTTCTGTAGCAAGTTTTGCAAAAATCCGTTATGATTTGATAAAGTTATTGAAGGTTTTAATTGTGTAATGCATTTTAATTTTTAACCTGTTTGATTTTTGTATTTATATATGATGCATTATTATCGTATTTTTTTGAGTTTTTATATAAGTTTAACAATTGCAATACTTTAAATTTATTTTCCCTAAGATTTTTCTGAAATACAGTGGCGTTCGTATTTACCCCGGTATTTTAGGAAAGTTGCAAAGTATTGAGGTAAATACGAACGCTAAGTTTCCTGCGATTGTAATTTATCAAAAAATTTTGCTACTCCATAAAATTGTTCTATGGAAGTAAAGTAACAACTTCATGCACCAGAATACCGGAAGTATTGTCTTTTTAAAGAAAAAACTTATGTTATTGTTGAAACTTACTAAAAGCGTTCGTATTTACCCCGGCTGACCCTAAATACTGTTAATAATTTTCCAAAATTTTAGTTTCGATATAGGTGGTGCTGCCTTACTAAGACCTACCCTTAAAATCTGGTTTTATAATTAATGTTTTGAAAATTTGAATCCTATAAAAATATTATATGGAATTTAGAGAAAATAGGGTTATAAAATGAGGCATTTATTGATATTATTACCTATTTCATCACAATTAAAAATTCTGTTTGGTTCAATTGACAGTAGATTAATAGAAGAAAGATTTCTTGAAATTTGCTCGAACCACTCTTCTAAACTTTCTTCCGTGACATTTGCTTTATTTATAGAACTGTTGTCAAAAAATGATTTTGATATTTGAGGATGACGTTTTAAAAAGCCTTCAAACCAACTTCTACCTGGTTTTCCATTACTAAATGGAATTTCTCTTTTTATCTTTTGACAAATTACTTCAACACTTTCGAGTAATTGATTTTTTGTAACAGGAAAACCTCTTTGACAGCAGAGAAAAATCCAATTGGCAATTTCATCTTCTTCCTGTGTAGTAAGTACAGTTGCTGGTCCAGGTTTTTTATCGGCATATTTATTATCTCTTTTTGAACGAATTGTCGACTCTGGAACATTGTATTTTCTTGCCATTCCAGCAACAGACATTCCTTTTTTAACCTCCTCAACAGCTAATAATAAATTTTCTCTCGAATATGTACATCTTGTTATTTTGTTTGTTCTTTTAAGAGTTTTTGCAATTTCACATGATTTCATGAATGCACTTTCAGTATTTACAATTTTTGGCATTTTTATGTATAATTACATAAGTTATTATATCTGATAATTGAATTTAAAACATAAACATAACTTATCTATATTTAATGTTGATTAGTTTGTACTTAACTATGACCTACTTCACAATGCAAACATTTTTTAACATCTTTGGTATAAAAAAAACAAATGTTTTTAACATGTTTTTTTATCACTGATGTAATCTGTACGGAAGCGCCTACGAGTCACCAGCGAACTATCTTGTTCGCGTCACATTTTTAGCTGTGAAACCGAGGAACGCGTTCGATGGTTTCGCTGTTTCCTTGTTTTTGAGTGACGATAAAACACACTATACGGTTCGATAGTTCGATGGTTCTCTGGTTTTACTTAGTTCTATCGTTATCGAAGTCTAAATTTTGTATTAAAAAAATAAATTTAAATTTAAAAACCGAAATATAATAATATATTTAAATTATATATTTGAGATATATCAGATATCTTATAATGTGTCCCTAAAAAATTATTTTATTTAAAAATAATAGTACAAAATATTAATAGTATTGGGATCGGCTAAACTGCAATACGCCATCTGGTGGGGACCCATTCTCTCCCTCCATTTTCTTTCTTTGTCTCTCTTCAATTAATAGGTTAGAAAGAGTAGAAAAAACAAAATGGAGGGAGAGAATGGGTCAAAGTTACTAGATTGTTACTAGACCACCGTTCCCAATAGTACAAATATAAAATGCAAACAAATCAACTTACTTCAAAATAATATTTTGTACTATTATTTTTAAATAAAATAATTTTTTAGGCACACATTATAAGATATCTGATATATCTCAAATATATAATTTAAATATATTATTATATTTCGGATTTTAAATTAAAATTTATTTTTTTAATACAAAATTTAGACTTCGATAACGATAGAACTAAGTAAAACCAGAGAACCATCGAACTATCGAATCGTACAGTGTGTTTTATCGTCACTCAAAAACAAGGAAACAGCGAAACCATCGAACGCGTTCCTCGGTTTCACAGCTAAAAATGTACGGAAGCCTGTACGGCTCACGAGCGTCTCGGACGCAAGTGGCGGTGTTTCGTACCACAAGTGGCACGAAGTCCGTCCAACTTGTGGCAAGTTCGTTAGTTCGTGCCACTTGTTGGACAGACTCCGTGCCACTTGTGGAAAGTGGATTTTTTGAAGGGTCATTCACAATGACAATGACAATTCCGTTGGATTCTGTTGCCGTCTATTTCGTCAGTGCTTTTCATTTCAAGTATAATTTCATCCGGGCAAGTCCGTTTAATGTTTTTGAATAAAAATGAATTTGTTATTTTTTAATTGAAAATATATGTAAAAGATTACATTTCAGTGTAAACAAATGATATTGATATCTTTATTAATCTTAAATATTCTTAAAAATGTACTTTTAATTTTAAAAAATAAAATGCTCTTCATGTATTTTAAATTAAAAAATGACAACATAACCAAAAAATCTTATTTTTATTCTAAACTAAGAAAAATTAAAAAAACTAAGAAAAAACTTTCGCTTAATTCTTAGTGGAATCCGTAGTTTATTAATATGTATATTTACGTTTGGAAGGAGTATTTATGTGTGAACTATAAAAAGTTTGTTCAATGACATTTACTAATATGCTAAGGCTGCAGTCCCATGGCAGCGTTTTGCGTTGCGTTTTGTCACTAGACCATGAGTGTAAAAGAGATGCAGATATATGTTTGCTATGTTTACACTCAGGGTCTAGTGACAAAACGCAACGCAAAACGCTGCCATGGGACTGCAGCCTAATATTACTAATATCTTATAAAATTCATTTCTTCTTCTTCACATGAAATTGAAATGAAAAGCACTGACGAAATAGATAGCAACAGGATCCAACGGAATTGTCATATTTGTGAATGACCCTTCAAAAAATCCACTTTCCACAAGTGGCACGGAGCCTGTCCAACAAGTGGCACGAACTAACGAACTTGCCACAAGTTGGACGGACTTCGTGCCACTTGTGGTACGAAACACCGCCACTTGCGTCCGAGACGCTCGTGAGCCGTACAGGCTTCCGTAAAAATGTGACGCGAACAAGATAGTTCGCTGGTGACTTGTAGGCGCTTCCGTAAATCTGTCACTGAACTTCAGGGTTTGGAAAATCTTTGTTATATGCCATGGATGAGAATGTGACTTACGTACGAGTTACGTATAGTTAACATATAACTTACAATTAAAGCAATATTCAAGTTTGAAATTTTGAATATTGTATTTTTATTAACAAAATACAATATTTATAAAGTTAATTAGTGTAGAATAATAAGTATTAAAATAAACATTAAGATAAAAATAATCATTATCGAAGTAATGATAAATAAATAAAGGAATAATGATAAATAAAATTAACAAATTAATTTAAAAAAAAAATAATAATATATTATTATTCAATACTGATTATTATTTTACAAGTTATTAGTAATTAATTAATAAATAAATTAGTACATACTCAGAAAGAGGTTTTTCTGCAGTTTCCCTCTTTCTCTAGAAAATTGTTCTAGGCGAATGCGAGTATGATAAGGGTCGATGCAATAATTGAGTCTTGATAATAGATATAGTTAATAATAATTAATAAATACAATAAATTAATTAAAAAACTTTAAATATAATTAGAAATGATTGGTAAATAAAATAATCATTAATAACTATTATTTGGAGCATACATTATAATAAAATAATAAACCAATAATTGATAATTATTATTTTTAAAGAATAAATTATGACAGAATAAGATAAAATAAGTATTAAATTCTTTAAAATCCTTAAAAAAGGGATGAATCATGAAAATAAATAAGTAAAACGAAAAAAAAAATAAAATAGAGATAAAGAAAGGAAAATGAATCATAAAATCATGGAATAGTATAAGGAAACCGAACATAGAGATATAAGAAACCGAACGACGTACATTGATGGAGCGGTCACACCTCGGCTGCAGGAGCAGTTGCCCATGGCAATACCGTGTAAGAGTAAGAGAGATAGAAGATTTTCCATCTCTCTTACTCTTAAGGCGCATTCAGACCTCTCGGCTGCCTGCCTGCTGCAGTTACCATGGTAACATGATAAGAGTGAGTGAAGCAGAAAATTTAAATTTTCCGTCTGTTTCACTCACTCCCATTATGTTACCATGGCAACTGCAGCAGGCAGGCAGCCGAGAGGTCTAAATGCGCCATTGGCAACTGCACCTGCAGGCGAGGTGTGACCGCTCCATAAAAGTGGACCACATTTTGGTAACCGCTTAGTGTGATGAAAATACGTAATGGAACACAAGCGTTCTCGTGGGAAGTTGTAAACAGTGGGAAAAATTAGAAGTACGTTGAACATAACCCAAAAATACATTGCTCCTTATTTTTAAAACTTTTACAATAACTGACTGTCCAGCTAAGTTTAATACAATCAGTGGCGCTAGTGTTCCATTACGTATTTTCATGACACTAAAGGCCTAAGCAGAATAGATTCTTGAACGATTGCGTTCCCGTTCAAGAATCTACTACTCGATGCATAAAATTCTCAGAAAAAAATGAAATTACCGTTGAAAATAAATAAACTAAGGCTGCAGTCCCATGGCAGCGTTTTGCGTTGCGTTTTGTCACTAGACCATGAGTGTAAAAGTGATGCAGATATATGTTTCCTATGTTTACACTTAGGCTGCAGTCCCATGGCAGCGTTTTGCGTTGCGTTTTGTCACTAGACCATAAGTGTAAAAGAGATGCAGATATATGTTTGCTATGTTTACACTCAGGGTCTAGTGACAAAACGCAACGCAAAATTCTGCCATAGGACTGCAGCCTAAGGCGGAATTATGAGAAAAATAAGCAATATAACTGAATATAGAATAAATTAGAAAATTAAGAAAAGTTAAACGTTGAATTATGAAGAGAAAATGCGCAATAAGTGCAGGTGTGTTTTATAAAAAAAAAATCAAAACAAATATGACGGTTACAAGATGTTCGTATTTATCAAGCCTAGTAATTGTTGAGGGCGGAACTAAAGAACTGCGCTTGCGAAGCAACGGGTCAGTCACGCAACGCAAACATTAAGCCCTTTCCAGAATGGAGCTAAATGCAACGCAGACGCGACGCATCGCAATGCTAAGCAAATGGGGATGCGTCGCGTTTGCGTTGCGTTTAGCTCCATTCTGGAAAGGGCCTTAAGGAACATATTGGACAAAGGCCTTGACAACGTAAACTCCGGCGTAAAAGCAGAAAGCATGAGAACAAAAGAGATGAACATATATCACTATCTCTTTCGTTCTCATACTTTCCGTTTTTACGCCAGCATTTCACACTTTCATGGGACGGCGCCTTCACGCTTTGGTTGGTTTCCATGGTCCCCACTCGCCTTTCTTCATAATTCTCGTCAACTACCCTACCCTACTTTAGTAAGAATTTAGTGACTTTATTGTTAAAATTAAAAATAACTATAAAGTTACTAAATTTTTACTAAAGCAGGGTGCTGTACTTGACGAGAATTATAACAAATAACGAGTGCAGACCATGGAAACCAATCCCGCAAGGGTTGTAAATAAAGCCTAATATCACATATCGAATGCTCTGCGACATTAAAAGTGACACAGTCTAATATATCACTATCCTCCTTACTCTCATCATTATTCAATTCAATTAAATCTATATTAAATCTTTTTAATTTTGTTTGAAAATCGTGTCATTAATATTAATTACATGAAATTCTATTTTAAATTATTACTTGTTCACGATACTTGATAATCACAATGATAACGATAATGATTCTCTATTATTATTAAAGATCAACGCAGATTAGCTTCGCGATAGGCATGCACGAGCGTGGTTCATGAGATAGAAAAGGACACAAGTATATCTCTGTTCTTTTCTAACACATGCATCATGTTCGCGAACGACTGTCGCGAAACTATTGTGTATTGGCCCTAAACCAGTAGAAGAATCGAAAGTGGCGCCATGAAGCATTAACATACTAAAAGTAGACTATTATTACGGTATTGGAATATGACTGTTGCTTTTTTCAACAACTTGGTTACAGATTGTAGAATTACATATAAATAATAAAATATCATTTAAGTGAGTGACACGTTGTTCCAGTTTGAATCAGTTAGAAGGAATTTATTGTAAGTTTATATGATTAATGTCAATCTTTAATTATTATAGAAATAGTTTTCAATATATTTATTATTAATAATATAATAATAACTATCCTAATTAATAATCATTTTCTTGCTCCAATTAATTGCAATGTTCTTGTTTTGTTGTAATATATTAATCATATCCAAACAATTTAACATTAATATTATTTTAGAAAATATCTACTTTTAATAATTAATATTTTTTTTTTTTTTTGTATAATATTCATTATATTTTTAGCATAAATATAATTAATATGTTCAGCTATTTTTTTGTTGTAACAATTGAAATTATTATATTGTTTCATCATCTTATTCGTGAAACAAAAATTCTTTATAAGATCACCTGATCTATATTACTAATTGAATCAAAGTTTCACACATTTATGCCGCATTGTTTTATAATCCTATTTTATATTTCGTTTATAAATGTATGTAGTGTGTATATTTTTTTTTATTATGTACATGAACCATGACGTATTTATTAATCTTTAGAATGAATCTTATTTTGACATGTACATACGTGGTACGTAATATTAAAAAAGGTTAGAATGTTTTTATTTATAATTTCAAGTATTTCTTTTATACAAAATAATTTTTAATTTAAAAATATTAAGTGCACTATATTTTTAAATATAATTCAATTAAAATTATTTCTACATTATGTAAATTCTAAACATTAAAATTAGACTAAATAATGTTAAATTTAATTTTTCTTTAATTCCTACGTGGTTAAATTTTACATTTGAACCCCTAATTTACGGTCCTTGATTCTATGGCTAATGACAATTTTGTAAATAAAAAGAGGGTCATGATCAATGGGCAAGAAGGGAGTAAATTGGTTTGTATTTTAAATCCAGGGGCGTATGAAAATCGGGTAGCTTACGGGGCCATACAATAAATAAAATGTATATTTTTTTTATTCTTTTGTTATTTTAAAAAATAAATTTAATATACGATATAAAGTAAATAATTCAGAGTAAAATAAATTTAAAATTTTTAATGAAATTGTTTTATTAATTATATTAATATATGTGACGCTCCACGAGAGTACATGAAAATTAAGCCTAATATTATTTCGGAGATAGGTCCCTTCTCTCGTGGAGCGTCACATATAATAATTCATAAATAATTTTTAGATAATTTATTCCTTGTATACCTATATTATCAATAATAAGAAAATTTGGTTTTTAAAGAATAAAAATGACGATTAAAAATTTTATTTCTAATTATCGAATTATTAACTATTGATTATTATGGATAATTGTTTATTCCATGATTATTATATTATATATTATTAGCGTTAATATACTTAATAAACTTTTATTAAATTAAAAAATACTTGACGCAGTTATTTACAAATTTTTCGTTTTAACAGCTGTGCGATTCCAGGTGAGATTTTGACTTTTTCGGAGTAGGTTAACCGATTGCAATGAAACTTTGGAATTTTGTTATATATAGTAAGACTAGTCTACTAGTTTTTAAAATGTCAAGGAAAATGAGAGGAATAAATCTCTTTCAGAACAATTTTTTATAATTTTACAACAAAAAAAAATTATTAAATAATAATTGAATAAATTTTAAGCGACAATTTAAAATTCAATCACTTAAATGCTAAAATGGGTTTACTAGTGTTTTCTTTAATGTTCCAAAGGAATCCAATTGTAAATGCAAGTTTAACTTATTTAATTTTAATAATTTACGAGTATAAACAATTGCGATTTCTGCTAGTTGACGTGCAGACGACATTGCGCACGCAGCATTCTCCTGTAACCAGCTGACGTGATTGGTGGACTAAATTGGATACGTGAGAATGCTGCGTGCGCAATGTCGTCTGCACGTCAACTAGCAGAAATCGCAATTGTTTATACTCGTAAATTATTAAAATTAAATAAGTTAAACTTGCATTTACAATTGGATTCCTTTGGAACATTAAAGAAAACACTGGTAAGATCATTTTAGCGTTTAAGTGATTGAATTTTAAATTGTCGCTTGAAATTTACTCAATTATTATTTAATAATTTTTTTAGTTGTAAAATTATAAAAAATTGTTCTGAAAGAGATTTATTCCTCTCATTTTCCTTGACATTTTAAAAAAATAGTAGACCTCAATCCGATTATTAGAACGGAAGATATAGTAGTTTAAAATTTTTTGTTATTATTGGAAATCTTGTAAACTAAACATATATTTTAAGCTGAAATTTACGTTAAAGATTAGTCTTACTATATATAACAAAATTCCAAAGCTTCATTGCAATCGGTTAACCTACTCCGAAAAAGTCAAAATCTCACCTGGAATCGCACATATATAAAAATAAATAAAGAAATATTAATTAAACATTATTATTAATTATAATATTAAATAATAATTTAACAATTATTTGGGTAATAAGTACTATAATAATTAATAATAATAATTATTATTATGATAATAGTAGGTATAATAATAGTTATTATTATTATTATTATTATTATTATTATTATTATTAGTATTATTAATTAATTAACTAATAATTTATCATTTATTTAAATTTTTAAAATGTATGTATACATTTTACTTGTATAATAAATATTATAGTCAATTGTATGATTCTGATTATTAAGATATCACGAAGTTAAATACTAATAATAAAAAACAGAAATAGTAATACAATATTAAAAGTAGCGATAAAATATTTTAATTTCTTTCTTGACTCGTAACAACGGTGTAAATTGTTTTATCACATGTTCTATTAATTAATAATTTAATAACGGAAAAAGAATGAAAATTCTCAAGGTTTATTTTTCATAATAAAAAATACATCATCATTGAATTACAATCATAAGTAATATTTCTTCATAGAGATAAATTTATTTTTGATTTGTTTTATTTATATTCCTCTACAGATATGTAATATGAAAAAAAAGTGAATATGAAAAGTTGATGATAATTTATAAGTATATTTTAAAAAATATAAAATTTTAAACAACTATTTTTATTAGATATGAATTTGAAATAACTTGTGACTAACAAGGAACACTAGGTAGGTGTCACCCTACGATTTCGTTCATCTTGATATATGTTATAGTACTCGAAAAACTAATTAACACGTAAATATTTTTATCGGCAGTGATGAACATTTAAGGGGTGAAAACTACCTCTAAAGTTTTTACGGAAATATAGAAATTTCACAATATAAAGAAAAATTCAAAAAAAAAATTATTTTTTTTTGCTCAATAATAATTTAGCACGAAAAATGGAATTAAACAGTAGCATTTTCACCCATCAACCCCCATAAATTTAGGGGTAAACACTCCCAAAAATGAACTTTTCGTTCAAAATTATATAATTCCTGGCTTTATATTTTATTTTTCTGTGCAAAATAATTAGATATAAGAGTTGTAAAATATTAACAAATGTAAAAAAAATTTGTCCAGGCGGTGGATTGGGATAAACAACCCTTAAAAACATATTATTTCAAATAAAAGACTATATTAGAAAAAAAAAAATTTATTTCTTCTGCAAAATTCATCTACAAAATAAGAGAAGTACTTTCTTTTTATTTTGAAAATATTTTCAAATCTGAAACTTTATTTTTAGGGGGTAACTACCCCTAAAAATTAAAAAAAAAAATCAAATGAAAAGAAAGTATCCCTCTTATTATATGGATGATTTTTGCAGAAGAAATAAATTTTTTTCTGATAAAGTCTTTTATTTGAAGTAATATACTTAAAGGGGTTGTTTATCCCAATCCACCGCCTGGACAAATTTTTTTTACATTTGTTAATATTTTACAATTCTTATATCTAATTATTTTGCACAGAAAAATAAAATATAAAGCCAGGAATTATATAATTTTGAACGAAAAGCTCATTTTTGGGAGTGTTTACCCCTAAATTTATGGGGGTTGATGGGTGAAAATGCTACTGTTTAATTCCATTTTTCGTGCTAAATTATTATTCAGCAAAAAGAATTTTTTTTTAAAATTTTTCTTTATGTTGTGAAATTTCTATATTTCCGCAAAAACTTTAGAAGTGTTTTTCACCCATTAAATGTTCACCATTGCCGATTAAAAATTATACGTGTTAATTAGTTTTTCGAGTACTACAACATATATCAAGATGAACGAAATCGTAGGGTGACACCTACCTACTCTGAGAAAAAAAATTTAGTGTTTGCAACAAAATTGTTTGGTTAGGCAATTTCGGATCTTGTAACCAAATTTTAGTTGGCTAAAACAAAGTCGTAGATTTATTTCAACCAAATTATTTGGTTGAACATATTTAAATTCCAACCAAAATTTGGTTACGACAACAAAATAATTTGGTTAACACAACAAAATAGTTTGGTCAAAAAAACCAAATGATCGTTTGTTGTCCTAACGAAAATTTGGTTGCGAAAATCAAATAATTTGATTCGCTCTCAGCTCATAACTTAAGAGAACAGTTAGTTTAAATCTCTCACAAGGATGGGTAGTCCAGTGGTTAGAGCTCCCGACCTTCAGTTTTAAAACAGAGGTTCGATCCTAGGCGGAGATGAGATTTTTCAAAGCCACAAATATTTCAATTGGATAAATATAAATTCAATATCAAATTGATAATAAATAAATAAAAAAGATAAAAAGAAAAGAAATAAGGTAGAATAAAATTTTTAATTTTACAAAAAAAACTGTTTGTTTAATCAACCAAACATTTTTGTTGACCTAACAAAAAAAATTTGGTTTAGCTAACCAAACATTTTTGTTATGCCAACAAAAAACACTAAACCAAATTTTTTGGTTGACTCAAACAAATAGTTTGGTTGCTTAAATACCAACCAAGTGGTATACTTTTTTAAAATTTTTTTTTATAAGTGCAAAAATTTTCGAGTTAAGAATTTTTTAAAATTTGGATCCAAAGTTTAAAAAAAATTAATTTTTTTTTATAAAAAAATGCTATTTTGGTAACAAAAATTTAAAAAAAAATTATTTTTTTTAACATTATTCAAAAGTGGAAGAAAAACTAAAACTTTTTTTTTCTTGGAAGAAATTCCTAGATTCAATAATTTTAGAGAAAAGCAGATTTTTAAAAATTAACAACTCGAAAATTTGGTTACTTATAAAAAAATAAAAAAAAAAAATATGTATACTTCTTTTTTCTCGAAAGAACGAAAAAAAGATCTCTGTTAAATAATAAATAATACCTAGCTTAAAAATTATTAAAAGCCATTAATTTCTTTCAAAAATATTGAGGCGCATGAATATTCTTGAAATTTCAAATTATTATTCGATTGAAATTCTTTTGACATAATTAGAAACCTAACGTAATATTTATTTTTTATATTTTTCTTTTAATATAAATATCATTTGAAATAAACAAAATTTTCATTTGCCACATAATTTTTTTTGAATTTTGATTTAACAAAATTTTATTATCTAGAATTTACTTTTAGCAGAATTTTCATTTCTTCGAATTATTATTATTTATCAGAAATTTCATTTAATCGAATATTGTTACTTAAATAAATTTTTATTTTAAAAATTTTTTATCTCATCGAATTTGAATTTGTCAGAATTATTATTTTTCTAAAATTTTCATTAGACAAAATAGTTATTTAAAAGAATTATTAGTTTACAGAAAGAATAATTATAAAGAATTCATTTCTCGTTGAATTTTCATTTGTTCGAATTTACATTTGATGAAATTCTTAAAATGATTTTTGTTTTACAAAATTTTCATTTAACCGAATAAATATCTCATCGAAAAATTTGTGGGGAAGATTTAAAATTAATCAGTCAAAACTTATCAATGAAATTATGATTCGTTAAATTTAAATTTTGCTCCTAAATTTTTCTATTGGATATTTATTTAAAGTAATTAAAGTTTTGTAAAATAAAAATTTGGCGTTTTATAATTATTTTTATTCAGCGTTTTTCAATGTCAATTGTAACAAATGAAAATTCGAGCAACTAATGAAATTTTGATAAATTCAAATTCGATGAAATAAAAATTCTGTAAAATGAAAATTCCTTTAAGTAACAATTTTTGTAATATAGAAATTTGCTTAAATAGAATTTAAATAAAAATGGCGGATCCAATATACATATCAGATTTTTTTTAAATTCATTAGATTCGTATAAAACTCAATTCGGGAGTTTTTAAAGCCGCTGATGATTAAAAATTTAACATTAAATTAATAATTAAAAATTCTAAGAATACCTGAGTGACAAGTTTAAATCGAATTCGATAAATTAAAAAAAAATTCCGCCATATTAAATCTGAAATTTTGAATTTACTGCAGCATATATTTTGTAAATTATCTGTTACTCTGAGTATTTAAAGAATAATTATTTTTGTATTCAAGATAAAAAAGATAAATATTATTCTAAATATCTGTGACTCCAAAATTTTTTAATAAAAACAAAATTCTATTTTGCCTGTCTGTTTGAAATAAGAATAATTTTTGTAAAAGAGCTACTAACATAATTTATATATAATCCATGTTGTTTAAAACTTTATATCTTCACTTAAATTCTCTAAAGTTTAATTATTTTCCTCTCAAAATGATACAACTAAATTTTCGTTTAACAAAATTAACCTTATAATAGATTTTCAAAATTATTATAAATATATTTTAAGAAAGTTAAAACTCATTTATAAACAACAATATTTTTACTTTTAGGTTCAGGAACCAAGGACCATGTAGTATTTATTAATAACGAATTATTTACGTCTTTGACATCTTCCTTCCATTGAATTATAAACACACGAATTTTAATTTTTATCTAAAAATGATGTTGGAATTTCACATAAAACAGATTTGAGCATTACTAAGCTACTCAACTGGTATATTATTCTTTCTAGGCTCAGGTACTTTTTTTGCATTTCATTTTTATCATTGTCACCTACTTAATTACATTTGAAACACATTTTATTATTTCATTTGAAATATTTTTAAATTATACCTACTTTTAATTTTAACAAAATTTGGAATTTACTCGGAATTTTTTATGTCACAACTTTTTAATTTATAACAGAATTTCGGTTTAATTGAAATTATGTTCGATAAAAATTTTACATTTTAAAATTCAACTAAAGATAAATGATTAAATATGATCCACTGCGAATTTCGGCTAATTTTCAAGAAATTAATTTTTTTTAACATTTAACAGAATTTCTTTTTAAACTAATTTTTACTTAACAAAATTTTTAGGCGCCGAATTTTTATTTCACAGAATTTCTCTTTTAAAAGTTTTTTAATTAAGAGAATTATAATTTAACCGAATTTTAGTTTAGCAAAATTTGCATTCAATCTACATTTTTGTCTGAATTTTGATTTGTACGAATTGTTAATTGATAAATTTTCTCAAACGCAGAATTTTCATTTGTCCAAACTTGGAAATGACCGAACAAATAATCTACAGAAATATTTCGGCGCGATTTTTAAAATTGACCAATCACGATTTGTTTTTTAATCATTTCTAATTGAAATAATTTTAAAGAATTTTTATTGGGTAGAATTTCATTGCATAGAATTTTCATTCAGATGAATTTTCATTTGTTCGAACTATTATTTGATTGAATTTCCATATAACCGATTTTTCATATTACTACAGAATTTTTACTTAACCGAAAAAACATTTAACAGAATTTCTAATTGATAGAATCAAGATTGGATAGAATTTTCATTTGTCCGAAATTGCAAATGGCCGAACGAACAATCGATTTTGGCGCGATTTTTTAAATCAACCAATCACAATTTTATGGATAATTTTTGATTGGTTGATTTTAAAAATTGCGCCGAAATCGATTGTTCGTTCGGCCATTTGCAATTTCGGACAAATGAAAATTCTATCAATTAGAAATTCTGTTAAATGATTTTTAGGTTAAGTAAAAATTCTGTAGTATGAAAAATCGGTTATATGGAAATTCAATCAAATAATAGTTCGAACAAAATGCCTATTATGTTAAATGAAAATTGGAGCAAATAAAAATTCGAACAAATAGAAATTCTATGAACTAAATTTTCGGTTATATAAAAATTCTGTAATATAGAAAATCGATTAGATAAAAATTCTGCAAAATACTAATTCGAACAAATAAAAATTCGGCTCAAAAATAATTAGGACAAATAAAATTCCATAAAATGAAAATTCTAACTAATGATTTTTAGAACATAATCATGCGTTTCTTAAATTTAAGGCATAAACAGTTTTGTTTTCGAATTAACAATAAGTCTTTTTTCACATTTTTTTTGAATATTTATAAAGTGATAAAACAATTGCACCGTATTACACTGTAAGTCAGAGTCAAGATAAAAAAAAACAACTATTAATATTTATTATGTATATATATGATTTCTATATTCAACAAAAAATGAATAAAATGATAAGATAGTCTGTAAGTTATACTGATTACTAAAATTTACATTGTACTATAGCAATAAATAAAGAAACAAAAAACATTATGTTTTTCAGATAATTTATACTGCCGTTACTATGTTAAAAAATAAAAGTTCTTCAAGGCGAACTAAAAATTCCATTCCAGTTTCTACACATGGAGAAACAAATATTCCAAGTCAAAAATCTGACTTTTCTAGTTTTGAAAATCACTCAATACCTAATCCAAAATATATGGACAATAATAATTTAGATTCTGACAGTTTAACATTATGGCATCATCCTATTACGACCATCAATTATTTTTTAAGAGAGTTAATGATTGACTGTGGAAGTTTATGCAAGAAAATTTTAAGACATTATAAAATAGTTTTAAGTTTTGCATTAATTTTGTTGACGTGTCTATTACTCAGTAGGATTTCTGGACCTCAGCAACAGGTTAGTTTTGTTTTTTTTAAATTTATTTAATAATACAGTACCGTCCAGAAGTATCAGGACGATTACACGCGACTCTCTGAAAAAACATGTTATCACTTTTTCAATCATATTTCTGCAACAAAAGGAGATACAAAAAAACTCAAAAACGGTTAGAAAGCTTATTAAATTTTGAATAAAATAAGCCATGTTTGAAGCCATTCCGTTAATAATTTTCTGAGTTGTAGAGTGAGAAAGATGGAAAAAATATTATCAAATTTTCTAATTTTGGTAACATTTTCAAAAATCTAGAAAAATTTAGATAAAAATTTTTTAAAACACAGAAATCTTCGCTAGAATTTCAGCTTTAAAATAAATTTTAGAAAATTAAAAAATATTAATCCGTCATCGAATTATCATTAAAAATGTGAAGCCGTGTTGCGCCCGATCGATGCTTTGAAAATCAACTGTGATGACTCGATTCCGGCTTCGCGCGGGAGCAAGCGGGAGAGAAAGCAGGGTCGAATTTATGCGGTAACGATGAAATTTTACACGTTTCACGACGAATATGTAAAGAAACTCGAAATTTCATCGTTCCCGCATAAATCCGACCCTGCTTTTTCTCCCGCTTGCTCCCGCGCGAAGCCGGAATCGAGTCGTCACTGTAATTATAATGATTTTTATATAACGTGATTAAAAAAAAAATTACAAAACCGATCACTACGGTTTTGAGAAAAATTAACTTTTTAGACTTAATTTCAATTTTTTAGATGCTTCTGTTGTAGTTACGTTATTTTTTACAACATTTTTAAAATAATAAAGAAAAACGAAACAAGTTTCATATATGTATAAGATTTAATTTTTATCTGTTATTGTGTCAGATAAAAGCGCAATTCAAAAGTACTCGGCCTCTGACGACGTTAAATTTAAAAAAAAAAATGTTAACTTCCATCATTTTTATCAGTTCAAAAAAATAAAAAAATACATATGTTTTCTTGAAAAAAAATAATAATAACAGGCTTCATAGTCGTCCCCTATTTTTTCTAAAAGTCCCCTTTTCTCCCTATTTGTCCCTAAAAGTATTTGAAAAATTTTCCCTGAATTTCCCCTATTTTTACAACAAATAAGTATAAAGTTTTGATTTTTATGAGAATACTTTTTAGAAATATTCATTTTCTTCCAAAAATTAAATGAATTTATAACAAATGTGTGGATAGAATAATTATTATTTATCAAATAAATAACTAACACATTATGTAATCAAAAAATTTGGATTCAAAATCCATCAAAGTCTATCCAAAGGAAAATTTAATACTTACTAAAAAATTTTGATAGAATTTCTATTAAATAGCATTTGCAAATCTCAGATTCCTCGACATTTATCGATTTTTTTTTCATGAATGCAACTAATTTCAACTTATTTTAATAAAATGTGACTTCTTCGACTTTTAAAACATTTTTTAAATAAATTCGAATTTTTTTAGTATAAAATATATAAATATCTTTGCAAATTTGAATTATTCAAAAAAATATTAACCAGAATACTTCACAAAATGAATTATTTTCAATCATTTTAATCAAGTTCTTTAAAAAATTCCTTTTTTTAAAATAATTTTTGAATTTAAAATTACCTAAAATTCAATTATTGCATAAAATTTTGTTAATAATTTTAAGTAACTCTAATTTACAATAGTTTTAATAAAAAATATTAAAAAATTCAATTATTTTTAAAAATTTTAACTGAAAATTTTTCAAAATTGAATTATTTCTAAAAGTTTTATCAAAAATTCTTTGTTTAATTTATTATTTCTAATAACTTTCAAGTTCTTCGAAAACTGAATTATTTAAATCATTTTTTCATTTTAAAAATTGTCTAAAATTTGTTTCTAAAATTCTTTTGTAAATTAATTATTTCAATAACTTTTATAAATTTTTTTTAATAATTAAATTATTTAAAACATTTTTTAATTTAAAATTCTCTAAAATTAAATTATTGTTTAAAATTTTGTTAATAATTTTCATTATTTTAAATTTACAATAATTTCAATTATTTTCAACTTAAATTCTTTATTGAATTAATTATTAAAAAGCTAATCTAGTTTTTCAAAAATTCAATTATTTAAAACATTTAATTAAAATTTTACTAAAATTTCTTTATTATTTAAAATAATTGCCGAATTTCGGAATTTAAATAATTTTTATAAATTAGATTTCAATTTTCTTAAAAAGAGTAACTAAATAATTTTTTCAAAAATTTGTCCTTGAAATTCTTGAAAATATTTCTATGAAACATTTTTATTAAGAAATAAATATAATTCATTTCATTTCTAATAATAAAATGTTTGTTAACTAATTAAATTTTTTAAAAATAAAAAAATCAACTTTTTTTCTATGTAAACTGACTAAAACGACTTATTTAAAAACTTTTGTATTAAAATGCTTTATAAAATTATTTGATAAATTTCGATTAAAGTCGTTGTGAACTAATTTAAAAAAATTTTTAGTAATGATTTTGTAACCCTGGCGGATTCGATTTGCGTAATGTCTACTTAACTAAGCGGACTTTAGGTAGACATTAGGTAGACATGTAAAAAAACGTATAAAAAAGCTATTAATCGACTTATTATGATAAAAAAAAGTTGATAAAAGGGTAAATGAATGTTTATAGAGTAAATTCGTACAAAATTTGTAATTAGTAAAGCAATAAATAATTAATAATGAATGGAAATGTGCGCGAGGTACCTGATCAGTTCAGCTGTACAATTATTTTCGTGCTATTTTCATGAAAAGAATATAAATTAACTGCAAAAACAATTGATATTTATAAAAAAGTGTAAAATTGATTTAATTTTATTGTTTGCAATACGAATTATTAAATAATAATTAAGTTTTTATCAAATGTGAATAGTGTTGTGAAAACCTGTGAAAACTAATGAGTTACTACATTACCGATCGCATATGAGAGATGGCGCCACCAGTTTTTACAATACAGTGCGAGCATGTTTTCTTCCAAGCTTTTGCTTTGAAAGAAAATAAAAAGTGAATTTTAAAATTCAGAATAAAGTTATACAAATAATTATTGATTTCATAATTGTTTCTCGTCCAAAATTACGGACATGATTGCAGCTTTTTTGTTACACTCATCGAGAACTTTTTATTATCATATGCGATCGGTAATGTAGTAACTCATTAGTTTTCACAGGTTTTCACAACACTATTCACATTTGATAAAAACTTAATTATTATTTAATAATTCGTATTGCAAACAATAAAATTAAATCAATTTTACACTTTTTTATAAATATCAATTGTTTTTGCAGTTAATTTATATTCTTTTCATGAAAATAGCACGAAAATAATTGTACAGCTGAACTGATCAGGTACCTCGCGCACATTTCCATTCATTATTAATTATTTAATGCTTTATTAATTACAAATTTTGTACGAATTTACTCTATAAACATTCATTTACCCTTTTATCAACTTTTTTTTATCATAATAAGTCGATTAATAGCTTTTTTATACGTTTTTTTACATGTCTACCTAATGTCTACCTAAAGTCCGCTTAGTTAAGTAGACATTACGCAAATCGAATCCGCCAGGGAAGATATTTGAAGTAGATTTTTAATGAGAAATAGTTGTAAAAAGTTTCATAAACAGAATATGTTTCTAAAACTTTTGATTCAAGAAATGGATTAAATTTATTAAAAAAATTTTCTATATCAAATATTTTAAACTTTTTATGTATAAATTAATTTTCAAAAAACAAAAATACCTCAAAGCTGTACTAAATTTGTAGTTTAGCCTATAATAATTTATGATGGCAATGTATAATAAAACATTAAATTAAACAATTATTAAATTAATAACTTCTTTTTAGATATTTAAAACAATATTTTGTAATAATATTCATACTTAAAGAAGTTGCAAAAAAAAATTTCGTTCATTTAAACGTTCAAAACTTTTAGCTCATAAAAAGTCTCCTATTTTAAAATTTTCAGTCCCCTATTTCCCCTAAAATATTTTCTAGAATCACTATAAAGCCTGTAATAATGATCTATTAGTAATATCAGTAATTTATTAGATTAATATATTATTCATCAGATTCTTTTGAATAATCGTGTCTTTTTTGCAGACATTTAGGGATTTAGAAAATATAATCAGAAGATGGATGTATTGGGTCGGATTGGGTGTTCTATCAAGTGTGGGTTTAGGGACCGGCTTGCATACATTTGTATTATATCTTGGACCACACATTGCTGCCGTGACGATGGCCGCTTATGAATGTGGAGGGCTTAATTTTCCAGAACCACCCTATCCAGATAAAATTATTTGTCCATCTGTAATAGATACAATGACTTCTGTGGGAATTTTAAGTATTATGAAAAAAGTTCGCGTAGAAGCAATGTTATGGGGTGCTGGAACTGCTTTAGGAGAATTACCACCTTATTTTATGGCAAAAGCCGCTCGTAAGAGTCGCTTCACTAGTAAAAATCAAGACTGTGATCAAGAAGATCTGAAAGAATTAGAAGTTTTAGAGACTCTTGAAAATGGAGGAAATGTGTCGTTTGTATTACGTACTAAATTAGCTATGAAAAATTTTGTCCACAAAGCAGGATTTTGGGGTATATTAGCGTGTGCATCTGTAAGTATTTAAATCAATTTTTTTTTCTATTTCAATTTTTTACATTTTACTTCGTTTTGTAGATCCCGAATCCATTATTTGATCTTGCTGGACTCACTTGTGGTCATTATCTTATTCCATTTTGGACATTTTTTGGTGCAACACTTATTGGTAAAGCAGTTATAAAAATGCATATACAACAATTAGCTGTAATTATAGCGTTCAATGAAGAACTCGTTGATAAGGTAATCAATTTACTTGCTGCTGTGCCTTTTATTGGGGAGAATTTTCAAGAACCATTTAGAAAATATCTTGCAGAGCAAAAACGAAATTTACACAATAAAGCATCATCGGTAAGTGACATTTCTTTATTATCAATTAAAATAATTACTACCCAGCAAAAAAAAAAATATATTGAAAAGTTTTCAAGATATTTTGAAATTAAATTCGTATTTTTGATATATAAAAAATGGCAAAAGTTAAATTTTATAATTCAGTATTTATATTTGTATAGAATGAAAATTGTCACAATGTTAATATGATTCAAACGAGTTTATTTTTAACAATAATTTTAATTTTTAAAAGAGAATTTATCTTCTATTTACAGGAAGGATCAACAGTTATATCATGGTTGTTTGACAAGTTCGTTATTTTAATGATTATTTACTTTTGTATAACGATTGTTCATGCATTAGCGAGAAATCACAATAGAAGACGAATGAAAGCAAGAGATTGAAAGTGCAAAAAAAAAAAATATTGTAAAATAAGAAAATGAATTTCCAAGGACAGAAATAAAATTTTTAACTTATTTCCGAATATTTTCATTATTTTAAACCTTATAATTATATAATAACTTTCTGAATTATAAATAATTGATGGTCTTCCGTTCCATTGTTTCTTTAATAAATAGTCCAACTCATATTTTAGCAAAAATTTTATATAATTAATTAAAGTCAAATCAAAATTTGACAATGTAATTATTCTGGGTGATTTTTTTTTGTTGTCTCTTGATATCAATTTATTATTTACGAAAATACCTCTTAACTTAGATATCGATGGTTTTGAGGGGTTCTGAACAAAACAACCATGAGCGACCACCATTACATTAAGTTTATAGTTTGAGAAAAATCTGGGAGGAACAACAGACTGCACGAAGATAGCAAGTGAACCTCCTGCAATCTCAGAAGACTAAATCTAAATTGGGTTCGAAAGATCATAAGGGCGTTGTTCCTCAGAGAGGACTATACTCACTGTGTAGTACAAAGGCATGAATTCTTCACGCTTAAACACGGAAAAAACATACCCTTTTAGCATCAAACTGCTTTATTTTTTAATAGTATGTAACTCCGTTTACCTATCGAAGTATGAAATAATGCTTTTTTAGCGTAAAGTAAGTCCATGCTAAATAAGTATAATAGTTATAGTCTTATAGTAATAGTGAAGTACTTTAAAAGCATAAAATTGATGACCACGAAGTACGACATGTAGTTTACCTAAAATAGTAAGTAATTTTTGGGGCATAAATTCTTGCAACCTGCGATGGTTCCAAAAGAAAAGTAGGCGTGGTCAAAACGCAGATTGCAAGAATTTATGCCCCAAAAATTACTTACTATTTTAGGTAAACTACATGTTGTACTTCGTGGTCATCAATTTTATGCTTTTAAAGTACTTCACTATTACTATAAGACTATAACTATTATACTCATTTAGCATGGACTTACTTTACCCTAAAAAAACATTATTTCATACTTCTATAGGTAAACGAAGTTGCATATACTATTAAAGGATAAAGCAGTTTGGTGCTAAAATGGTAAGTATGTTTTTTCCGTAAAGAGCTTAAAAAGGTGACAAAGTCGTTGAAAAATGGCAAAGCGCCAGGCAATGACGGAATACGTCTTTAATACATATCTCGAGTGTGGAGAGTTTTTCAGTGACAGGAAAACACAGAAGTTGGTCGTCCTTAGGAAAAGGGATAAATCTCTAGATAAAGTCTCATCGTTCAAACCAATATGTTCATTGGATATGATGGTTAAACTTCTGAAGGGAATGATTCTGGAGAAACCTTAGAGAATCCTGATAGGCGAAAATAGCAGATACAGATAATCTCGTGTTTTTATGTCAAACGAATCGGATAAATTATAAAAACAAAAACATCCATTTTGAATTTTAGAAATTATTCATTATTAAGAAATGTAATTACAGTAGAAATTTTTAAAATTACACTGAAAAAATTAAACTATATGTACTAAAATAAATTCTCAGTTTTTTCTTATAAAATTGAGAAAAATAACTTTAAAAAAATATTTTACATCACTCCGGTATAATATGTACATAAATTCTAATATTTATTTAACTTAATAAAGTTTGTAGAAAATCGAGAATATAACTTCCAAGATCTTCATCTTCATTGGTCCAGGAGACATAAACGCTTTTTTGATTTTCATCTTCACCTTCAACTTTCACTAATACCGATTCTACTGATATTGAACCATCAGTTAATTGAACAGTCCAACCTTGTAGTCTATCTTTCAATGGTTGAAAGAGTTTTTGTGTCGTAGCGTGTGCTGGTCCAGAATCCTGAACACATATTGTGGATGTAAATCTCACAATATGTTTAGTGATACCAGTAGTTCTTGCAACCTGTAAAGGATTTTAATTATAATTATCTCGAACTTTTAAGTTAGTAAATAAAAAGTGATATTTAGGGTGAAAAAAGTAGTTGAATAGTAACAAACTAATTTTTTATCTAAAATTTCAATTTTTTGAGGAATAATAATGAGAAGGAGGAGAATTTGCAAGAAGCATTAAATATTAACTTATAAATGTAAAATAATAAAATTCTGACACATTTCTTACCTCATCAGTATCAACGAGACAAACTCCGTCTTCTCTTAAAATTAAAACCCCATGAAGTAATCGACGTCTTTTAGGATCCGGAGGAAGAGCAGAATATTGTTTAGCTTCAGCTTTTAGTAAAGCCAAAGATGTATCGACAGCAACTTTCGATATAGTTGTAATAACACATGTTTCACCATTCGCTGGATTATAACAATTTATGCCAAATTCCTGTCTTATTTTCTCCTTGAGATATTCCATTTTAGCAAATTCCCCATGCACAAGCATAACACTTTTGGGTTCACAGCTTTGAATTAATTGCATAATTCCCTTTGCGTCAGCGTGTGCCGAGAAAGACATATACTCAACGGCCATTTTAACTTCGACAATTTGACGATTTTCAAATTCAATTCTTTTAATGCCACTAAGCACTTTGTGTCCCACAGTGCCTTGAACGCAAAAACCAGGCATAATAACCATATTCGCATCGTTTGGCGCCCATTTCTTAAATATCTGCAAAGAAAGACCAGCGTGCAGCATACCTGGTGTGGCAAATACGACCATTGCTCCTGGATTATCAATGTAAGCTTTATCAAATGGTTTTATATGCTTAAAATCAAACATATTACGTTGTACAAAAGTTTTTTTAATCTTTTGATTAGTCCATGTGATGAACATTTTATAATAGTTATTTGCTTTTTCCGTTAAACCCAAAGCAAAGTAAACGGGTACTTTAAGATTCATTCGCTCCCAATAGGTTTCCAATAGTATACACAATTCTTGAGCTCGACCAAGGGCAAAAACTGGTATTAATACTTTGCCACCTCTATCTATACATTCGTGGACCTAGAAAAAAATTACTTTTGCTGACTTTCAAAAACTATTTAAATTCAAACATTTTTACATAAAATCTATTTTTATCCACGTTATTGGATGATTAAATATATTTAACAATGTTTATATTTTCGAAATTTTATACAGGTCTAATTTTTATTAAACTAAATTCAGATATGACTAAATTTTAATTTATCCATTATAGAAATATAATAATTAATATTTTTCATAAAATAAATGTAACGATTAATGAAGAAAGGTAAAAATAATTAATTAAATTACATTTTTCACAAAATCGGACAAAACACTAAGGATTCTTATCTTATAAATGTCCTAAATCCGAAAGATTTTGTGAATCCTTAATAAAAAAACACGATTTCAAAACGAAAAGTAGGAAAGTAATAAATTAACAGCAGCGACTTTGTGCTCCCTGCATGCTTCTGCCATCTGACGGCGACAGAACGTAATAAACCTGTCATTATATTACTTTCCTACTTTTCGTTTTGCAATTGCGTTTTTGTATGGATTTGCACAATCTTTTGGATTTAGGAAATTTATAAGATAAGAATCCTTGGTGTTTTGGCCAATTTTATTAAAAGTGTCCGTGTTCCGAGAAAAAAGTATTTTAAAATCAATTTTTTCCATTTTCACAGAACGTTTGACACCCTTAATAAATAATAATTTCAACCAATAATTTTTATTATTTTGCAAGTAAGTATATTGACCAGCACAATCTTCCGAGGTTCTGCCATTCAAGACAATAAAGCCATTGTCCTCCATACAACGCACCAGCAACTTTGAAATCTTTCATATGGTTACACGATCGGACCATTTTCCAATTATTATATCTTTAATAAAAACAGAAAAAACTATTCTACCCACTAATAAACTAAAATGGAGAAATCACCTTAGTCTTAAATTTTTCGAAGTAATGAGTTCCCTTCCCTGAGACGCATCGACTGATACCCTTAACATTGATCAAAGAGCGAACGATTTTATATCTGAAATATCCTCGAAAGCAAATTCAATTGGTATGACGTCGAAAATTAACATAAAAACGGGTAAATCGAAACCCTGGTATGACCAGGAATGTGTGGCACTGAAAAAAAAATTTAAAGAAATTACTAAAAAAATGTAAAAACGAAAACTTTATTAACGAGAATACGACGAAAGAGTATAATTATTTTAAAAATTTATATTATAAAACACTGATGGTAAAAAAGGAAACCCACAAGAATTCAATTCTCGAGCAATTAAGATTAAGCAGAGACTCTAAAACGTTCTGGAAAATAATAAATGAATTTAGATTTAAATATAATCCTAAACAAAACGTCATTGAATTAGAAGCTTGGAATAAATACTTTACTACTTTTTTTCAAATCACTGACTTAAAAATAACAGTAAACATAATCCTATATTAGATGAACCTATTACTATTAACGAAATCGTTAACGCTTTAAAAAAAAGCAAAAATAACAAATCCCCAGGTTCCGATGGAATCACATTTGAATTTCTAAAAAATTTACCTTCGAATTGGATTCATTATGTGGGTGTCCTTTTTAACCAGATTTTACAAGAAGAAAAAGTCCCAAGAAATTGGTCAAAGATAAATCTAAAAATGATCTACAAAAAAGGTGATGAACACGACCCGAGCAACTATCGACCCATAGCATTAGTCAACTGTATTACAAAAATATTCACACATGTAATAACCCAGTGGGCGGAGAGCGAAGATCTGCTTCCAGAATTTCAGTCGGGATTCAGGAAAAATCGAAGTTGTATCGACAATATCTTTGTTTTGAACTCGATAATACAGTATAGACTTAGTACAAAAGGGGGTAAGGTGTTTGCTCTATTCGTGGACTTCAGCAATGCTTTCCCTTCTGTTTCCCATAAGTTGCTGTGGGAGAAGTTATATAAAATGGGTTTAGGTTATAAAGTGACAAAAATTCTAATTGATTTTTATGCAAAAGCAACTATAACTGTACAAAACGAAAAGGGTATTTAAAAGCCGGTAAAAGTAACTAAAGGTTTACTCCAAGGAGAAAAAACTAGTCCGATCTTGTTTTCTTTGTTCTTGTCAGATTTAGAGGAATTTTTGAAAGAAGAAGGTGTAAGAGGGATTTCGATTGGACACCGTAACGAAATTATTTTACTTGCGTATGCGGACGACATCGTAGTGCTCGCGGACTCTCCTGCAGCTCTCAAAAAAATACTAAAAGCCTTTTATAAATACTGTATTAAAAATCAATTAGAAGTAAATGAAAAAAAAACAAAAATTATTATCTATAAAAAAGAGGGTCGGTCGTCAAAAAAAAATAAATTTTAAATACGAGAATAAAAAAATTGAAGTTGTTAAAAACTATACTTATCTAGGAATACCTCAAACTTACACAGCTTCCTCAGAGGCGTCCCTGAGGGGTGCGATCTCGTCCGCAGCATTGGCAACGAGTTCGTCAATATCAATAATAAACCGAATGGAATTAAACTCGTGGGAACCGATTCCAAAAATATTTAACTCCTTAGTTAGTAGTACTTTTTTATACGCAATACAAATATGGGGCCTCCGATATCTGAATGAAATAGAAAAACCACAAACAACTTTTTACAAAAAACTACTTTTATTACCACAAAACACACCTAATTACGCAATTAGATTGGAAACGGGATCGCAAAAAATTGCGTGTAAAGTTTTTAAACTCACACTTAACCTAATTGAAAAAATTTTGAATATGGGAAACGAAAGATACCCCAAAATCTGTTTGTTACAATTAATCAATCAACTGGAACTGTCAAAGTGTAATACCAAATATAACTGGTGTGCTCAAGTTAAAAAAATGTTTGAGGATATAGGTGAGACTATTGTATGGACTTTGGAATTTATTCAGGAAAACAAAGAAAGATTAATAAAAACTTATGAAAATTACTCGCGTGCAGAAGATGTAAATTCCCTATCAAATTCTAGTTCTCTTCAGATTCTTCCCAATCTCACTCTCAGAGATGGAACTCAAACTTATTTAAGAATGAAATTACCTCTTTTGTTTATAAAGGTGCTTGCTCAGATTAGACTAATTAATAAATATATAACCCTAGAATAATTTACAAAAAAGAAATTTTGAATCTAAATGATAATTATTGCTGTGGAGAACAGATTCTGAAAGGGAAAGAACTATACCACATGTTAATAGAATGTCAAATGTATAAGTTTATCAGAAAAAAATATGTATGCGACAGTGAGGACGAATCACTGATAAAAGATTTCTGTATAGATCTTTTAAACGATCCGAATTCAAATGGAGTGAAATCAATTAACTTTTATATAAAAAATGTAATTAAAAAACTAGGATAACATAGTACCAAAATGTACTTTAAAAATATAGCTTAAGTCAACTCTTTTGTATGGACCTGTGGTCCGAAACAAATAAACTTACTTAACCAATAATTTCCATCAAATTCTCAAAAAAATCAATTATTAAAAATATCCTTTAATTAAAAATTAAATTAATAATTAAAAAAATCTTGTGCAATTAAAATTTTCAATAATTCATTATATTATTAGTAAAATTTTAATTTTTTTTCAAAATGCATTGTCCACAGTGATAATAAAATAAATAGTTTTATTCGTTGATACCTTTTTCAAAAAGTCCCTTTCACGGCACCTCTTCGAGTCACGAATAGTCGTAGCGTATGTAGACTCTGAAATTAATAAATCTGGTCTACATTTGTCTATCCAGGCAGCGCCCAAATGTCTGTCTGGTGTCATATTATAGTCCCCTGTGTAAACAATAGATTGTGAGCCAACGCGAACATAAAACATCGAAGCACCCAATACATGTCCTGCATAGTAAGCTTTTATTTCTAATTCAGAATCAACCATCACCGATTGATGTAGAGTAACGGCAATGACTTTTTTCATGCAATCCTTTATCATTTGAGAGGTAAAGAAATTACTCTCTCCTTTACGTTCAACAGCAACTTTTCGCATATCTTCCAAAAGAATTGGTGCAATTGCTTTTGTAGGATGAGTCATGTAAATTGGACCTGTGTATCCAACCTGTTGTAAAACAAAATTATTTATTTATTTATTATATTTTAAAATATTTTTTTAATATAAAATACTTAGGGTGCATAAATTTCTCATAAAAATCATTTATTACAATTTTTATTTTAAAGTATTTTATTAGAAATAATTATTTTTTAGACGAATTTTTATTTTTCAAATTAGCATTTGACAGAAATTCTTTTTATACGAATTTTTATACTTCATAAAATTTTTAGCTACCGAATTTTTGTTTGTCCGAATTTTCATTTGTCCTAAATTACAAATTGCCAAACAAACAATCGACAGAAAGATTTCGGCGCAATTTTTAAAATTGACCAATCACAATTTTCTTGATAATTTCTAATTGGTCAATTTTAAAAATTGTGCCAAAATCTTTCTGTCGATTGTTTGTTCGTGCATTTGAAATTTCGGACAAATAAAAATTCGTACAAATAAAAATAAAATTGTCTTAAATTAAAATTCTTTTAAACCAAACCTCTCAAAAGTAATGTAAAAAAATGACTGTAAAATAAAAATTTTGCCAAACAAAAAATTTGGCAGCTAAAAATTCTATAAAGTTAAAATTCGTATAAAAAGAAATTCTATCAAATGCTAATTCAAAACATGAAAATTTATCTAAACATAATTATTTCAAATAAAATTCTTTTATGATTTTTATGGAAAATTGATGGACCTCAAAAATTTATTAGGTATTATAAAATAAATTTTCTTTATCGAAATAATCGAATGTGTAGAGAAATAATAATTTTAATTATATTCTAATAACTGAATTTACCATTTTTTTTTTTTTTTTTTTTGAAGTTTATTATTAACATTTCGTTTTTTTCTAATAAGTAATTTCTTAAAGGTTTCTTACCATTTCAGTGAAATAAGGAAGGGCTCCACAATGATCTAAATGAAAATGAGATATTATAACACAATCTATATAATTTGTTGTTGGACCCTCAGGAACAATGTAAGAAAAATCTGGAAATCTTCTTTCGTCATTAAATCCCATATGCATTCCACAGTCTAACATAATATTTTTACCACCCATCGAAACTAAAATACAACTTCGGCCAACATCTTGACCTGCTCCCAGTGGCGTCACTTTAATATCCGGCATCTTTGCTTTATTCAAACGACTTTTTTAATATTCTCTAATAATTTATAGTTTAACCGGAAGCTGCACTGCACAAAAAATTAAACATTAGAGCACATTTTTAATTTTTTATATATTGGGGCATTCTTTCTCAACGGGAGAATTGCTCCCCCCAAAAATGGTTTGGACGAAAAGAGTTCAGTTAGGTCTTAAATTTTAGGTATTTACGTCTATTTAGAAAAGCAAAGTGGCACTTTTTAAAATTCAAGATGGCGGAACTAATATGGCGGAAAATAAAAATAGATTAAATTCATTTAAAATTTGTTACTCGAGAGTTTTTTGGGTCGCTGAATATGAATCTGAAGTCAATTTTGTTAAAGCAAGTCATGATTTTTTCCTAACCTCAAAAAACATGTCGGATTTAAGACAACAAGCAAATTTTTTTAAATAATCTCGAATTTGCTTAAACCTTGTTACTCAGGGGTTTTTGGGGTCGCTGATTTCGAATCTAGAGTCAGATTTTTAAAATTCAAAATGGCGGATCCAATATGGAAAACGAGTTTTTTTAAAAAATGGTGAATTTTTAAAAAACTTGATATATAGGGATTTTAGGGTCACTAATTACGAATCTGAAGATAGATTTTTTAAAATTCAAAATGGCGGATCCAATATGGAGAACGAGTTTTTTAAAAAATGGTGAATTTTTAAAAAACTTGATATATAGGGGTTTTAGGGTCACTAATTACGAATCTGAAGATAGCTTTTTTAAAATTCAAAATGGCGGATCCAATATAGCGGACGAGAATTTAAAAAACTTGAATTTTTATGAAACTTAGTATCTGACGGTTTTTGAGTCGCTAATTATAAATCTGATGTTAGATTTTCAACATTTGAAAAGGTAGATCGTCATGAGAAGCATATTGGCTCTTTTAAAAATTAAAGATGGTGTATCTAATATTGCAGAAATTTAAAAAATTTGACCATCTATGTTTGAAACTTGTCATTTGGGGGTAATAATAATAGACGTAATAATCACAAGTTTAGTGTTAATAGAACAAATTCTGCTAGCTTGAGGAAAAAAAACCGCTAAGGGTAGTCATTTTTACTATAGGGCGCCTATAACATTGTAGGAAATTAAAATTTCATCAAAATTTTTTTTCTGTTGGTAGTTTACAAACATAAAGAATTATCTTGAAGTTGTGAAAGATGTTTAGGCAAAAACTATATTAAAGCTAGTAATCAATTACCCAACATAAATACAGGGACTTTATACAAACAATAAAATCGGTAGGATGTCTACCAAATGAAACATTATTTTTCATGGAGGATTCTAAAGAAACCAATTACAAAAATTACAAAATGCACGAATATGAAAAAGAAAAGACACCAAGTTTCATAAGAATCCAATAGTTTTTAAAAAACTCGTTCTCCATATTGAATCCGCCATTTTGAATTTTAAAAATCTGACTCTAGATTCGAAATCAGCGACCTCAAAAACCCCTGAGTAACAAGGTTTAAGCAAATTCGAGATTATTTAAAAAAATTTGCTTGTTGTCTTAAATCCGACATGTTTTTTGAGGTTAGGAAAAAATCATGACTTGCTTTAACAAAATTGACTTCAGATTCATATTCAGCGACACAAAAAACTCGCAAGTAACAAATTTTAAATGAATTTAATCTATTTTGCTTCCTCGTGGAGGAAGCTATGTAGTCCTTTCGTTTATAAACTTTTTAAAAATGGTGAAAACAAATTTTCCTCTATATAGAAACATGTTATATGAGATCCTGATCAATTGTCCGGATGTATGTATGTGTGTGTGTATGTGTGTGTGTGTGTGTGGATAGTTTTTGTGAACACGATATCTTTAACAGGTTTTAATGGATTTGGGTAAAATTTGGTAGGCTTATTTAACACATTAATCTCTCAAAAATGACGAGAGGATTTTTAAAAATACCCCAAAAAAAAAATTTTATCGTCTTTTTTCCAAAAATTTTTTTTTAATTGAAAAAATTTTTAAATCGAAAAATTTAAGGTAATATATAATATAATCGTCTTCTTTATGTCAAGATGAATCGATTGATATATATAAAGTATAGATTTGATTGAAATTTAAAGAATTAATGAAAGTTAAAAAATCAAAAATTCTCATTTTAGCTAAAAAATGATGTGTTTATTTAAATTCATGTTTATATATGAAATAATTTTATTCCCTGCATTGAAACGAATTGGTTGGTATATATAAAGTATAGATTTGATTTAAAATTTGAGAATTAATAAAAATTGAAAAATCGAAAATTCATATTTTAGCTAAAAAATTTTGTGTTTTTTTAAAATTCAAGTTGATGAATAAAATAATTGTATTCCTTGCATTAAAACGAATCGATTCGTATATATAAAGTTTATGTTACACTCAAAATTAATTAAAATTTTCTTTATTTTTCAAAAAATTTAATTAATTTAAAACATTTTTAACTCGAAATTTTTTAAATCAATCAATTGAATTGGACAAATTCATTGCTTCCTTCACGAGGAAGCGAATTTTTTGCTTCACAAAATGAGGAAGCATAATGTTTATGAAATAAACATAAAGGACCCCCTCCTTGTTTATTTTAATTTTCCGCCATATTAGATCCGCCATCTTGAATTTTAAAAAGTGCCACTTTGCTTTTCAAAATAGACGTAAATACATAAAATTTGAGACCTAACTGAACTCTTTTCGTCCAAACCATTTTTGGGGGGAGCAATTCTCCCGTTGAGAAAGAATGCCCCATATATATATTTTTTTTATAAATTCACACACATTTGAGTTATTTTAAAAATGATTTTGAGACTATTTTAAGAAAAAATCCCAAATAAGTTTTAATAAATTGTAAATTATTAAATTATGAAAATTTTTTTAGTTAACCATTAAAAAAATTGGATAATTTTATTTTTTATTAATTAAAAATTACGACTTGCCTAAACCATACAAGAAACTACATAGGGTCAGTCGGGGTAAATCCGAACGGGGGGTAAATCCGAACGCTAATTATTTCAGCTTAATTAAAATTTTTAAAAATAAGTTCGATATGAGAATTTTTACCTCAGATCCTCTTGAAGAGATTCTAAGTATTATCCCATTTTTTGTTTGTTAATTAGCAACAGCATAAACAAAGATAACAAGTATTGCAAAAAAGATTGAAAATCAAAGATGACACTCTTTCAGTATTTTGTCTCGTATTTGAAGAAAAAGAAGCTAAAAATTCATTTTATTATTTATAATTGTTTGTTATGAATACTAGAACAGAAACTATATTTGATTTTTGCCTTCTGTAAAATTTTATTAATAATATCAGACCGTTCGTATTTACCCAAGAAAATTGGAAAACTGGGGTAAATCCGAACGGTATTTTTAATAATTTTTTTTTACATCAAAGCCACACAAAATTGTTTTTATTTGATTACACTATTATTTTAACATTATAAAAGTACATAGAAAAAAGTTTTTCTTTCTATACGTATCCTCGTTAGTAATTAATAAGCAGAAACTTAATCTCTGTTCTCTCGAAGGAGTGTTTCAATTTTTTTGCCAAATGGTTTGTTGAAAAAAGTTTTTCAGGATCTTAATAAAATTTGGTATTCTACGGTTTTTGGGGTCGCTAATTACCAATTTGAAGTCAGTTTTTCAAAATTCAAAATGGCGGACGAGAATTAAAAAATTCATTGGATTCGCTCGAAAATTGTTACTCGGGGGGTTTCAGGGTTAGCAAATTTGATGATTTTTAAAAATAAGTTTTAGGAAAGTACGCCATTTTGAATTTAAAAAATTTGACTTTTATTTTTGTATTTACATTCAATCACTCCAAAATACTTTCTGTAGCAAGTTTTGCAAAAATCCGTTATGATTTGATAAAGTTATTGAAGGTTTTAATTGTGTAATGCATTTTAATTTTTAACCTGTTTGATTTTTGTATTTATATATGATGCATTATTACATAATAGGTTTATTATCGTATTTTTTTTGAGTTTTTATATAAGTTTAACAATTGCAATACTTTAAATTTATTTTCCCTAAGATTTTTCTGAAATACAGTGGCGTTCGTATTTACCCCCATATTTTAGGAAAGTTGCAAAGTATTGAGGTAAATACGAACGCTAAGTTTCCTGCGATTGTAATTTATCAAAAATTTTTTCTACCCCATAAAATTGTTCTATGGAAGTAAAGTAACAACTTCATGCATCAGAATACCGGAAGTATTTTTTTTTAAAGAAAAAACTTATGTTATTGTTGAAACTTACTAAAAGCGTTCGGATTTACCCCGGTTGACCCTATTTTATTTTGGTTTATTTATTTACAAATAGGGTCAGCATTTTCATGGATCAGATATTTAAAAAAAATATTTCATAATGTGGAGGGACCGTTGAATTTTCAATCAATTAATTTTTATTCAGCAAAATTTTATAAAGTGGAATTAATAAATTGATACTAATTCAAAAGGCCTCAGATTGGACGACTTTTTCAACTTTTTTCAATGAATGCAAATTTCTTTGACTTTTTTTTGGATAAAATGAGATTTATTTTGGTTCTTATTGTGTAAAAAATAACTGATCGATTTATTTATTGAATATTTTTAAAAATTTATTTTTGCGTTAGATTCCTGATTAAAATTTTTATGCATTAAAATCTTGAAAATTCTTCTGACTTAAAAATTACTTTCATTATTTGACTCAAACATTTCTCAGGAATTGACCTTAAATATAAGTTGGCGACAAATTAAACTCAAAAATTTTATTGAAAATCTGAAAAAAAATTTCTATAAATTTACTTTAAATAAATAAAAAAAATAAATGAAACTTATAAAAATGGTTCAGAAAAAAGAATCTTCTGGGTGTCTAAGGGTCAGGGAAAGTCAGGGAATTTAGAAAAATTTCATTCAAAGTCAGAAAAATTTCTGTAAATTTATACAAAAATTAAAATTTTTTGTGAATTTAAAAATTTTTTAATCTAAAAAAACTTGAATGGTTTTTATTACCATTTGTTACTACCATTATAAATTAATTTATTGTTAAATATGTCAATAACCATATTTTTGTCCAAAAAAAGCAGAAATAAAGTTATTAAAAAGTCAGGGAAAAATAAAAAAAATGTCAGGGAGGAGTCAGGGAATTTTTTTTTCTCAATCCTTGTTAGACACTCTGATCTTGAATTTTTATAATCTAAAGATGTAGACAATTTTTCTCAGTTAAATTTTGAAATATTCTAAATAAAATTTAAAAAAGAATAATAATAAGAATAATAAGAATTCTTAATAAAGAATTCTATTTTATTTATCACAAATACTTGGTTTGTTATTGAGTTTTTATATGGTAAACGTACCTAGTACATAAAACAAATTTAGTTTTTAATAATTTTTGAAAATTAGGGTCAGTTGGGGTAAATGGGGACAAAATTGCTATTTTTCACAAATTACATAAGTTTCATCCTTTAAAAGGTAATATTTGCGGGTTTATTTTTTTAAGTTGTTATTAATTTTATGCAGCAGAAAAAAATTTAGATGAGCTTTAAACTCATGAAACTGACTGTCCCCATTTACCCCAAAATTTAGAAAATTTTATAAAATTTGGGGTAAATGGGGACAGCATAGTTTCTAAGAAAGTTTTAAGAAAAAAGTTTCCTTAAGTATATTACTGTATTAAGGGATGAAAAAACTTGAAAAAAATTTGTAGTGATTTGGGTGATTCTACGCGTAGCGCACGATTTGGTGTCTGAAACTTTAAAAATATTTTTTTATCGAAATGATAAATATCAATACATATTTTTGAAGATAAAGTGTCAAGAAATAAATATCCATGGTGGGCCGGAAACATTTTTTATAATTTTTTAATTTTTTTAAACAAATTAAAAAAAAATTCTTTGCTTGTTGAATTCTATAAAATATTTGAAATTTGATTTAAAATGTTTATGGGAATTTTTGGGGTAACTCACAAAAATATATATAGCGCGAACGACAATTAAAAATTTTTATTTCGGTAATTTACGGAAATTTTCGAGGTAATTTATGGAAATTTATGCGGTAATTTATAGAAATTTTGTCTAAAATTCATAAAAATATGTAAAGCATAAATCAGAATTAAAAATTATTATTTTGGTAATTTACGGACATTTCCGAGGTAATTTATGGAAATTTTCGCGGTAATTTACAAAAACATATACAGCGCGAACGACAATCAAAAATTTTATTTCAGAAATTTATAGAAATTTATGCGGTAATTTATGGAAATTTATATGGTAATTTATAGAAATTTTGGCTATAATTCATAAAAATATGTAAAGCATAAATCGCAATTAAAGATTTTAATTTCGGTAATTTATAAAAAATTTCGTGGTAATTTACAAAAATTTATATAGCGCGAACGACAATTAAAAATTTTATTTTGGTAATTTATGGAAATTTATGCAGTAATTTATGGAAATTTATACGGTAATTTATAGAAATTTATTTGGTAAGTTATAATAAACTTACCGGAGCTATGATAGTTTATAATAAATATTTTTAATTTCATTTGTTTCACATATATATAGACTAAAATAATATAACTACACTTTATTTAACCTTTATTATTTAATTATATTCTATTTTTTTAAATAATATTGAAGGGTCGGTGGATGCCGGTGGAGACAATTTTGTGATGCCCTGTACAAATTTGAATCTTAAAATGTGTAAATAAAGGATAAATCAATTAGAAAATTGATTATTTTCTTCATGAATCAACTTAAGGAATATAACTTTTGCTGTTACTGAAGTAGAACTATATTAACATTTGACTTTTATTTAAATAATTCAATGTTTAATAATAAAACGCAGAATAACACACAAAAGTGCAGTCAAGTATAAATAGCAAAAAAAAAAAGAAAATAATTTTTTTTTTGATCAAACTTTTTTTTTATTCAATTCCACTACAATATACAATACTAAAATAGCAACAGAAATTGTATTTATTAGTGCACATTGCTAAAAATATTAACTTTTTTGTTTAAACATCCTGTGGGGACAGGTGAAATTTTGACGTTTTCAGCCTTAAAAACCACTTTTCACGAAAAATTATAATGTTAAATACAAAAATAACTATTGGTTTTTGTTTGTAGTCACAGAAATTATCTTTTTACATTGGAATCGAAATATTATGTGAATATTATTTGTGATTTTTCTTTCACAACATGAAAAAAAGCAAGTTGTGCGCTACGCTGAGAATCACCCATATATATGAAAAAACAGATAAATAAAAGTTTCATTAAATGAAAAATTAGTTAAACAAAAATTCTTCGGTAAGAAAATTCCATTTATTATAAATTTTTACTTTATAAAATCTTATTAATGACATTTTTTTTTACATTTGAAAAAAAATGTAAATAAAATACATTTTTTTAGTATAAAATGTAGATCTTCTTCAATTCAAATATTTAACAAATTTTGAAATAAAATGATTCTTCACTAAATTAATTATTTTTAATAATTTTAATGAAATACATCACAAATTCAATTATATCAAAATTATTTTTCAATTAAAAATTTTATGAAATTTAACAATTGTTTATAATTTTAAAAAAATATATCACAATAAAATTGCATTATTTTTTAAAAATTTCAATTCAAAATAAACTAAAATTCAATTATTACCCGAAATTTTAATTCAAAATCAATTCAAAATCCAATAATTATCCACAATTTTCAATTTAAAATTTAATTATTTGCCAAGTTTTCAATCTAAAATGAAATAAAATTCAATTATTTTCTAAAATTTCTATTCAAAATTAATTATCCAAATTATCAATCAAAAATTAACTTAAATTAAATTATTATCCAAAATTTCAATTCAAATTCAATTATTTCCCAAAATTTTTCAATTCAAAATGATCTGAAATTCAATTATTTTCCAAATTTAAAATCAAATAAAATTTCATTATTCTCAAAAATTTGAATTCAAAATTAATGGAATTTAAAAGCATCTAAAATTTAATTATTTCTAAAATTTTCCATCGTCAATTTTTTTTTTGAAATTTAATAATTTCAATTATAACTCTAAGGAAATTCAATTATTTTTAACCATTTTAATAATATTCTTTGAAATTTCAACTATCTGAAACCATTTTTCAATTAAAAATGATTTTCAAATTATTGTATTTTGTCCGCATTTTCTAATAAATTTTTAGTGAAATCATCTAAAATTTTAATTACAAAACACTTAAAGTTTCAATTAATTTCAAAAATCTCAATTTTAAATCTTTGAAAATTCAATTAAATTTAAAAAATGTTTTCCAAAAATTGTTTGATAAATTATTTTTAGTTCTGTAAAATTTAATAATTGTTTGAAAATTAACAATATTTTTTGAAATTTCATTATTTCTAAAAATTTCAACTTTAACCCTTCGAAAAGGATTATTATTAAAAAAAAATTTTTCATTTAAAAATCTGTAAAATATTTTTGTTAAAATAAGAAACAAATCCATTTTTTTTTGTAATATAAATCGACTAAAACGTCTTTTTGTGTCTTTAAGTTGATTCGAGGCCTGTGTTTTTATAATTAATATTTAATAGGTATTCGTTGGCCTCTGGTACCTTAAAAATAAATTTTTAAAAATAAATTTTTTTCAAATTACTATCTTGTACTATTCAAAGAAACACGTGAAATCAGAAAAGGCCAATTTCAAGTTAGGACAGAAGGACAGACCAAGCATTCTATTATTATATATAATAATTTAATTGAAATATTTTGTATTTCCTTGTTTTTTTTTAATTTAATTTTTTGCTACATAACCTAAATGATTTTTTGCAGTAAGTTTTGAATAAATTCTGAAAAAATGTTCAAATGAAAATAATCAATAGATTTTCTTTTATAACAATTTTTGTTCTGATTGAACAGATCTCAGTGTGACGAGTACATGATTCTAAAATATTGTTTCTGTTCTAGAAGATAACCTTTTATTTCAATTTTTCATTTAGCTATTTATCCAATAGATAACGTTATAATTTTAAAGCATTTTTTCATTAAACAGTAAAGTAGAATTTACTGCGTATAATGTTTGTAACTATTTTCATTCAATATTGTTTTAATGATATATAAAAGCAATATTATAATTCACATTATAAATTTTACTAAATAAAAAAAAAGATTGTAATTTTAAAAAGTAAAAAATTTGTATTCTTATAACTGACTGCAAATTTATTTTAATATTTAGCAGTTTCATAATTTATTTCTAAAACTAAATCATAACCTTAAAATAATCGTATTTTTCTTAATTAGATAAATTAAAAAATATTTATAATTACTTCAAACATTTATTGAAGAAATGTTGCGACGGACAATAATAACATTAAAATATTTATCCTATTATTCAATTATTAATTGCATATATTCTCAACAAAAAGAGAAAATGTTATTTAACTTTTGAGGGATATTTAAACTTTCAATAATAACATTAGGGTGAAATCACATGTCTGCAACTGTCACTCAGCAGGGTAAATAGGTTCTTATAATATAATAATATAAATATAAACTATGGATACAAGTATAAAATTTCTTTTAATATTAATATAACAATAATCGAGTAATTAATATTAATTTTATATAAAAAACGTTATATATAAAACAAATTATATATACAGAAACAAAAGGAGAGAGGGAAAGAGATTAAATAGAAAAAGAATATCTCTCTTCTTTTCTATATTTTATGCTTGACCTTCACAAAAGTGTTGTGTTAAGGCCTTAATCTTTGACGTACATAACCTCATTGTTTTGTATGGATTCAATATTATTATTTTTAACATAAAAGAAAGACAAAAATATTAATTTTGATTTTATGCAGAAATTCTTTAATCAAGAAACTAATAATATATTTATCATAATTAACGATTGATAATTGTAATTTAATGTTTAGAACTGTTTTGAGGTTACATATATAATGTCAACACGTTGGTAAGTATATTTTCGAATTAAAATTAACCGGCAACAATGTTATAAATATTCAAAATAAAACAATACTATTACGCTTAGATTTCCTTTGAACAATTTCTGTTTTTTTTTCGACAATTTACTGTAATAAATGCATTTTTAAAAATTATTCAAATATTGATAAATTCATATTTTGTTATTTCGAGAAATTTAAATAAATAAAATTTCTCACATAACCACTTAAGTTAATTTTAAGGAAGAAAAATTGTACTAAATTATTTATCATCTTTGTTAAACCCAAATGGTTTTATTAAACCAATTTATTAATAATGGCTAATAAAAATCATGATTTTTTTTTAAATCCATACGATTGATTGTTCAGAATCATGAAGAAAGTGTACAAAAAAAATTTGCAATGAAAAATAATAAAAATTGCGACAAAAGTTTACATTTTAAGTGTTCGAAAATTTCGAGTTTCATTTAAAAAAACTAACAAAATTAAACGCGCGCCAAATTGAATGCTTAATTGTTTGTTATAAAGAAATTAAAGATTAATATTATCAATAATAATTTAATTTATTAGAATATTATTACATATTAAATGATAATAATGAAAATTATATGTTTACAGGCCTCGGATTATACGACTTTTTCCGACTTTTTTCAAAATTACGACTTTTATCGACTTATTTTAATAAAATGTGACATTTTTTTTTTACATTTGAAAAAAAATGTAAATAAAATACATTTTTTTAGTATAAAATGTAGATCTTCTTCAATTCAAATATTTAACAAATTTTGAAATAAAATGATTCTTCACTAAATTAATTATTTTTAATAATTTTAATGAAATACATCACAAATTCAATTATATCAAAATTATTTTTCAATTAAAAATTTTATGAAATTTAACAATTGTTTATAATTTAAAAAAAAATATATCACAATAAAATTGCATTATTTTTTAAAAATTTCAATTCAAAATAAACTAAAATTCAATTATTACCCGAAATTTTAATTCAAAATCAATTCAAAATCCAATAATTATCCACAATTTTCAATTTAAAATTTAATTATTTACCAAGTTTCAATTTAAAATGAAATAAAATTCAATTATTTTCTAAAATTTCTATTCAAAATTAATTATCCAAATTATCAATCAAAAATCAAAAATCAAAAATCGGAAGTGCGAGTTACACTCGCACTGAAATCAAGGGTTCCGTACTCGAAGCGAACTTATTTGGTATAAAAACAAATGTTTAAAAAATATGTGTTGTATGTTAAATAATATATGTGATACAAAAAGAAACAATTTAAAAAAAAAATTTTGAGAAAATTGTTCCTCCTTTGGTATAAAAACAAAAAAAAATTTTAAATATGTGTTGTATTTCAAATAATATAAGTGATACGAAGAGGAACAATTTTCTTAAATTTTACAAAATTGTTCCTCTTCGTATCACTTATATTATTTGAAATACAACACATATTTAAAATTTTTTTTTGTTTTTATACCAAAGGAGGAACAATTTTCTCAAAATTTTTTTTTTAAATTGTTTCTTTTTGTATCACATATATTATTTAACATACAACACATATTTTTTAAACATTTGTTTTTATACCAAATAAGTTCGCTTCGAGTACGGAACCCTCGATTTCAGTGCGAGTTACACTCGCACTTGTCCGATTTTTTTCGTTTTTTGTGGAAAAATACAATTTTTATTAAATTTATCATTTTTCCTCAAAAATTTGATAAAAATTGATCATCAACTCCAATCGCGCTTACATTCTTTCCCTGTATTTTTCACGCAAAAATACAGTTTTGCAGCAAATATGAACAGTTTGGGTTGAATATTATGTGCGCTTGGGAGAATAAATCATTTTTTTCGAAATTTTTGATTTTTCCTTGACAACGCTATGTAAATTGTTCCGAATCAAGTTCGCTATATTTTTCCTGTAATTTTCACTTTAAAATACGTAAGTGTACCAAATTTGAGCTCTTTATGTCAAAAGATGTGGCTGCTAGGGGGGGGGTACATAGTCATTTTTAGGTATTTTTCGTAAAAATTCATGGTTTTTCCTTGACAACGCTATGATAATCAACTCCAATCATGCTCGCTATATTTTTTTTGTAATCTACACGTAATAATACGTTAAAATATATCAATTTAAATCCCTTTAAATAAAATTTTGTTTCCTTTTTGGTGGAAAAATACATTTTTTTCCTAAAATTGTCATTTTTTCTTGAAAAACTTGATAAAAAGTTAATCATCAACTCTAATAGTGATTGCTTTTTTTTCCCTGTATTTTTCCCGTAAAAATACATTTGTATACTAAATATGAACTGTCTGGGTTGAATATTGTGTGCGCTTGGGAGAAAAAATCAATTTTTTCAAAATTTTTTATTTTTCCTTGACAACGCTATGTAAATTGAGCTGAATCAAGTTCGCTATATTTTTCCTGTAATCTACACGCAAAAATACATATGTGTACCAAATTTCAGCTTTCCAGATAAATTCGTGTGGCCGCTAGGGGGGGGGTACACGATTTAAAAAAAAACCGATATTAATAGGGTTCCGAACCGAGTATGGAACCATAAAAAGGAACTTAAATTAAATTATAATCCAAAATTTCAATTAAAATTCAATTATTTCCCAAAATTTTCAATTCAGAATGAACTGAAATTCAATTATTTTCCAAATTTAAAATCAAATAAAATTTCATTATTCTCAAAAATTTGAATTCAAAATTAATTGAATTTTCAATAATTTGAAATTAAAAGCATCTAAAATTTAATTATTTCTAAAATTTTCCATCGTCAATTTTTTTTTTGAAATTTAATAATTTCAATTATAACTCTAAGGAAATTCAATTATTTTTAACCATTTTAATAATATTCTTTGAAATTTCAACTATCTGAAACCATTTTTCAATTAAAAATGATTTTCACATTATTGTATTTTGTCCGCATTTTCTTATAAATTTAGTGAAATCATCTAAAATTTTAATTTCAAAACACTCAAAGTTTCAATTAATTTCAAAAATCTCAATTTTTAATCTTTGAAAATTCAATTAAATTTAAAAAATGTTTTTAAAAAATTGTTTGATTAATTATTTTTAGTTCTGTAAAATTTAATAATTGTTTGAAAATTAACAATATCTTTTGAAATTTAATTATTTCTAAAAATTTCAACTTTAACCCTTCGAAAACGATTATTATTTAAAAAAAAATTTTTCATTTAAAAATCTGTAAAATATTTTTGTTAAAATAAAAAACAAATCCACTTTTTTTTGGAATATAAATCGACTAAAACGATTTTTTTGTGTCTTTAAGTTGATTCGAGGCCTGTTTTTTTATAATTAATATTTAATAGGTATTCGTTGGCCCCTGGTACCTTAAAAATTGATTTTTAAAAATAATTTTTTTTCAAATTACTATCTTGTACGAAATTTCCTGGCGCATCTTTTTTCTTATCATAAATTTTTTGTATTTGTATACAATTTTTGAATCAATATACAAGTTTAAAAAAAATTTCGTTGGTAAACGTTGTGTACTTCAGCTTCGTGAATTGAATTTTGAAATTTGGAATTTTAAAGAAACTTATTCCGAAATATAGAAACACAATTATAAAAATTAGGCAAAAATGTGAAAAAGAATTGTCAAAATTTGACACGTCATAAGATTACTATTAAAAAAAAAAAAACGTGAAATCAGAAAAGGCCAACTTCAAGTTAGGACAGAAGGACAGACTAAGCATTTTATTATTATATAATAATTATTAATGAATTAATTGTTTTTCAATCTCCCATGGTATATTACATTTTTATATATGTGACCTTGACAGTGAAAAGGGGGCTTACGTGCGAAAAAATCGATATTTTATTGATTGGTGATTCTGATTGAGTAAACTTTTTTCTATCAAAATCACCAATCAATAAAAAATTAATTTTTTCGCACGTAAGCCCCCTTTTCACTGTCTAGGTCAAATATACTCAATTTTGCCAGAAAAAAAATTAAAATCAATCTTAAACATCCTAAATTTCGAAAGGTTGAAATTTCAGCGGTCCCTCCCCTTAAGTCATAAATTTTGTAATATTTAATCTTATATATTAATAAATAAATAAATAAATAATAAATAAATCTTAAAAAGTTTGGATTACTAGAGTTTTTCTTTTTTTTTTAGAAAATATTAGAATTGATATATAAAAATTTTGAACTAAAATTATTCAAAAAGAAATTTTTTTTAAATGTTTTGAGTTTTGCAACTTTAATAACTTTGTAATAATAGTAAAATTGCTTAAATAAATCAAACAATACGTTTTCAAATTTAATTTAAATTAATTATAATAGTTTTGATGTAATATAAAGATTTTTAAACAAATATTTTAAAAAGTCGTGTTTTCAAAAATTTATATTGACAAAAAGTAAATAATTTTTGATAAATTTATTATTTATAAATCTATTTAATAAGAATTTATTTTAAAAAATGCTGGAAACATTTTAATTTACAACATTTTTTTTTAAATCATGATTTAAATGTAACTAATCTTACGATTTAAATCATTATTCAAACGAAGTTAATTTAAGGGGACCTTCTGGTTTAGAATTGACAAAAAAGACACGTTTTAAAACTTTTGTTGTAAGAAAATTATTAAATAAATTGTAAAAATTCTTTTCTGACATTGTTGCACATTACATAGAGAAAATTAAAAAAAAATTTTTTTGAGTGTATTTAGTTCATTTTCTTAGCTGTAGCGTCTTCTAAAAGGTTCCTTTTTTGGTACAGGTGATTGCGGACAATTTGTAATATATAATTTCAAATTTCTAACGCGAATCTTTTCATAAGGGTTTATTCTAGAGAATAAATCCAAACAACAATTTTTTAGAAGGTTTTTTTTTATTTTTTATGAACATTTTTCTCAAAAATTCGAAAAAACGCCCTGTTTTCGGGGCAATTTACCCCTGTATTAAAACACAGGGGGTAAAAATATGAAGTTTTAAAGGTAAATCTCTAGTTTTTTAACTAAGGAATCGAATGGTTTTTGGTTTTTTAAAATCGGTTGAGTAGATTTTGAGAAAAGCCGTGCACCACTTTGAAAAATGTGTTTTCGAGAAAAACGCGTTTAAAATTTTCATAACATAATACATTGAGCCAGGACTATAAAAAAATTTTTGATTACAACTTTTGTTTTTTTTTTTTACATATTTTTTAAAAAATGTTTTGGGACAGTAATTTTACGATACTAAGGAACATTTTCAAGCAAAAAAAATCGATTTTTTTGGAATTCTAAACCAAAAAGTCCCCTTAAATCATTTTAGTCCTGATTCAAATAATTTTATTTCAGGTATCCTTTTTATCAAAGAGGGAATCCTCAATTGCGCGTTTTTTTATCCAATTTTTGGTTAAAACTCGTCAAGCCTGAACAAAAACAACCAAAAAATATTGTCAAATTCCATTGTTCAATGGAAATGACAAGATTTGATGTAAAAAATTATTTAGAAAAAATATATAATATCAAATCAGTTAATGTAAGGACAAGAATAAAATTAGGAGAAACAAGCACTAAAAAAACTGGTTACGTTGTAAAAGATGATGATATTAAAATAGCATATGTTGTTTTGGTAAGTTTAATAATAAAAATGAAAATTATATTTTAAAAGCAATATTTTAGAAACAAATTTAGTAAAATTAAATTGTTAAATTTAAACAATTATACAATAAAAATTATTAAATGAAATTAATTTAAATATTTAAAATTCAGAGTTATCTTAAAAATAACTGCTTATAAAAAGAATTTCCCTGAAATACTAATTATTATTTCTCTTCAGAATAGAAATGAGAGCTTCGAATTTCCTGATGTTTTTGTAACAGAGGAAGTAAAAAAAGACAAAGAAGAAGAAACTGAACAACTGGAGATGATGAAAAAAGGATTTCAAGACTATTTGAAATTTAACAAACGATCAGATAGATTTCAAATGCCAGGATGGTACAGTCTCTAATTTATTTTCTTAGTTAATTTATTTTACTTATCATCGTTTTCGTAGTAAAGAAAATAAAGGAGAATTTTAAAATATCTTGTTTTTAAGAATGTAAAAATTAGCTTGAATTAAGATTTGTACCGAATTTGTAAAATAACAACAAACTAAATAAAATCAAACCGAAGTAGACGTATTAAAACCCTAAAGAGTTTTAATTTGATTCCGAATCAAACTATAATAGAATATAGAATTAAAATATCGAAATAAAATAGAAAATAGATTTTCGTGAATATAAAAAAATGTTAAAGTGCGATTCCAGGTGAGATTTCGACTTTTTCGGAGTAGGTTAACCGATTGCAATGAAACTTTGGAATTTTGTTATATATAGTAAGACTAATCTTTAACGTAAATTTCAGCTTAAAATATTTGTTAGTTTACGAGATTTACTTGCATTTACAATTGGATTCCTTTGGAACATTAAAGAAAACACAGGTAAGATCATTTTAGCGTTTAAGTGATTAAATTTTAGATTGTCGCTTGAAATTTATTCAATTATTATTTACTAATCTTTTTAGTTGTAAAATTATAAAAAATTGTTCTGAAAGAGATTTATTCCTCTCATTTTCCTTAACATTTTAAAAAAAAGTAGACCTCAATCCGATTATTAGAACGGAAAATATAGCAGTTTAAAATTTTTTGTTATTATTGCAAATCTTATAAACTAACAAATATTTTAAGCTGAAATTTACGTTAAAGATTAGTCTTACTATATATAACAAAATTCCAAAGTTTCATTGCAATCGGTTAACCTACTCCGAAAAAGTCGAAATCTCACCTGGAATCGCCACTAAATAATAATTGTAACTTAATATTTAAATAGAAAAAATTGAATCCTTTATTTTTCAAAATTACAAACATTGCAAAATATTGATATTAACCATCATATTTTTGCAAACAATTTCAAGAACTTAAAAACAAACAAATTCTTAATTTAGATTTAAAAAAAAATTGTTTAAAATGATTAAATAATTAATTAACTGAGTTCTCCATTCTTTTGATAACTTTATCGTATTCTTCTTCTAATAAACGGTATTCTTTCTCGAGTATTTCCATACAATATTCTGGTTCAGACAGTATTCTGTTTGCGTCGGTTAATTTCACACTGGACTCTTTTTTTAAACCGTGTTGCTCCCTTTTTAAAGGAATGTTTAATCTTCTTTTTACATCAAGTCTATAACAACGATATTCACTTTCATCTGAAGTATTTGTCTCTCGTAGTCTTAATATTTCGTATATTCTACGAGCTTGTCTCTGAAATTTAGAACATTATTATTATTATTATTTTTGAGAACAATATAATAAGGATTTTATTTTCAAATAGAGGTGAGGTGAACCTTGAAATTGATGAGGAATTTTTATACTTTTAAAAATAATTTTCTTAGTACCTACTTTGAATTTTTATTTATTTTATATTTGTTTAAAATAAATTTGTAATATTTTATAAGAACTTTTTCATAGTAAGTCACGATTTTTACTTTTGCATCTTTAATTTTTTTTAATTATTCCATCCAAATGTAATATAACTGTTAACGAGAGGTTCTGATGCCAAAAGAATATAAAACACGATATATAACTCAAGTGAGGGTTTATTATGTTCACAAAATACAAAAGAGAAAAATGGTAATCAAACAACGAACAGACTTGTACGAAGAGCAAAAATGTAGTGACTTATATGGAAATAAAGAACTAGAGTCTAAAAGTAAAAAGAAAATCACAAGTGACATCTGGTGTCAATTACAAGAGAACGTTGGAGCGTAATTTAAAAACTCAATTTTCGCTAACACTTCCCCTCGAAACAACCTTTGGCGTTTTGACCCTCGCCCCACGTAGTCCCAGCAAAGAAACGCATTTCTCATGCTTTGGTCTCGATAAGTCCTTGGTGAAAATATCGGCCGACATGTCACATCTAGCCACGTGCTCCAGGAAAATTTGACCCGATTCGATGATTTCCCGAACAAAATGATGCCGAACATCAATGTGTTTTGTTTGGCCGTGAAAAACTGGGAAAGTTGCCAGTCTCTGCGCACTAAGGTTGTCAATGCACACTTTGATGTTGGATTTATCTGATTGACCCAGCTCCTGCAGGAATCGCCGTGGGTACACCGCTTCCTTGGCAGCCTCGCTCAGAGCCATGTACTCTGCCTCAGTCGTACTTAGGGCAACAGTTCGTTGCTTTCTCGAATCCCAAGTGATAACTCCTCCATTCATCACGAACCCGTACCTTGTGAATGAACGCCTGTCGTCGATGGAGCCAGCCCAGTCAGCGTCCACATATCCGACAAGGTCACATTTCCTGTACTTGTAAAATATCCCACGATCGGCGGTACCCTTGAGGTATTGGAGTACTCGCTTTGCTGCTATCCAGTGTGATTTGTTGAATTTGTCGTTGAACTGTCCAAGCTTGCTCGCTGCGTGAGAAATATCAGGGCGACTTGCTATTGAAAGATACAGCAGACAGCCAACAAGTTCACGGTAGGGTGGTTTTTGTCCGTCAGAGTCGGACCACACTTCGCCTTGAACCAGTTTCGTACCACAGTCCAGAGGAGTCGTCACCAAATTGCAGTCCATCATGTTGAAGCGCTGGAGAACATCGATGATGTATTCTTTTTGATTGATGAGGAATCCCTTTTCACATCTCGTAAAGTCCATTCCGAGACAGTGTTTCAAGTCTCCGACGTCCTTGATCTCGAAAATGGTCGGCAACTTTGTTCCAAATTTGTCGATTTCGGCACGGTTTCGACACATCACGAGAAAGTCATCAACATAAATCACGACTATTGTCAGTTCACCACTGTTTGAATGTCCGACATAAACACATGGATCTAATTTCGTAGGACACAGCCCAAGATTCCGCAATTCTTTGTCGAAGAGTTTGTACAAAGCTCGACCAGCTTGCCTCAAGCCGTACAGAGCCTTTCTCATGTGACAGATTTTGTCTCCCTTCTTCAATGCGTTCAATATGGCTCGAGACTTTTCGATAAATGCTCTGTCACCCTTGTTTTGATCGATTATAAATGATAGTACTTCTTCCATTCGGTCAGGAATCTCTATGAACACTGTTTCTTCCAGAACTCCGTTCAAGTACGCCGTCGTCACATCGAACTGTCGAATATGCATCCCTTCTTGAGCAGCAAGAGCAACGGTGGTTCGAATTGAGCTTAAACGTGCGACCAGTGCATAGGTCTCATGAAAATCCTTGCCAAATACCTGAGAGTAGCCTTGAGCGATGATCTTGGCTTTTCTTCTCTCCAATTGACCATCTGATCCGAACTTTTTGCGTAGTATGAATCGACTCCCAATGATTCCTGATTCTGCTGCATCTTCTCGTTCGACTGGATCCCAGGTTTCCTTGGTTATAATTGATCTGACCTCTTCCGCCATGGCCAGCATCCATTCTTGAGATTCAGGACTCGTTAACGCGTGCTTCAGTGGAATTTCTGCCAACATAACTAAATCGATATCAGCTGCGTGAACTTTCCTTGGCCTACCAGGTCGTCCTGTGCGTATTGTCCGTGGTCGTCCTCGTTGTGTTCTATTTATCGGATCAACTGGAGGAAATCCAAGAAAATCCTCCTCGAAGTCCTCTTCGGAATCCTCTCCATCGTTGTCGAAGTCCGCCTCTTCCAAGATTTGATCAGTTGGTTCTACGGATTTTCAATTATTACACAAATCGAGTTCGACGATAACTTGTTCTCTGGTGTCATCCGTGGCACAGCAGGCAGTTCACTTTCCAGAAATGGATCCTCAACATTTTCCAGGAACGATCTCAACTTCCTGATTAAAAATTTTACGTCTCTTGATATTTCGAATTTCCTTTCTTCTGGCACCCAAATTTTATAGGCTTTTACCTCGGCACTGTACCCCACAAAAACACCTTTTCTCGATTTTGGTTCGAACTTTCCTCTTCCTGGAGACCGGTACATGACGAAGACATCACTTCCGAACCTTTTGAAATTTGATACATTCGGCGGACTCCCGTGCCAAATTTCGTGAGGTGTTTTTCCCTGTAGCTTGCTGACAGGCGATCTGTTGTGAATGAAATTCGCTGTGTTGACGCATTCCGCCCAAAAATTCGCCGGCAGACTTGACTGAATAAGTAAACACCTTGCGATATCCACGAGAGTTCTGTTTCGCCTCTCCGCCACGCCGTTTTGCTCCGGGTTATATGGTGCAGTCAGGCGTCGACTGATGCCGTGTTTTTCGAGAACGGCGTCAAGTCCTAGGTTTTCATATTCTTTGCCGTTGTCCGTCTGTAAGTACTTGACACTTTGTCCTCGTTGCGTTTTCACTAGGGCCAAGAATTTTTCGAATTCGATCACAGCTTCACATTTCCGTTTTATGAATCGTATCTCGCACCACCGACTCGCGTCATCAATAAATGTGATAAAATACCGACTTTTACCGTTCGATTCTACGCGCATGGGACCGCAGATGTCCGAATGTATTAATTCACCGGGAACTGTCACTCTCTTGGATTCTTTCGGAAAAGAAGGACGGCACATCTTCCCTTGAAGACAAACATGGCATTGAAAATCGTCCTCTTTGTCGTCAACCTTGATTCCTTGGATGGTTCCACTTTTTATTGCTTCCTTGAGAAACTTGACATTCAAATGTCCCATTCGAATGTGCCAATCTTCAATCGAATTTTCCCTCAAAGTTGACGCTGCCACTGTCGATTCGGAGATCTTGCACTGTGGTTCAATAGAATCCCGTAAATAATATAATCCGTTTTCGCGTGTTGCCTCGATTAAAACATTCCCTTTGTTATCAAATACTTTAGCTTTATTCTCGCTAAATACCACATCGTGTCCCGCGTCGGTTATCCTACTGATAGAAATTAAATTCGTGCGTAGTTCCGGCACAAATAAAGTGTCACTTAACTCGACAATCTTATTATCATTGCAAACTTCGGTCACCGCTGTCGCTGTGCCTTTTCCCGAAATATTCGCGTGCGCACTACTAGCGAGACTCACTTTGCCAAAGTTCTGATTCTCACTAATCTCACTAAACGAAGTTTTGTCTTTGCACATGTGAGATGTGCAACCATTGTCGAAGCACCAACTATTCTTTTTCGAAGCACCATCAATTTGATACGATTTATATGTCGGCGTTTCCGATGTTGTAAGCAAGCACACTTTTTCCGCTGTACTCGCAGTTACCTTCGAACTATTGGGCTTGTTACAGAATTTCGCTCTGTGGCCGATTTGTCCGCATTTAAAACACTTCATTTTCCAATCCTTTTTCGTCGAATCACTTTTTACCGAATTACCCTGTCGATCACTTTTACCCTTATGTTCTGATTTTCGAACGAACATAGCATTTTGCGCTGCACCTCTATTCACTTCCCTACGAGCGTCGAATTCTTTCGCGATTTTTATTCGAAGTCTTTCGAGATCGGGCAACTCATCGCGCGACGAGATTGCGCAGCGAAAATTTTCAAACGATTCTGGTAAACTTCGTAAAAGCATCAGAGTTAATAGGTCTTTGTTGATTTCAACTTCCATCTCGGCTAATTTATCCACAACATCAAAGAATGTTCGCGAGCATCATCGCCTTCCTTCATTCTCAACGATATCAAGGTGTTTAACAGCGCAGCCTTCCGCGCCGGACCCTTGGACTGATATATTCCTTCCAATTTGGTCCAAATTTGATGCGCGGAGTAGCACCCCTTGATGTGTTTTATTTCCGAAGGGTTCATCGCGAGCACAATGTCGGATTGTGCTTTCAAATTTTTTCGCAGCTTCGGCCGATGCCGCGTCGCCTTCTGTTACCGCAGGTTTTTCGATTGTTCCATTAGCGTATCCCCACATATTATTTTTTATGAGCACCGCACGCATCATAATTTTCCAGGTTTCATAGTTGTCTTTATTCAAGACATCAAAACGTACGCCTGTCGTATTCATAGTGATGAAAAAAGAAAAAATGTTCGAGAAATTTCTGAAACTAAAACGACCACGCGAGACGCGCTGACGATTACAAAAACAAAATGTCCGATGGAACCGAATAGGCGTCGCAAGAAACTTTTGACTTTAACTCACCGATCACTTCGCGGCCTGGGCCCATAACCTGTTAACGAGAGGTTCTGATGCCAAAAGAATATAAAACACGATATATAACTCAAGTGAGGGTTTATTACGTTCACAAAATACAAAAGAGAAAAATGGTAATCAAACAACGAACAGACTTGTACGAAGAGCAAAAATGTAGTGACTTATATGGTAATAAAGAACTAGAGTCTAAAAGCGAGGGGCTGTTCACTCTCGAATACCCGATTTGTAATGTAGAGAATATACTAGATATCTTCCGAATATTCATCAATTAACATAAGAAAATGTAAATTTCTTGATTCTGAATATATTGTATTTTAAGTGGAGATTACCGACGATTATTGAAAAGGACGTTCGAATTTGTCGAATACTATGCGAATCCGAACGAATCTCGCGTCGATTCCAGTAAAATCCTAAGTCATGCAGTAAGAATTGTTGTATAAATAATATAAAATTATTTACACTAATTATTATTATTGACTGATTTTTTTTATCATAATCTTCACTTCCTTGTATATATACTTTACTTAGTCTGCGCGACACGAAGCAGCGCAAAGAAGGAATTTGTGAATACACTGTGAATATCAACGAGTCCGTCCGATTCCGTTCGAATCAGAAGCCGAATACGTATGAGTCCTTGCGATTAAGCGCGAGGTATAGTCAATGGCTCAAATACTACCGAATTATACAATTAATTTATTTTTCTTGCAAGTAATTCTCAATTACTTTAAATAAAATGAAAGCACTATTTCCCTTAATTTCAAAATAGGAATTACGAAAATGACTAGCAATCCTTAAAAATCTTTAATGAATTCTCAAATATTGTTCAATTGGATTTTCAGTGAACAGCCCCTCGTCTAAAAGTAAAAAGAAAATCACAAGTGACATCTGGTGTCAATTACAAGAGAAGGTTGGAGCGTAATTTAAAAAGTCAATTTTCGCTAACAGAAACTTTTTGATCCAAGTTCATATTTATATTTTTTAAAAAATAATAACATACCTTATTAATCTTAAATCGATCTCTTGCTTCAGTTGCCATCATTTTATTGAAACCTTGAAGTAGGCAATCTTTCTGAAAACTTGGTAATGTACTGCAATTTTGTGCATCAACATAATCTCTCAATCTTTGAAAAGTTGGTGAAGGTCCTTCGACTAATATAATACAATGAAAAGCAAAATAATTTATTAGTTTAAAAAGAATTTTTTTACCATTCTTTGATCTTATATTAATTGAGGGGGGGCGCATGAATTTCCTATAAAAATCATTAATTCGAATTTTTATTTTTAAGTTTTCATTAGAAATAATTATTTTTTAGACGAATTTTTCAATTAAAATTTAACAGATTTTCTTTTTATACGAATTTTTACGTAACAAAATTTTTTTTTGATGAAAGAAAAACCTCTTAAACAAAAAATGTATAAACCTTTAAAAAAATTTTCTCTATATCTTAGAAAGTAATAAAATTATGAAAATGAATGTGATATTTTTAAAAAAGTGTCTTTTTCAATGCTTTAGTAAAATTTGAATTACTCCTAAATCAAACGTTTTTTAATGTTATTGGTCTTATTTCAAAAGTTGATTTTCTACAGAATAAAAATTACTAGTAAGCATTAACGTGTAATTTTTTTTTCTGAAAAAAATGCAAGCCGTCAAAGTTGTAACAAAAAAATTCGAAAAATTTGATATAATTTTTTTAATAAGGTAAAAGCACCAGTACGTGGACACTATTGAAGGGGTCTCAAATTTATTTGTGTTTTGTACTACGATAATTCAATATAATTAATAAAATGTTTGTATTTTCGTTTTATTTACCTTTAAAAAATACTAATTAGACAAAATTAATAATATTAGAAGTTTTAATTAAATTAAAATCATGAAATAATGAAATTGCACATTTGCAGCAGAAGTTGGACATGATTAAGACCTAGTAGTTGGACATTAAAAAAGTAAATTAAATAATAATTTGTTTATTTAGTTATTTTGATTATTTAATAAATTAAATAAATGAACGAAAATATAATTAAACTAATTATATTAATTAAACTGATTGAGTTAATTGAATTAAATCTTTGTCCAACTATTGGGTACAACATATAAAGCGGTAGGTTAACTTGGACAGTCAATTCAGAAAGAATTGGACAGCGATTTTCGAGAAATTGTTTTGTATATTTTTTTTACCTCTAAAATTAATAACTTTTATTTTGCCTAAAAGCTAATTATCTAAAGAGTATCTCAAATTTTTTACATTCTCATCATAATGAGAAGGTATTACATTTGGGCGATTTTGAGCCCTCTCTAATTCCAGTGAATCTCGACGTTTTGAGACTTTCTGATGCCGAAAAAATGGGTCTTAAAAAAATGTCTGTCTGTATGTATGTCTGTAGACAAAATTTGGTCCGACGATAACTCGAACAAATTTTAATGAATCGACTTCAAATTTGGTATACACTTTAAGTGTACCAAAATCTCGCCTGAGTTCGTTGGCCAGATGATTTCGTCAAAAATCAACAAAATTATTCAAATGTCGTTAAAATATATCAAAATTTTCGGATTAAAATTCTATGTACAACATTTTAAGTATCATAGCTAGCTCAGTTATATTGAATGTAAAGTGAAGGTGTATATCGATTAAACTATTTTTTTGAACCTTTTTTGTTTAATATTGTGCACGTCGTAAATAAAAGATTGGTATTTTAATGAAGAAAATTTAGAATAATGTTCTTATAATGGTGCAATATTGGCAAACACCATTGGCCTCATGCACCCCAAAAATTTCGACATGATAACAGCATTGTCAAGAATTTTTTTTCTCTTTAAGATTAGATTTATGCTATTTTGAATTTTCTTTAATAATTCCTCTAAATCTGCAAGTTTTGCTATAGCTTTTTTCTTATTTTCGAGCGTGAAACGAGAGTGCCGTGATGAGAATGTTATCCTTAAAGTCAAAGTACTTTAAGATAATTAAATGTTTTAAAAATTTCACTTACATCCATTGTACACACATTTTTTAGGAATTAAAAAAAAGGGCGATACCTCCTATAAAATTAAATTTTGTTGTTGCTTTAAAAATTGATTTACTATAAAGTTATTTTTTTAAAATGTTTTAAAATTTTCAATTAATTTATTGGTTTACTCAATAGAAATTAATTTGAAGAGGAATAACTTATTTTAATAAATAATCTGGGTTTGTTGATTTCGTTAATTACAAAGAACTGGCCAATCAACGGCGCAAAATTAACGAACTAAGTCTGAACAACTGCAGTGCCGCCCTTTTTTTTCTCGATAAAAAATTTATTCTAATACCTTTAAACCTTACCTATTTGTATAATTTAATTAAGCGCATTTTAATATAAAATACTAGTTCTTCCTAATAAATTATACAAAACAGGTCATTTACATAAAGCTTCCACCTTAAAGTAACTACTTTTGTACTTATTTAAACTCTGTGTGTAATTAAATTGACTATTTTTAATAAAATTAATAAAAAAAATTTTTTCTATTACACGTATCACTTCAATATTTAGTTAAATGAACTAAAAAATCTGAAACTACTACAAAATCTCATTCTACCAAACTGATTCTTGGGTCATTCAAGTACTTTCTGATAGAATAATTAATACAAGTTTTAAATGAAATTCATGAATTTTTGAACTATACAATTTAGACAAAAAGTAATTAATGATACTAGGTTATTTAATTGTAAAAGACAAACGGAGCGTGTAGCGCAATGTAAGAAAATGCGCGCGAAGCGCGCATCAATATCGGACCGCGAAGCGGGACGATCGTCCTACGCGCGCCCCGGGGCGCGTTCAATTATGCGAGCGAAGCGAGCTCCTACGCGCGAAGCGCGTGACGAGAATGTGGCCGCCCCCGCAGGGGGCTGCCGGATTTTTTTTAATTAATTTGAGGGCTATTTTAATTTCTTTTTGCTACTGTCCATCTACTGGTTACAATTTTTGCTTTGTTCAGTTACTGGTGCTTTTACCTTAGAAAAATCGTCTTTTAAAATGTATAAAACTTCAAATTATTTAGATTTTTCAAGGAAATTGAATATTTTAAAAATTATTTTTCTATTAAAAAAATTATATCAAATTTTTCCAATTTTTTTGGTACAATAAGTTTTTTCTAGATCGAACAATGAACAAAATGCATTATCTTCGATATTAGAAAAAAACACTATTCAATATAGATTCAGCCTTACTGAGGAATTCGACTTGAGTTTTGAGTTATCGAGTAGTTTTTTACATTACCTGTTATATCCTTAACTTCATTGCGACCAATATAGTGAATGTAAATAGCTTTTAACAATTCTGCTCCTAAGCCATTGCTTTGAAAAGGTGGTAAAACTAAAATTTGTGCAATCCGAGGTCTTGTATGATTTGGATAGGCATAATACTGATAAACCGTGGAGAAGCCAACTGAAGCATAACGAACAGATCCAGATGGGGACAAGTATCTTTCAAACCTATTACAATTAAAGATACACATAAATACATGACTACATTTGAACATATATTTTTTAATAAATGCAATATTTTTTTAAACACAAGTAGGCTCCTTTGATTCGTCCACAACGCGAAATTCGTGTTATGACATGAGAAATAGTACTCTAAATGCGTTGTGAAAAATTTTAAAAGGGCCACAACGCGAAATTCGCTTTGTGGCTGCTATAATATTCGACCACAACGCATTGTGATAACTTAAATATGTCACAACGCATTCTGGCTTCTTTAATATTTGACCACTAAGCATTTTGATAATTAAGAAATGTTCATATCACATTTTATTGTTTGTAAACAAGCTGTTCGTTAATTACCTATCTCATACTTTCATACTTAATTGGTCAATTTTCTGTTATAAGCATATCATTAGCCTCAACTTACATATTAAAGTAGTCCCATTGATCATCATCTGCATCTACAAAATTTGCAGCATCAATATACCACAATAAAAAGGTTTGCAAACGAGTTTGATATTCTTTGAATCCTTTATCACTCATAGTTGCTTTATACACTTCAAAATGCCTAACATTTTTTTCACCTGGACAAAAAATAATGTTGATAATAAAAATGACAAATGTTAAAAAATTAGTTAAAAATTCATTAATTACCTTGTATGGAAAATGCATGTATTAATTTTCCAGGAGGTACAAAAGAATCCTCTTTATCAAGTGATTTAATAAAAGAATCCATATTGTAATGAACTTGTGAGGAAAGCACTAATGACATCATTTGTAAAACATTATCTGCCTTGATATCTTCATTATTTAAATCTCGAAATTTTTCCGAATAATCCATTCCTAAATATGTCTCCAAACATCCAGCGGAATAATACAGTTTCACTTTTAAATCTCGGTATCCGAATATAGTTTCACTAGTGAGCAAAAAAAAACAGATTAAATAATAATGAATATATATAATTTGTTCCATTTAATATTAATATTATATATAAATAAAAATTATTTTCTGAAATACATAATGTAAATCTTTGCTTAAACATTTTAACCTTCGCCGGACTGGAGATTTTTTATATACGCCGTTGACGAGAACCCACCCAGGGTGGGTGAAATGTTTTCTTCTTTGTATATTAAAATAAAAACTTGGAATCATCCAGTTTTTTTTCTGAAATTGTTATATGTTATCAAATAATATATTTTATTACCGTAAAATGAGGTAAAGTCGGCCGGCGCTTTAAACACTTAAATATTGTATTTCATTTATTAATTTACATTAATTCTAACTACATTTTTAATAAAACTCGGATTTCTTCTGGAAAAAAGTAATAGTTAAACTTTAAAATGATTTAAAGCGCCGGCCGACTTTACCCCATTTTACGGTAATGTTTTGTTGATTTTTTATTTGTTTAAATAATTTATTATTAATAATTTACAACTATCTCAAATGTACAAAGACAGTAGCAAAATTTTATAAATTTCCTACCTTTTCTTCGAAGTTATTAATTTAAAGGTTATAAATATAATAAAATATATAATTAAATTTGCATTAACTATTATTATAAATTGTTTAAACAATTTATTGTTGTTATTTACTAACTTTTTTGTATTGCACCTAGAAAAATACCGTTTCTTTTCCTTTTACGATATTTAGCTTATAAGATTGCAAAACTTGAAAAAAACTGCATCTTTCTAGGTCAGATGAAAAAAGTAAGTTAATAGTAATATTTATTTCTTTAAACAAATGTCGAATTAACAATTTTACATCAAATCTATCTTTTATTATATTCGGCTTGATAAATTGCAAAATTAGAAAAAAAACGGCATCTTTTAAGGTACAATACAAAAAAAGTTAATAAATAACAACAATAAATTATTTAAACAATTGTTAAATTAATAATTTTACATCAAATCTGTTTTATTATATTCGTTTTGATAAATTGCAAAATTAGAAAAAACTGCATATTTCTAGGTGTAGAAGAAAAAAATTTAATAAATAACAACAATAAATTGTTTAAACAAATAAAGAATGCAATATAATATTTTTATATCCATTATTTGACAACATAAAACTTTTACTGTGAAAAGTAAATGTCTTAATGATTTCAAGTCTCTTTTTGTAAAATAGAATTACAAAAATAAAAATAAATTCAAAAAATCTCCGTACATACATTGATAAAAGTTATAAATAATCAAGAAGAAAATTTTTTTACATTGTTTAAAAGTTCTTTAGATATTTTGTTCAGTGACTTAAAATGGCTATTCATTTTAGGCAAAACTTTAAAAGATGACAATTTCAATTCGGTCTGACCCACCCTGGGTATGGGTATCCCGTCCGGCGAAAGTTAAATAGCATTTTAACGGAAAAAACACAATTTTTACTAAAATGGAAAACAATTCCTCATTTATCAGAGACTGAAATAAAAATAAATTTTGAAAAAGCGATCACTTTGGTTTTGAGAAAAGTCACTTTTTAGACTTAATTACAAATTTTTAGATTCTTCCATTGTAGTTACGTTATTTTTTATTACATATTTTAAATATTGAAGAAAACTCGAAAAAATTTCATATTAGGGTTAGTCCACTGACTTTCGTCTAATAGTGGTTGCGACCAAATTTTAAAAAAATCTAGTTTTAATATATGTGAAACTCGATGATTCCCTGAGTTCATTAACCATAATATTATGGTAAAAATTTTATTCCCTTTTGAAAATTAATATCTCCGAAACGAAACAAAACACCTTCGTAAGATTTTAATAGAAGGTAAAGAATATTATAAAAAATCTTTGTGCAAAACCTCAATTTTTTCGGAGCACCGACAAAAAAGTTATAAGTAAATCAAAATCTTGAGAATATTTAAATAAAATTTTTTTTAAAATCGTATATCATCGAAAAATAATAAATTTTTGCAATAATTCTTTCGTTCCTCTGTGCAGAATAAAGTGATTTATGTTTTTGGTGAGTTCCAACATCTAATTTTTAATAGTTTTTTAATAATAGCGTTTTTAAAAAAATTGAAAAATTTAAGGTTACAAAATCACATTATGAACCTCCTACTTTTGATATTTAATATTTTTAAAGGGAATAAAATTTTTACCATAATATTATGGTTAATGAACTCAGGGAATCATCGAGTTTCACATATATTAAAACTAGATTTTTTTAAAATTTGGTCGCAACCACTATTAGACGAAAGTCAGTTAACTGACCCATTAATATTATTTTTTGTCTGTTATTAAGACAGAGAAAAGTGCATTTTAAAAGTACTCTGCTTTTACCTGTCGCCAAATACTTGATGTGACATTTCTGGCTCAAAAGAAATTTCGTCATCTTCAATATCTTTAGTTTCACGAATTAATTTTAAATCTAGTACTATGTTACTGTCGCAGACAAATTGTTTTAAATGGGCATTAACAGTGTCATCCATTTTTCTGAAACAGAATGTATTATTTTATAATCTTCATTACAATTCATAAATTCCATATCGACGGTAGACACGACAAAATTTATTTTATTGTTTTTTCATTAAACAATTGAAAATTAATTAAAATACAACATAAAAAACTAATTTCTATGTTTACAAACAAAAACCAATATTAGTTTTTATTTCTAATTGATAAGTAAGTTTTCAAAAATTGATAAATCCATATTTTGTTATTTCGAGAAATTTAAACAAATGAAATTTTGGTAATTTTTTCTAGCAAAAAAGAATAAAAATTATAAATCATCTTGGATAAGTACGAATGTTTTTAAATTGAAATTTCTATATGTTAAGGGGGCGCCTATTTTAGAAGGTCAAAAAATGTGTAAATTTTAGGAATTTTTTTCTTAAACACATTGAAATAAATCGATGCGAGATGTTTTCTTTTATATTTAAGGAAGTTCTCTCGCAAACAGAAATGACGAAGAGTTAATTATCAAACTTGATAAACTGATAGATAATGGTTTAAAGAAGATGTAGTTAAATTTTTAGAGGTCTAGGTGGATTTTGACAAAAGATATAAATAATTTTCTCTTTTCACATTTAACACGGGTTCTTATGGGAAATTTAATTTTTTGGTCTGAAATCTCAAATTGTGAAAAATCTGACGAAAAGATATTACTGGAACTTTATATACAGAAAGTTTAATAGCCAATGTTCACTTACTTTTAATAAAATTGATCAGACCTGGCTTAGGAGACTCACAATTAATTATTTTGTCTAAAAAAAACACCGTATTTTGACAATCAGAAATTACTTAGCACAACGCTTGGCAACGTTGCGTCTTGTAGGTTAGGTATAGAAAAAGCGCGAAATTTGAAAGTAATATAAGTAGTATATACATATAATAGTATATTCTTCAAAGATTCATAATAATGAATAATAATTTGAATTTGCTTATAAAAAATTAAGATTTTTATAATAATAAATTATTATTATTATTATTTAACGAAAATAAATCAAACAATAGCAGACGACACGAAACGAAACGGGGGAAATATAATCCAACGTTGCCAAGCGTTGAGCTAGTACTACGTGATACAAATGAAAACTTAAATGGGCATTGATTTGACTGACGTTGGAGGGAGAGAACTTCCTTAAACCTTTGAAATAAAATTTTTTTATTAAAAAAAAATAAAATTGAATAATAATATAAACATCATATATATAACGCCTCGCTGCTGAAATTTTCCCATTGTGTACAATCTAGGGTCCATTATTCTTATCTAAAACAAAAAAAATATTTTTTTCTTCGTTTGTACATTATTGCCTTCTGTATGAATTAAAAGATTTTGATAGAAAGTGAAAATTTAAAATTTTACATGACTAAAAAAAATTCCACTTTCTCTTTAAAAAAATGTTAAATTCAACGTTAAGAAAAAAAATAAGAAGGCAATAATATACGATTGAAGAAATTTTTTTTAGATAAGAATTGGGGACCCTAGATTGTACACAATGGGAAAATTTCAGTAACGAGGCGTTATATTTATTTTATTATTTTTTAATGAAAAAATTATATTTCAAATATTTAAATATATAAGAAATCATAACAGGTTCAATACATATTTCGTTTTTAATTTTTAAGTTGATTCTTTAAGGATCGCGGGAATGGACCCTTCTAGGTTTAAGAGATTATGCCTTGAAAGACTTAAATTTCTGGCTTTAAAGGATACATCTATGAAATTTAATTGGTTTTGTCAATTAAGAGAATTTTTTGAAGACTATGGTTTGGTGGACGTGTGACGGGATTTGAGTCTCGAAGTGGATTCTCTTGATAATGAGTTACTTCTTGAGAAATATGGGTCTTTTTTGAAGGAAAGGGACAAGCAGTCTTTCACGCGTTCCAGGAGTTTGGAAATATACCCGAGTCTTTCGCTTGTTCATGATCCGCAGTCGTATTTGAGCATAAAAATGTCCCTTGTCTTTTAAAAAGTTAATTTCTTAAATCAGGCTGATTAATATCCACGTTTGCAGAATTATCTATGATAAAAGTAAAATTTATCGTTTTAATTTTAAATTGTAAATTCTGCGCATCTGAGAATGAGTTTTTAATTCATATTCTGTGTGATTCTCTGGTATGTAAACATATTTGTGAAGCTCATTTCCTTGCGTTAAAGTACGACAACAATTTGGAATTTTGGTCAAATATTTTGTCTTCGAATGACTTTAAATCTTCAAAAAGCATTGTTTTTTTAATTAAAATTTTAGCTGATCGTCAAATTGTTTTAGATTGTTGGTATGTTTTTATATTGTTTTATATTAATTTTTTTTATTATATTCTTATACGAACGGATTCCTCTTGTACGCTTTATTATATGCATAGACAAGTGTAATAAATAAATATATATGAAAACATTTACAAAAGCTCACATCAATTTATTTCAATGTGTTTGAGAAAAAAATTCCTGAAATTTACACATTTTTTGACCTTCCTAAGGGGTCTTGTAATTTTTTTTGGTTTTTTAAAGATGTTTTTCTCAAAAGTTTGAAAATATAATAAGTTTGTTGTCAAAAAAAGTTCCAATTATTATATAATAATAAAATGCTTGGTCTGTCCTTCTGTCCTAACTTGAAGTTGGCCTTTTCTGATTTCACGTGTTTATTTTAAAAAGTAATCTTATGACGTGTCAAATTTTGACAATTCTTTTTCTCATTTTTGCCTAATTTTTATAATTGTGTTTCCAAATTTCGGAATAAGTTTCTTTAAAATTCCAAATTTCAAAATTCAATTCACGAAGCTGAAGTACACAACGTTTACCAACGAAATTTTTTTTAAACTTGTATATTGATTCAAAAATTGTATACAAATACAAAAAATTTATGATGAGAAAAAAGATGCGCCAGGAAATTTCGTACAAGATAGTGATTTGAAAAAAATTAATTTTTAAGGTACCAGGGGCCAACGAATACCTATTAAATATTAATTATAAAAACACAGGCCTCGAATCAACTTAAGGAAGTTCTCTCCCTCCAACGTCAGTCAAATCAATGCCCATTTAAGTTTTCATTTGTATCACGTAGTACTAGCTCAACGCTTGGCAACGTTGGATTATATTTCCCCCGTTCCGTTTCGTGTCGTCTGCTATTGTTTGATTTATTTTCGTTAAATAATAATAATAATAATTTATTATTATAAAAATCTTAATTTTTTATAAGCAAATTCAAATTATTATTCATTATTATGAATCTTTGAAGAATATACTATTATATGTCTGATTGTCAAAATACGGTGTTTTTTTTAGACAAAATAATTAATTGTGAGTCTCCTAAGCCAGGTCTGATCAATTTTATTAAAAGTAAGTGAACATTGGCTATTAAACTTTCTGTATATAAAGTTCCAGTAATATCTTTTCGTCAGATTTTTCACAATTTGAGATTTCAGACCAAAAAATTCAATTTCCCATAAGAACCCGTGTTAAATGTGAAAAGAGAAAATTATTTATATCTTTTGTCAAAATCCACTTAGACCTCTAAAAATTTAACTACATCTTCTTTAAACCATTATCTATCAGTTTATCAAGTTTGATAATTAACTCTTCGTCATTTCTGTTTGCGAGAGAACTTCCTTAAAGACACAAAAAGTCGTTTCAGTCGATTTATATTCCAAAAAAAAGTGGATTTGTTTTTTATTTTAACAAAAATATTTTACAGATTTTTAAATAAAAAATTTTTTTTAATAATAATCCTTTTCAAAGGGTTAAAGTTGAAATTTTTAAAAATAATTAAATTTCAAAAGATATTGTTAATTTTCAAACAATTATTAAATTTTACAGGACTAAAAATAATTTATCAAACAATTTTTGGAAAACATTTTTTAAATTTAATTGAATTTTCAAAGATTTAAAATTGAGATTTTTGAAATTAATTGAAACTTTGAGTGTTTTGAAATTCAAATTTTAGATGATTTCACTAAATTTATAAGAAAATGCGGACAAAATACAATAATGTGAAAATCATTTTTAATTGAAAAATGGTTTCAGATAGTTGAAATTTCAAAGAATATTATTAAAATAATTAAAAATAATTGAATTTCCGTAGAGTTATAATTAAAATTATTAAATTTCAACAAAAAAATTTTTGATGGAAAATTTTAGAAATAATTAAATTTTAAATTGAAAATTTTGGATAATTATTGGATTTTTAATTGATTCTGAATTAAATTTTCGGGTAATAATTGAATTTTAGTTTATTTTGAATTGAAATTTTTAAAAAATAATTCAATTTTATTGTGATATATTTTTTTTTTAAATTATAAACAATTGTTAAATTTCATAAAAATTTTAATTGAAAAATAATTTTGATATAATTGAATTTGTGATGTATTTCATTAAAATTATTAAAAATAATTAATTTAGTGAAGAATTATTTTAGTTCAAAATTTGTTAAATAATTGAATTGAAGAAGATCTGAAGAAGATATAAATTTTATACTAAAAAAAGGTATTTTATTTACATTTTCTTTTCAAATGTAAAAAAAAAATGTCACATTTTATTAAAATAAGTCGATAAAAGTCGTATTTTTGAAAAAAGTCGGAAAAAGTCGAAAAAAGTCGTATAATCCGAGGCTTGTAAACATATAATTTTCATTATTATCATTTAATGTGTAATAATATTCTAATAAATTGAATTATTATTGATAAGATTAATCTTTAATTTCTTTCTAACAAACATTTAAATACTCAATTTGGCGCGTTTAATTAATTTACTGTTATTAATGAAAGAATATTAAAAGAAAATTAATTTTTTAAAAAATATTTATTATATAATAATAAACTTTACTGTATTTTAATGAATATATTTTTATAGATTATAGAAAAATATCATATTAAATTTTGGAAAAGCCATGAAATTTTATTTGAGAAAAATCGTAGCAACTCTGAAAATAAAACCAAATTTTTATTAAAATTTTGAATTAAAAAAATATTATATATTATATAACTGAAAATCGATGAGTTCTGAGAATAATTCGCCCAAAAGCTTTAGTATAGTCTTGATTAATTTTTAAACTGACCTCCACTTGTAAACAATTGACAATTTTTTAAAATAAATATTTCCCCTATTTAACCTTCGCTTGACAAGATGCCCACCCAGGGTGGGCCAGACAAATTGAAATTGCCATATCTTCTAAAGTTTTGCCTTAATTGAATCGCGATTTTAAGTCACTGAACAAAATCTTAAGAACTTTCAAAAAATGTAAAAACAAATTTCTAAAAAAAATTTCTTCTTGATTATTTATAACTTTTATCAATGTATGTACGGAGATAACCGGGATGATTCAGATATTTTTTTAATTCTATTTTACAAAAAGACTTGAAATCATGCAGACTTTTCACTGTGAGTGTTTTATGATGTCAAATAATAGATATAAAAAATATTATATTGCATTTTTCATTTGTTTAAACAATTTATTGTTATTATTTATTAACTTTCTTTGTTCTGCACCTAGAAAGATGCAGTTTTTTTCTAATTTTGCAATTTATCAAGCGGAATAAAATAAACTGCATCTTTCTAGGTACACTACAAGAAAGTTAATAGATAACAACAATAAATTGTTTAAACAATCGTTTGAATACTAAATTCATATAAAATCTTCATGTTTATTATGTTGAGCTTGTTAAGTTGCAAAATTAGAAAAAAATTGCAATTTTCTTGGAACATTATAAAGAAAGTTAATAAATAGCAACAATTATTTGTTTAAACAATTGGTTAAATAGTAAATTCATATAAAATCTTTGTGTTATTATGTTGTGCTTGTTAAGTTGCAAAATTAGAAAAAAATTGCAATTTTCTAGGAATATTATGAAGAATGTTAATAAATAGCAACAATTATTTGTTTAAACAATTTATAATAATAGTTGTTGCAAATTGAATTATATATTTTATTTTATTTATAACCTTTGAATTAATAACTACGAAGAAAAGGTAACAAATTTATAAAATTCTTCTACTGTCGTATGTATATTTGAAAAAGTTATAAATTATTAATAATAAATTGTTTAAACAAATAAAAAATCAACAAAACATTAATAAAATATATTATTTGGTAACATATAACAATTTTGGAAAAAAACTGAATGATTCTAAGTTTTTATTGCAATATACAAAGAAGAAAACATTTGGCCCACCCTGGGTGGGATCTTGTCAACCGTGTATATAAAAAGTATCCAGTCCGGCGAAGGTTAATAAAATTAAATTACTTTTTGTTATTAGCAGTTTGAAAAAAAGAGAATTCTTAATTTTATGACGATAAAAAGAGTTTAAAAAAAAAATAAATTATTTATATACAAAAGTTAGTTTGAATTTACGATAATTCTAAGAAATTATTTTTTATTATTTTATGTATTAAACAAATTTTAATCTAATTTTAATTTAATTAAATTTATTAGGTATTCAAAATATTTATTGTTTCTTCTGATTTTCAAGAAATAATTTAAGGTTATACAGAAATTTTCAAAAAAATAAATGCCCCACAGTATAAAAAGTGGTTTTCAATTCAAAGCTATTTTAACCTCTAAAAAATGCTTGTTAATTTTAATTAATTTCTCAAAATTCTATTCTTTAATCACTTTAAGGAAATTGTAATTAGAATATTAAAAATTTCTTTTGATATAAATTTTTGCACAAAATTTTAGATGTTTTACATATATTTAGAAATTTATTAAACTAATTTTTGTATAAAAATTATTAAATTTTTTTAAAAACTCTTTTTTCCATCACAACTTTCTCTTTCAAAATTGCAAATAACAAATGTAATTTGATTTTATTAAATAGGAGAAATATTTGAAAAATAAATTGTCTAACATTGTCAATTGTTTACAATGAGGGTCGGTTAGAAATAGAATGTCTCTCAAACGTATTTGAATCCCCCAAAAAACTCGTGTATAAACAGCTTTTAATATTTTTCCCGCCTACCGTTTAATGGTGTAATTATATACAATATATATGATTATACAGAATATCATTAAGATTTCTTTGAAATTCATTAAAAAATGTTAATAAATTTAAATTACATACCTTTTTTTTAAAATAAAAAATTTCTACGTATTAAAAGAGATAATATACATTAATTTATGTTACATATAAACTTAAAGATATTTATTAAATACATTAATTTCACTAATCTTGAAAACGTTGAAAACTATACTAAATTGTCAAAGGAAATGAAAATACTGGCATAGACTATGGAAATTTAAAAATACACAACTCTCAATATAAATATGGGTTAACGCACAATGAAGTTGGGAATATTTTAACGTTAACCCCTTAACTGCTGATGACGACAATTTTGTGTGTCAAATCTTCGTCATCGCAGTTAAGGGGTTAAATAGAAAAAGACGGAAAATAATTCTATCCTTTTTTTTATAAAGATCAAGAGAACTTTAGGGCTAAAACACAATTGTTTTTCAATGTCGTTCGTGGGAACGAGATGAATAAGATTCAGTGATGGGTTGTGACGCGTCACACGAAGTTTTGTACGTATAATACGTTTTCGACGTAATATACGTATAAAATGTATAAAACCATGTAGAAAACCACTGACATTTTGACATCTATATATGATCCTCTGATTTTTGCCATAACGAATTTTTCTTATCATTCTATTTAAATTAAAGTCTTAAAATAAAATAGAAATGGTCAGAAAAAGTAAAAGAAAATCTTTTAAAGAGGGTTTGCCCTGGGAAAGTGTAATGAATGATGTATTTTAATGAAGAATTTAAAATTGCCGCTCTTAAATCACGTGATCAAATGTAATATACATCGTGTAGAAAACTTGGCACGTAATATACGTAGTATTATACACGTAGAAAACCACGTATTATACGTCATGTATTATACGTACCCATCACTGAATAAGATAGAAAAAGACACAATTAAATATTTTTCTATCTTTTTCTGTCGTATTGGAAACAGGGATGGGTAAGTATTATACGTGACGTATTATACGTGGTTTTCTACACGTATAATACGTGGTATTATACGTCTTTAGTTTTCTACGTATGTCACGTATAATACTTAGATCACGTGACGCGCGGGATTTTTAAATTTTAGAATGTGAAAAATGTGATTTTAATAATTTATTTCACAAAATTTTCAAGTAATTTCTATTTAACAATTTATTAATTAATATGAAAGGTAATAAAAGAATTGTAATTAGGATTCAGAGAGTGGGAAATTTTTTTAAAATGATCTGATTCAATAACTGAAAATGGAATGTTACATCCGAAAAAGAATTTTCCCAAATATAAATTCATATCTTGAGGAGTTTTTGTGTTTTGCGATTCCTGTAAAATAAAACCGGTATAATAATTTTTAGAATATAAATATAAGTAAATACAAAGTACTATATTATACTATATATACTACATTATACGATACATTGGTATCGTATAAGCATAATTTTAATTAATAATATAGAAGTTTATTTTTACATACTTTTTTCATGGAAAAACCTTTGAATAAAAAAATAATAAAAATACATATTTAAATTAATTTACAAGGTTTTTTAAAATTCCAATAACTTTTTTTATTCTAATTAGTACAGGTAAAAGTAGGTTAAAATTAAAAACCAAATGAAAAATTAACAAATATATATTATATACATTTTTTGTAAACTTACCTTGCATTTAACTGTTTTTTGGTTTTTTCTTGGCATTCTTGGCTACCCATCCCTGATTGGAAATACAATTTACCGATTTACGTCTTATTACGATTTCACTGTGCATTGGCCTTAGAAATCAGATCAACAAGTGTTTAAATGTATCTTAATTTAAAATAATTAACTACAATTCTGATCCTAATAAAATAATTAACAAATTGTCTGTGGAGTATTCACCGCATTCAATTTATTCGAAATTTGTTTGTTACCTTAATTAAAAAATTTCGATATTTTTTTTTTTTTTTTCGCTTTTAAAGCAAAATACAAAAATTCGTGCCTTTTTAAAACACGTGAGTATTACAACAAAAAAGACTTTTTATTTTTTTAATGCAATAAATCTTTTAAATTTATATTGCATGCGTTGATATCATACAGTATGTAATATATTAATTCAAAAATTGAATTGACATTTTTATTTACTGATATAATTTATCGAAAATAACAATTCGACAACCATAACCTCTATCTATATACGCATTAAAAGTTTTTTAAACTATAAATTAAAAATTTTTTTAATTATCATTTAATATGATCGTATAGATTTTTTTAAATTGTGAAATTTTTTGCAAAGTAAAAATATTACTTTAGAGATAAAATTAAGATTATTGCTGATACAGTGATAATTTTTAAGATAAAGAATATTGTTCCATTATTTCGCGCGACATTCCGAAATTTGTTTCCGAGCCAATTAGTTTCTATTTGGATCTAAATTTTAATGAAACTTAATAATATTCTTTCCAAATCAATTTCTTTCATTACGAAGCTAAATTTTAATTATTTTTGATTCCTTTTTCTTCCGAATCAATTCGTTTTATTTTGAAACTAAATTTTAATTTTAAATTCTGTTTTTTCTTTTTGAATCAATTTTAATTTTTTTTTTTTTTTGTATTTTCTTTCCCAATTATTTCGTTACATTCCGAAACTAAAATTTTAATTTTTTTCAATTCTGTATTATTTTTTTTTCCGAATAAATTCGTGTCATTCCGAAACTAAATTTTAATTCTATATTAAATCCTTTTTTTTATTTCCGAATCAATTCGTTTTATTTCGAAACTAAATTTTAATCCTTCTAAATTCTAAATTTTTTTCTTTTCGAATCAATTTGAATTCTTTTCAATTCTGTATACTATTTTCTTTATTCGAATTAATTCGTTTCATTACAAAACTAAATTTGAATTCTTTTCAATTCTGTTTCATTTCGAATCAATTTAAGAACTAATTGAATCAGAATGAAAAAACAAGATTCTAAAGGATTAAAATTTAACTTTGAAATAAAACAAATTGATTTGAAATAACTCGGAAAGAATATTTTGTTGATTTACATTAAAATATAGATATTCGGATAGAAACTGATTGACTCAGAAGAAATAAATTTTGAAATCTCTCGGCATAATATTTATTAAAACTGTTTGAAATAAAATCTGAAACTTTAGTTAAGGCCCTAAAAAAAATGTCAGAATAATATTTCATTAAGTTTTAATAAATATTAATCCGAGTATTTCCGAAATTTTTTTTCCAAGTCTATTGGGTTTTATTCTAATTTAAATTTCTATATATATTTTATTCTATAACAAAAAATTATTTCCAAATAATTCCAAATCCCATTGAATTTCGAAATTGAATTTCAATACTTTTGAATCGTGAAAAATTACGAATCAATTCTGCGAGGGATTGTAAATAAATAAATAAATAAATTTTATTGGCTTAAAAGCGAATTGATTTGAAATTAAATTTCAGGATTCAATATAAAATTTGAATTTAGTTTTGAAATAAAATGGAAAAATAATATTGGTTTAGAAACGAATTGATTCGGATTTATTCGAAATAAAATTTCAATTAAAATTTAGCTTCGGATTGATTAGTATTGATTTGGAATTAAATTTCAAGATTCAAACTTTTTTTTCGGTATAATAAATAAAAATTAATAATTTTTTTTTAATGATTTTTAAAATTACAATATCATTTTAATATTAGGGACAAACAGTGATTATGATTTAATGATTTTTTGCTTTTTATTCTGCAAAATTATTTTAACACTATTTTTTGTATCCTCAATACGGGAAAGTCAACGCGAATCTGATGCATGAGATAGAAGAGGACATAAAGATAATTCCCTCTTTTTCTATGTCTCCTTTCTTTCGCATTCGCATATAAATTTCGCACAACTTATTGTGCTGAGACCTTTAGAAAAGATGTCTAGAATATGTTATTATCATTATTATCAAATTTATTCATTACTAAATGGATTAATTTTTTGTAATTATACAATTATACATTTACAGAAAGTAAATGTATTTAGTAAATAAATTAATTTTTTAATTTTTTGTGAATAATTATATTGACGCATTATTTAATGAATTTTTAAATCATGTTTTGTTTAATAAAATATTTAAAATTGAAAATCTCAATTGCACAATATTTTTTTTATTAACAAATGTGTTAATAGCATAATATTAATAATACAATTACGAATACATTATTAATAAAAGACACATGAATATGTTCTAAAAATCATTAGTTAGAATTTTCATTTTATGGAATTTCAATTTGTCATAATTATTTTTGAGTCGAATTTTTATTTGTTCGAATTAGTATTCTGCATAATTTTTATCTAACTGATTTTCTATATTACAGAATTGGCATTTTAAAGAATTTTATTGCATAGAATTTTCTTTCAGATGAATTTTCATTTGTTCGAATTATTATTTCATATAATTTCCATATAACCGATTTTTCATACTATAGAATTTTTACTTAACCGAGAAATCATTTAACAGAATTTCTAATTAATAGAATTTTCATTTGTCCGAAAATTTGCAAATGTCTGAACAAACAATCGACAGAAAGATTTCGGCGCGATTTTTAAAATCAACCAATCAAAAATTATCCATAAAATTGTTTTCTCTAGAAATTCTTAAAATTAATTTCTTTTTACAGATTTGAAAAAATTCTCGTTTTTTTTTAAATTCCTTTCTTTTTTTCCAAATTACTTCCTTGCTAATTGTAAGATGGCTTTTTATTTCCTTAAATTTTCTATTTTCTTTTCATTTTAATAATTTTCGTTTCAGTAAGCGACTTTTTTATCTCTAATTCTTCTTCCTTTAGAATTCCTAAAAAAATATTCTCAATTTTTCCGCAAATTCTTTTTTTATTTTAGAAATTTTTTAAATACTTGATTTTCCTTTCATTTTTATTCAACATGGTGTTTTCTTAAATTTTCTATTTTATTTTTTAAAATTGGAATTTTGTAGGTAGGGTCAGTTGGGATAAATGGGGACAAGAGGTTTTGGAGCTTAATTTACAGTTTTAAAATGAAGTTCAACGTCAATATTTTAACCTCAGATCACCTGCAAGAGGTTATGAGTATTGACAAGCTTTTATCTTGACAATTGGCAGCAAGATAAAAAAAGTTATCGCTTAATGCATAAAAACTTGAAAATCAAAGTCAAACTGTTTTAGTATTTTGTCGAGCATTTCAAATAAAACAGACTTCAAAATCATACCAAATTTTTTTCTTATTCCTTATGACTCCCATAACATAAATTCAATTGAATTTTTGATTTTTGTTAATTTGGTTAATAATGACAAGCTGTCGCCATTTACCCTGAGTTTTTAAATTTTTGGGGTAAATGGGGACAGCTTGTCATTATTAACCAAATTAACAAAAATCAAAAATTCAATTGAATTTATGTTATGGAAGTCATAAGGAATAAGAAAAAAAATTGGTATGATTTTTAAGTCTGTTCTTTTTTAAATGCGAGACAAAATACTAACATAAAAAAAAAAATAAAAAAATTTCAATTGGTTCAACTATTATATATCTACTACAATTTTTTTCAAGTTTTTTCATCTCTTAATACAGTAATATACTTAAGGAAACTTTTTTCTTAAAACTTCCTTAGAAACTATGCTGTCCCCATTTACCCCAAATTTTATGAAATTTTCTAAATTTTAGGGTAAATGGGGACAGTCAGTTTCATGCGACCCTATATGTATATTTTAATTTTTTTATTTATCTTTGAGAAAAATTACCTTTAAGATATAATTTCAATTTTTTTAGATTCTTCCATTGTAGTTATATTATTTTTTTATTACATACTTAAAATGTTAAAGAAAAATCTAATAAATTTCTATTAGTAAAATAGAGAAAAACACATTTCAAAAATACTTTGCTTTTGACGACGTTAAATTTAAACAAGTTGTAAATTCAGATGTTCATTACATGAACATTTTGCTTCCTCTTTACGATCAGCAAAAAAATAATTTGCTTCCTCGTGGAGAAAGCATTAACATTTAAATAAACATACAAAAATAATATAATAATATAAACATTTGAGTTAAATTTAAAGAATTAATGGAAGTTAAAAAATCAAAAATTCATATTTTAACCGAAATTTCTAAATATTAATGAAAAATAATATATAATTTATAATTATTTACAATTATATCGATTCGTTTGAATGCAAGGAACACAATTATTTTATATTTAAACTTGAATTTAAATAAATACAAAATTTTTCAGCTAAAATGTAAATTTTTTATTTTTTAACTTTCATTAATTTATTAAATTTACCTCAAATGCAAATTTTATATATACCAATCGATTCGTTTTCATGTAAGGAATACAATTATTTCATCTATAAACTTAAATTTAAATAATCACAAAATTTTATAGCCAAAATGTGAATTTTTGATTTTTTAACTTTCATTAATTCTTTAAATTTAAATTAAAAGTATACTTTATATATACCAATCGATTTGTCTTGACGTAAGGAATACGATTTTATTATATATATAACCTTAAATTTTTCTATTTAAAAATTTTTTCGATTAAAAAATAAATTTTGGAAAAAAGACAAAAAAAATTTTTTTTTTTGGGTATTTTTTAAAATCCTTTGGTCAGATTTGAGATATTAATATGATAAATGAGTCTACCAAATTTTATCTAAATCCATTAAAACCTGTTAAAGTTATCTTCTAAACAAAAAAGGAATCCACACATACACATACATCCGGACAATTGATCAGGATCTCATATAACATGTTTCTATATAGAGAAAAATTTGTTTCCGACACTTTGAAAATTTTTATAAACGAAAGGTCTACAAAGCTTCCTCCACGAGGAAGCAAAAAATCATAACTTCCATAATTTTTATCGAAATAAAAAATCATTTTTGATTAATGCATTAAAAATGTTGCAAAAAAATTTACAAAAAATGACTGTTTTCATTTTTTTTCTGTTATCTATTTTTAAAAAATAATCTTAATTTTTGTCATATTTATTTTTTATTTTATTAGGTCAGAAATTTTATTATTTTAAATTTGTGCTAGCAAATTCAATTGTCAATAACTTTTGAATGTAATAAAAATTAAAATTGAAAATTTAACAGATTTTTTTTTGTCTTAAGGAACAACAGTTCAAGAATTTTCAGCCAAATAAGAATAGTATAAATAACAATTTTCTAAAAAAAAAATCAATTTCGACGTGCATAACTTTGTAAGACTCTACGTGTTTTGGTCTTGGTGTTTACGTTTATTTTCATGAATTTCAAAATCTCTTTTGATATTGTAAATTTTTGTTTTTTTAAAGATATTATGATTCAGTGGAGTATACTCTGTAATTGTTAATAATCAACAGGTCATTGCAATCTTGACCTATGTTATGTCAGTTTAGTTGAATTTCACAACATATTTTTCTTATCAACACCATGCCGCAAATGCTTAGTCTCTTTCTTGCTTTAGAAAGCTGAGTTTGATACAATTAAACTCCTGTGTATTAAAAAATTTGTACATTAACGAAATTTACAAAATTAAATTAAAATTTGTATCTTTCTTTTTCAGAAAGTATCATTATGATTTTAAAATTATATAAATCGCCCGGTTTGAAAGGCGACCACTTTATAAAAAAATTGAAAGCTGTTAATAAAATACTCAATGATGTTGAAAATTTTGAAACTGAATTATGTTATTACATCGAATCAAAAAATGATCTCAACAATGAGGAAATCAATCTTTTGAAATGGATTTTGAGCTCACCTATTGAAAAAGAATTGTTGAGCGAGACAAGTGTTTTTAAAACTGAACAACATGAAGGAAGTGTCTTGATAGAAATAGGACCAAGGTAAATTATAAATAACATATTTATTTTATTTTTCGAGAATTTACAATATTTTTATTTTTAAAGAAATTAATATACCTATAAAATTAGGTATTTCATAAGTTTTTTTTGTTATAAGTATTACTCAAATTTTGTTGATAAAATAAAGTAAAATGTTTTTTCTTATTAAACTGTATGAAAACTTTTAACTACATATTCTGTAAATTATTTTTAAAAAATTGCTAAAAAATTATTATTTTAGGAATTTTATTACAATTACTGAATTGTTTTTAGGTTAGAAATGATATTTTAAACAAGTTTTAAATTTAAAACAATTTAACAAGATCGATACGAAAATATTATTCTTTTTTCTCTGATTTCTAGTTAAAATAAAAAATTTTTTCCTGATTCTAATGAAAATATTTCAAGAGGTTTTCAATAACAGACCTCGGATTACATGACTTATTCGACTTTTTTTTATTTTTTAAAATTAAATTATTAAAAAAATATATTAACTTGAATTGTTTGCAAAATGAATTATTTTCAATAATTTAAAATAAATTCTTCGAAAATTACATGATTTAAATGAGTTTTTAATTGAAAATTCACTAAAATTCAATTATTGTCTAAAGTTTTTCAAAAAATTTCATCAATTCAAAATGAAAGTTTCAATTAATAATCTCCTGAAATTCAATTATTATTTCTAAAAATTTTTACTCGAACTCTTCTAAAATACAATTATTTCTAAATTTTTTATCTAAAATTCTTTGTTAAATAATTTAATTTTAATAATTTCAATCAACATTTTCGAAAATTCAATTATTTAAAACATTTTTTAATTGAAAATTCTTTATAATTTAATTATTTTTAAAAATTTTATTTAAAATTCTTTGATAAATTAATTTTTTTAATTAGGTACTTTAATACAGTTTTTCAACAATTCATGGAAATGAAAAGTTTTTTTAATTAAAAAGACTCTAAAATTTTATTATTCTTTAAAATTTGTAAACAAAATTTTATCAATTAAGGTTTATAAAAGTTTTCATTTATAATCTCCTGAAATTTAATTACTTCAAAAAAAAAATTAAATCGAACTCTTCCAAATTCAATTAGTAATTGAATAATAAATAGGTAAGACCACTCAGCGGCGCCATATTCGAAAAATTAAAAATGGTACATGAGACATTTTTTTGTTCTTTTTAGCCGCCAAAAATAATTTTTTTGCTCAACGCCCTTCCAAGATACCAGGACGCCGCTAGCTTGGTGGCAACTCAGTGCTCAACTCTGATGAATTCATTTAATTCAAAATTTCCATTGGACCATACTTTTTTGCTTTTTTTTTGCTTTCAAATGGCATCCCAGTTGATTTTCTAAAATTAAAAATGGCGGATCTAATATGGCGGAATTTTCTTTAAGTCTATCAAATTCATTAAAAACTGGTACTCTGGGGTTTTTGGGGTCGGTGAATACGAATCTGATGTCACTTTTTAAAAATTTTAAAAAGCGGAACCAAAATAGAGGATTAATTTTTAAAAATGTCTAGATTTGATAACAAATAGTTACTCGGGGAATTATGGGTTCGATAATTACGAATTTTTTTTTGGTCGTAATAAGCGACACTCCAAATTCCTGACTAACAAATTTCAAGCAAAATCTGTTAAATAGGAAAAAAACGACATCTTTCTTAACAACTTCGAAATTATTTTGAATTTTTTTTTTTGTTTATTTCGGTTTTTAATTTTAAAGTATTTTCTTAAAAACTTAGAAAATTTTTTGATTATTTTGCTCTCTGATTATTAATTTAAAACTATTTTTTTTTGCTCTTCGCTTTTTAATTTAAAACTATTTTTCTAAAAACTTAAAAACATTTTGGATTTTTTTGCTCTCCGTGTTTTCAATTTTAAAGTATTTTCTTAACAACTTAGAGACATTTTAGATTTTTTTGCTCTTAGTTGTTAAGAAAATACTATTTTAACAGATTTTGCTTGAAATTTGTTAGTCAGGAATTTGGAGTGTCGCTTATTACGACCAAAATAAAAATTCGTAATTATCGAACCCATAATTCCCCGAGTAACCATTTGTTATCAAATCTAGACGTTTTTAAAAATAATTCCTCTATTTTGGTTCTGCTTTTTAAAATTTTTAAAAAGTGACATCAGATTCGTATTCAGCGACTCCAAAAACTCCTCAGTAACAATTTTTAAGAGAATTTGATAAACTTAAAGAAAATTCCGCCATATTAGATCCGCCATTTTTAATTTTAGAAAATCAACTGGGATGCCATTTGAAAGCAAAAAAAAGCAAAAAAGTATGGTCCAATGGAAATTTTAAATTAAATGAATTCATCAGAGTTGAGCACTGAGTTGCCAGCAAGCTAGCGGCGTCTTGGTATCTTGAAAGGGCGTTGAGCAAAAAAATTATTTTTGGCGGCTAAAAATAGCAAAAAAAGAGCAAAATAATGTCTCATGTACCATTTTTAATTTTTCGAATATGGCGCCGCTGAGTGGTCTTACCTGAATTAAATAAATGTTAATTCAATTTGTAATTTTTTTCTCAAATTCTTATCTATTTAATTCTTTGTTTATTTAATTATTTCAACAGTTTTAGTCTAATTTTTCAAAAATTCAATTATTTAAATCGTATTTTAATTAATGTTTATATTTACAACAAAATTATAATTTTTGAAATATCAAAAAATGCAATTATTTCTAAAAATCTTAATTGTTACTCCATCGAAATTCAATTATTTAGAACATATTTCAATTGAAAATCTCCTGAAATTCAATTGTTTCTAAAAATTTTAAGTCAAATTTTTCCAAATTCAATTATTTTTAAAATTTTAATTAAAAATCTTCTGAAATTTAATTATTTCACAAATTTACGTTTAAAATTAATTTTTTTCAATAATATTTTAATGAAGTTCTTCGAAAATTTAATTATGTAAAATATTTGACATAATTTTGAATTCAAATAATGTGCATAAATCAGACTTGAAAAATTTTCTTTTTTTTTAAATATAAATTATTTTTGAAAATTTGTTCTAAAACTGAAATGAAATCTTGAAAATTTGTCTCAGTTTAATTCGGTGGTTTAAAAAGACTTTTTTTTAATAAAAACAATTTTTAAATGCAAAATTTTTTAATATCTAATTTTTCATAAGGTGGTTTAATTAATTAGTTGTAATTATTTTAATTTTAGAAAATATATTAAGTAATTTTTATTCAAAAAAACCAAATTTAATTATATTGTAGGCTTATTGTAAGCTTACTTAGATTAATTACTAATTAATTTTATTAATAAATTAGTAAGTGTTGTACTAGTAATGCGAATACAGAATTCCGAACAGCGGAACGATGCGCGATTTGGAATCATGTAGTTAATGAAACATGTTTGCAAAATCGCTAACAATAATTTATTATTTTGAACTACAAAGTAAAGTAAATTACAGTAAAAAATAATTAATATATTATATTAATATATTAAAGTATAATTATAACATATAAAACTTAATTCCTGTCAGGGAATTGTATTTATTTGCAAATATGATGCAAATATGACGTACATGTATGTTTCCAAATTTGTTGTTCGGCAAGCTCATAAAACATAAAAGATTATTATTTGAATCACAACAATTCTGTAATACTTGTTTTCTTTTCCTTCAAGTTACAGAGCATTTTTACGTAGTTCTTTTTCATATATTTAATTTTTCATGTTATTTGCACAAACTTCAGCGGCGTAGTTGGTAGAGCGTTTGATTTGGAATTCGTTCTTAACGGCGCCTTACGTTCGAGACCTCGTGATGGTTTCTAAGGAAACAAATAAAGTATAAAATTTTAATGCTTTATGAATCAATTTTTTAAATTATTATTGTTTCATTATTTTTTGTAATATGTTAATTTTAAAATTCTCGCCGAAATCTTTCAGTCGATTGTTTTTCGGCTATTTACAGTTTCGGTCAGATGGAAAATTGTCGTTTTAAGATTTTTGTCAAATAAAAATTTGGTAAATTACATTTTAGATTAAATAATTGTTGGAAAAAAATATTTATTATACAAAATGGTAATTAGAAGAAAAAAAATTATAAAAAATGGCAATTATGTAAAATCAAAAATAGTATAAACAGGTTTTTGGAAAAATAAAAATTATGAAAAATACTAGGGTCATTTGGGGTAAATGTAAACGAATTTGCTTAGTTTCGACAATAACGTAAGTTTTTTATTTTAAAACGCAATACTTCCGGTTTTCTACTGCATGAACTTGTTACTTCACTTCCCTATAAACATTTTATGAGGTACAAAAAAATATTGATCAACTTGAATCGCTTAAAACTGACTGTTTACATTTACCCCGAGATTTTGAAATTTCCCCAAAATTCGGGGTAAATGTAAACACCCCTGTAGTTTAAAGAGGTTTAAGAAAAAAGTTATCCCAAGTATACTACTGTGTAAAGGGATGTAAAAACTGAAAAAAAATTCTTGGTAGATGTAAAATAATTGAACCAATTGATTGATATGCAACATATAAAATAAGCAATCATTACCATAACAAAACTAATAATGTAAAAACTTGAATAACTTCAATAAATTTTAATAGATTTTCATTCAACTTGATGAAAATAAGTCCAAAATGGCAACATAAAAATATTGTTAAAAATTGATCAAATTTGCTTGAATCTCGCTACTCGGGGGTTTTTGAGGTCACTGAATACGAATTTGAAGACAAATTTTAAATTTTCAAAATGGCGATCTATAAATCAATCATCCAAGCAACCAATCTATCCACCAATCAATCACTCAATCAACCAATCATCCAATCAATTAATCAATCAATCAAGAAATCCATCAATCAACCACTCATTTAACCAATCTATAAATCAATTATCCAATCAACCAATCAATCCACCAATCAATCAAATCCACCATTCAATCCACCAATCAATCCACCAATTACTCAATCAACCAATCCATAAATCAATCGTCCAATCAATCAATCCATCAATCTATCAATCAATCAACCAATCACTCACTCACTCACTCTTATTCTAGGATTCCTACGTACCTGAGTTTTATTCACCAATCGTGAAGAATCGCTTTCCTATATTTTAAACACGTAAATGCACTATGCAATACTATGCAGGTCTATACCTGCAACTGACTAACACGAAGGAGATATAAAAGAAGATCCAATTTCGTTTTTTATGTAATTTTACAGGGCCAAAATAATGTAATTGTGAAATAGAAGCAAATTTATTCAATTATTTTCTTTTAAAATGCAGCAGAAATTCTGTTTACATTTACCCCAAGTTTTCGAATTCTCGGGGTAAATGTAAACACTTAATTATCTATTAACTGAATTGACGAAATTAAAAAATCAAAGTCAGCTTTTGTTAAGCGATTCATAAAGAATAATTAGAAATTTTAGTTTGAATTTTTAGTTCATTTTTATTCAAATGCGAGACAAAATACTGACACAGTAAATCTTTGATTTTCAATCTTTCATGCATTAAGCGACAAATTGGAGTATGGCTTTGACAATTGTCGAAAAAAAAATTGGCAATACTCAGAACCTGTTGCAGGTGAGCTGAGGTTAAAATATTGGGGTCGATCTTAATTTTAAATCTGTAAATTAAGCTGCAATATCTGCTGTTTACATTTACCTCTTGTTTACATTTTCCCCAAATGACCCTAATTCTCTACAATAATAATTATGAGAAATGATTATTCGGTAAATTGAAAATTATAAAAAATGTTCTTTCGAAATTAAAAAATTCTGTCAAATAATAATTCGAAAGTATTTTTATTATATAATCTGACGATTCGAATTGAAAAAATTATAGTCAATTCCTTTTAAATAAAATGATTTTCGAGAAAATAAAAATTCGAAAAAACAAATTTGGGGTTTATTCATGCGCCCCGTATTTTTTAAATAAAAAGATTGATAAAGTGTAATTCTATAAAATAAAAATTCTGTCAAATAAATATTCGGTATTTAAAAATGTTGTTTATTAAGGGGGGGGGGTATGGTATTTAATTTTTTTTAATTTTTTTAAATGAATGTATAATATTTCAAGAATATTGTGTAAAAATTTCAAGCCGATCGGAGAAAAATTGATGAAGTTATGAGCATTTGAGCATTCAAGTGTCGGTTGCTCCGCGGGCTGTGTTTTCGTATATTTTGAATTTAGTTTGTGTTTGAACTTTTGCGGGCATTTCTGAATGTTTTTTGATGTCGTTGATGTGTATATATAAGTTTTGGGGTCGCTGATTACGAATCTGAAGTCAGATTTCAAAAATTGTCAAAATTTAAAATTGCGTTTTTCTCGAAATGACATTTTTGAAGTCCGTGTTCACGATATCTCAAAATCTATTGAACCAATCGTTCTGAAATTTGTCACAGTTCTTCTTGACTAAATTCCCCAGGTAACTACGAGATTTTTTTTTTTTTTTTAATAATTATTAATTATACAGTAAAAAATAGATCGATTTTTTCAGTGAAAATCGAGTTTTTGAGTTTCAAGTGCTGCGAAAAATCAAAAAATCGAAAAAAAAAAAAATATTATATTAATATGTGGAAATTAAAAAAGTGCCTTTTTTACACCAAATTAACCATACCTCCCCCTTAAAAGATTTTTTAAAATGAAATTTCGACAAATAAAAATTCGTCTGCAAAATAATTATATAATAATAAAATGCTTGGTCTGTCCTTCTGTCCTAACTTGAAGTTGGCCTTTTCTGATTTCACGTGTTTATTTTAAAAAATAATCTTATGACGTGTCAAATTTTGACAATTCTTTTTCTCATTTTTGCCAAAGTTGTATAATTGTGTTTCCAAATTTCGGAATAAGTTTCTTTAAAATTCCAAATTCGAAAATTCAATTCACGAAGCTGAAGTACACAACGTTTACCAACGAAATCTTTTTTAAAGTTGTATATTGATTCAAAAATTGTATACAAATACAAAAAATTTATGATGAGAAAAAAGATGCGCCAGGTAATTTCGTACAAGATAGTGATTTGAAAAAAATTAATTTTTAAGGTACCAGGGGCCAACGAATACCTATTAAATATTAATTATAAAAACACAGGCCTCGAATCAACTTAAAGACACAAAAAGTTGTTTTAGTCGACTTATATTCCAAAAAAAGTGTATTTGTTTTTTATTTTAACAAAAATATTTTACAGATTTTTAAATAAAATTTTTTTTTAATAATAATCCTTTTCGAAGGGTTAAAGTTGAAATTTTTAGAAATAATTAAATTTCAAAAGATATTGTTAATTTTCAAACAATTATTAAATTTTACAGCACTAAAAATAATTTATCAAACAATTTTTGGAAAACATTTTTTAAATTTAATTGAATTTTCAAAGATTTAAAATTGAGATTTTTGAAATTAATTGAAACTTTAAGTGTTTTGTAATTAAAATTTTAGATGATTTCACTAAAAATTTATTAGAAAATGCGGACAAAATACAATAATTTGAAAATCATTTTTAATTGAAAAATGGTTTCAGATAGTTGAAATTTCAAAGAATATTATTAAAATGGTTAAAAATAATTGAATTTCCTTAGAGTTATAATTGAAATTATTAAATTTCAAAAAAAAAAATTTACGATGGAAAATTTTAGAAATAATTAAATTTTAGATGCTTTTAATTTCAAATTATTGAAAATTCAATTAATTTTGAATTCAAATTTTTGAAAATAATGAAATTTTATTTGATTTTACATTTGGAAAATAATTGAATTTAAGTTCATTTTTGATTGAAAATTTGGATAATTAATTTTGAATAGAAATTTTAAAAAATAATTGAATTTTATTTCATTTTAAATTGAAAACTTGGTAAATAATTAAATTTTAAATTGAAAATTGTGGATAAATAGGTATTGGATTTTGAATTGATTTTGAATTAAAATTTCGGGTAATAATTGAATTTTAGTTTATTTTTAGTTTTCGAGAAAAACTCGTTTAAAGTTTTCATAGCATAATACATTGAGCTAGGACTATCAAACAATTTTTGATTACAACTTTTGTTTTTTTTACATATTTAAAAAAAAACATTTGGGGCAGTAATTTTATGATACTAAGGAACATTTTCAAGCAAAAAAAAGAAAATCGATTTTTTTGCAATTCTAAACCAGAAAGTCCTTTTAATCTGAATTGAATTTTTGTTCGTCAATCTTTTTGTTTGTTTATGAGGATGAATTTCTGACTATTTGATGATCAATGATGAATGTCTTTGTGAAAGTATGTTTTGTCAGTTTTCTTAGAATGAAATTAAAAAATTTATATAATAAATTATGTTACCTTATTATTGATTTCATGATCAGGCCAAACAATTTCTTCAATCCAATCAACATAAGCAGCAACACGTGTATAAATTCCTGGAATTTTGTCAATACCGCAAAATTTTCCACTGCTCGTAATACCAACAATATTGTAAAGACAATTGTTTGGATGACGATTTTGTAATGGACTTCCAGAATCGCCGGTGCACGTGTCCTTCTTCCAATTTCCAGTTAAATCACCAGCGCATATAAAACTATCATCAATACCCCATGGTAAATTCGTGGAATTCTTATAAATTGTCGAACAATAGTTATTCTCAATCACATCAAGTTGTGTTTTTAATAAATATTCATTGAGATCACCACCATAATAAGAAGTACCCCAACCACTTGCCAAGAGTTTTGTTACATCCACTGAATCATCAACATGAAGACACGCGGGTTTCAAATGCAAACCAAATTGAACCTCCTCTTCTAATTCAATCAATGCAATATCTGCATAGGAGTAACGTGGTCTAAATTCCGGATGTATTATTAATCGTTTAACATTAATAACTTGAGCGTTATTAGAATCCATTAGACGATTTGATCCAAGATAGACAATTGCTGTTTTGATGAAAATTTTATATGAACAATGAGCTGATGTTAATATCCATTTTTCAGATATTAAACTAGCAGCGCATGCATAATTTATTTTATCGTTTGATTCTCGATAAGCTAAAATTGCCATATGAGGAATTTCACCAAATAATGCATTTTCACCACCAGCTATTAGTGGATTAATTAATCCAATTAAATGATGACGATCACAATTTAAAAGTGTAATTGGAATTGGATCATAATTTGTTGGATATTGAACCCAAATTCCAATTTTTGACATTTTAGCATATTGCTCACACATTTCTTGACTTTTTCTTTTATGGAAAAAATTTGTCTCTCTTCTGTCACTTTTTTTTGTTTGTAAGGTATTTTTATTTTTACTATTTAGTCTTATTGTCGTTGAAAAATCCCATGATTGAAAACTAGGTCCGTTTGTATTAATGGCTGATTTTTTGTGTATTGGCGATTTTTGAGAATCAATGCTTTTTATCGAAAAAATGAATATAATAAAATATAAATTTACTTTCATGTTGAAATTAAAAATAGTTTTTTTTGTTTGATTTGAAAAAGATTGTTGTAAAACAACAGCGAACTCAATAGAAAAGCACTAGCAGAAGTACAAATGTGAGTGTTGAAGAATATATCAAAAAAGCGGAACGTCGGAACGGGATGGCGCGCGAAATTTTGAAATTTTTCTACAAATTTTTAAAATAAAATGACATTAACAAAAAAAATAATTTAAAAAAAATTTATGTGTGACCTTCCGCATAAAAAGAGACCACTTTGTTAATTACAATAAGGATTATTTTTGCGTTAAACATTAATGCGAATATCGCTCTTATAAATGATACAAAAGTTGTCCCTTTTCATGCGGACGGACACGCATAATATTTAAAACAATTATCTACTTAATTATTTATTTAATAATAGTAATAATAATTATAATAAATAATTAAAAAATACAAGTAATTATAAATGAAATCAAATGTGTTTTACTAGCAAAAATACATCCAGTTTTACCTTCTAAGGATAAAAATTTTAGATTCTAGTTGGAAAAATATAAATTTTTAAAAAATTTTCCGATTTTTAATAAAAACTTTTATTTAAAGCAATTCAAATCAGGCTTGTTCTATTTTTTCTTAAATTTACAAGTGAAAAAACATTAGGTTGTCGATTATGTAATCTGATTTGATTTTGACGTCAAAGTCAAATAAAAAATGAATTTCCCGATTTAAATTTGACTTTGACGTCAAAATCAAATTAAATTACATAATCGACACCCAGCATACCAAATTTTAGCTCAGTAGGTAAACAAATTGTAGATTCTAAGTGGAAAAATTCAGTTTTTAAATTTTTTGTATGTTTTTCGATAAGAAAAAACACTATTAAACTCAAATTCAATCAAATTCGATATACTTTTCCTGAAATTTACTAGTGAAAATACATCAGTATAACTTTTTAGGTTAAGAATTATAGTTTCTAGGTATAAAAAAATTAGTTTTTCAAAAATGTTGGTTTCTTTCTTAAAATAATATTAAATAAAATTCAATTGATTTCGCTATATTTTTCCTAAAATTTACTAGTGAGAATATACTACCATTGCAAGTTTTAACTTCTTATACTAAAAACTGCCGATTCTAGTGTGGATCGTTTTTCAAAAATCCTGAAATTTTTCCACAAAAAAAAAACATTAAAAACAATAAATTCTCTACATTTTTATAAAGAAATGCAAGTAAAATATAAATAAAAATAATAATATACATAAGAGTATCGAATGGTCTCTGAAATTCTTTGGCAAGAAGAGTAATTTAATTATTGCTGTATAAAAACAGCACTGAACGTGAAAATGATAAATATTGATTTTAAAATACCTTTTTTCTCGATATACGGACACTTTTTACAAAATTGGTCAAAATACCGAGGATCCTTATCTTATAAATTCCCTAAATACGAAAGATTGTGCAAATCCATTCAAAAACACGATTACAAAACGAAAAGTAGGAAAGTAATATAATAATAACAGATTCATTACGTCCTGCCGCCATCAGATGGCAGAAGCATGCAGGGAACACAAAGTCGCAGCTGTTTGCATTCCTACTTTTCGTTTTGCAATCTCGTTTTTGTATGGATTCGCACAATTTTTCGTATTTAGAAAATTTCGACGCCTCCCGTCCATATAATCGTAACACAAATGTCCGAACTATATAATCGTAACTCGGAGCTCAGTTCAATATGAACGTAGTTAATTTTCAGAAGAATAAAATCGTATCTCAACGATCAATTCTATATAATCGTATCTCAAAACTCAACGTAATTATTATAATTATTATATAATAATAATAATAATAATAATAATAATAATAATTATTATTATTATTATTATACTCTTTTCAATGAAATCTTTTTATCATTATCATTATAAAAATGATTTTTTGTTTATAAAAGATATAAAATAATTATTTAAATTTAATGATTTTTCTACAGAAATTAATTTTATTCGAAAGAATTCTGCAATGCAATAATTTTATTAAAAAAATTATCTTTTCAAATGGATTCTGAAACATCGATTTTCACCAGTGTATTTAGTTATAAACAAGAATATTTATTTAAAAAAATGTTGTGTACTTTAAATAAAAATTAACTTTTAATATCTTTTTTACAGATTTATTAGAAGATAAGATTATTAATTTATTTTTATTTTACGAAAGCTTAAATAATAATTATAATAATTACGTTGAGTTTTGAGATACGATTATATAGAATTGATCGTTGAGATACGATTTTATTCTTCTGAAAATTAACTACGTTCATATTGAACTGAGCTCCGAGTTACGATTATATAGTTCTGAAATTTGAGTTACGATTATATAGACGGGTGGCGTCGATTTTTAAGATAAGTATCCATGGTATTTTGGCTGATTTTGTAAAAAGTATCCGTATTTTGAGAAAAAAGTTTTTTCTTTAAATTCAATGTTTATGTTTGTTGTGAATTAAGTTTATTTGTTTCAGATTGAGTTTTTCAACTCCATTTTCAAGCAATGCTGTGTCAATTTGCAAATCCGTACATTTGCTAACAGTATCGAGAATTGAAGTCTCAATTCGATACTTAATAAATACTCGAACAGCTGTAAATAAATTAGCAGAACAAAACGTAAGAATTTTTTGACAGAATATTATTATTTATACATTATATACAAATATATGAAATACAATTTAAAACTATCAATTAAATTGAAAATTAAATGTTATTTACAGTTTAACGCCTTTGAAATTTTACAATTTTTTTTATAAATAAATAGATAAATTTTTTTAATTTTCAACTTATGGTTAATGTTGGTTTTCATTTTTATTATTTGTTCTAAATATTGTTGCTAATTTAGTGTTAAAAAAGTCAACCTATGATTCTCTGTATAATGCAACTTCGAATTATTATTGTTCCTTGAATACAAAAAAAAATATGTATTTTTTGTATTTATGACAGAAAATTGAAATTTTTTTCTACTAAGTGTAATGTTAAGAAATCGAATTTTTTATATAGATTGTAGATGCTCTTCATGATCAAATGACAGAATGCCGTTATTTAAAACCAATAGAAACTTTCGATCATGGCTTTCGTCCTGAAAAGTGGTTTGAAGTTGATGTATTAAATTGTGGTCGTAGTGCCTTAGAAGATGTCAATTCAAAATTGGGTATTACTGTTTTCTTTCTCTTTATTTTAATATTTATGAAATTTCACGTTTTTTTTACAAGAAAGATAGAGGTTTATGTAAACTAATCAAAAAATGAAAATGTTTTTTTTTATTGTAATCTTATTGAGAAATAATTTCTACTACAATTGAGTTACCTGTTGGTGTCTTTTACGCCTTCACCCTGCTGAAAGTATAAAGATATCTTACGAAATCTTAAAATTCTAATTTTTCTTTTCTAAAGATTTCTTTTTTTTCAATGTGATAATTTGCAATAATTCAGATTCAGGCTGGTCAAAAATCTGAATCCGAAATGAGTTCTAAATTTTTATGTGCAGTATCCGAAGTTGGTCTACAATAAACCTAACTTAGTCTGCACTAAATTATTCTAATCCAAAATTTGAATATAAAAAATTTCATATATCATATATATAATAAATACTAAGTCGGAAAAATAACGATACTTTACAATATAAACATTATCATTATATTCACGAATATTTCTAAAATTTCAGGTTTAGCATTTGACAATTGGGATTTGGAATTTTATACTGAATTGTTTCAAACAAAACTAAAGAGAAATCCCACAAGCGTTGAATGTTTCGATTTGGCACAATCAAATAGTGAACACAGTCGACATTGGTTTTTTAAAGGTGAATTAATTATTGATGGAAAGAAAAAAAATGAAAGTCTTCTGGACATGATAATTGAAACGCAAAATACATCAAATCTTAACAATGTCATTAAATTCAGTGACAATAGTAGTGCTATAGAAGGATACGATGTTGTTACTCTGTGTCCTGAAAAACCAGATGCTCCGAGTAGTTTCTTTTTAAAAAAATTAAAGCAACATCTAATTTTCACAGCAGAAACTCATAATTTTCCAACTGGAGTTGCACCGTTCAGGTAATTTTACTTTTATTATAAACAAATCTCAAATAATATAAAACTTTATTTAATCAAAATTATCTAAATCAAACATTCATTTGTTCTTAATTGAATTGGATTACATATTTTAATTATCATTTAGGATAATTTTTATTTGACATATTATTGTATTCTTTATCCTTGTCTGTATGTTGATTTTTTATTATAGTGGAGCTACGACAGGTACTGGTGGACGATTAAGAGATATTCAAGGAATAGGTCGAGGAGGTAACTTCATTGCGGGAACTGCTGGGTATTCTGTTGGAAACTTACATATTCCGGGTAGGTAACAAAAGATGAAACTTTCTAGCTTTTATTTGGCTTAATTTTGTTTAATATATATTTATATAAAAATTGCCGTCCGTTATAGTCGGACAATGAAAATTCACTAAATGTGCTTTTATACCTTCTTGGTTTTTGACGAGTGATAAATTTTGTAACACACTTCGCGAGACTTTAGATATTTTAAATTAAATAGAAAGTGGGGGTTCTGCTCGCAATAGCCGATACAAATAAATTGAGCGAAAATCCAAGCGAAATACAAAACTCAAAAAAGGCGATTCGACCTGCGACTCAGTCAAATGAGCAGCTTGCGAGCAATTGATTAGAGACGAGTCCATCCAGATGAGGAATAAAGATCGATTGATCGAACTCATGACATCCTTCGTATATGGCACGATGACACCCCACAGTGTGCCAGGATCGCCGATTTTTGACCAAAAATCCAATTTTTTCACTTTAAATAAGTAGTAAAGAGTTGTCCCGTTGTAATCTATAGTAATTCAAGAATTCATTACATAAATTATATGTAAAAATATTAAAAATTACGTCTTGTACAATTAGTTAAAGTTTGATTTTCAACTTAAAAAAATAATACGTTTCTTTTTGAAATATGTAATATATCTAAAAATTAATGAATTATTTTTAGTTCCATGCTTATTTTTTCTCATCTATAGACATATTTAAGTGAAAAGAGTCAATAACTGGTTTAAAAAAAATAATTTTATTAAAATACAGCGTCATTGTTGTTAACAAATAGCAGATATTTTGAGAATGTACTGACTTTGAATTGATCGTGCCGTTTTGTTCCGCTCAGAATTACAAAAAGTAAGGTATATAATTATTCTTCAGCATATAAACAATAATGCCAATATGCGCCTTTTTGCGCCTTTTCATATTTTTATGAAAAAAAGACAATAGTGCGCATGCCCCACATTGAGCCCATACTGTAATTACATTTTTAATATAAAAAATTAACCAAATTTCATGAAACTTAGTATCCAAGGGTTTTCGGCGTCGCTGATTACGAATCCGGTGTTTTACAAAATTCAAAATGGTGGATCCAATATGGCGGACATCAAATTTAAAAATTGAATCAATTTTTGTGCAACTTGGTATCTAGGGGTTTTCGGGGTCGCTGATTACGAATCTGCAGTCATTTTTTAGAAATTCAAAATGGCGGATCCAATATGGCGGACTTTTTTTAAAAATTCATCGGATTCGCTTGAAAATCGGTACTCGGGGGTTTTCAGGGTCGCTGATCACGAATTCGATGTCAGTTTTTAAAAAGTTAAAATGGTGGATACAGTATGATGATCATACAATTTTTTTATTGAGTTTCTAAAAACTGACTGCAGATTTCAAATCAGCGACACCAAAAACCCTTAAGTAACGATTTTCAAGCCAACCCAATAATTTTTTTTTTAAAAACAGCTATATTTAATCAGCCATTTTAAATTCTTAAAAACTAACTGTAGATTTGTAATCAGCGACCCCGAAAACATAAGGTAGCATACTTGATCGTAGTAAATATCTCCTAGTTTGAAAATTATGATTTTTGGCCAAAAATCGGCGATCCTGGCCCACTGTGCACCCGAATATATGATTCGGTTAACGACCGATCATTGTCGTAGGCTTCAGGCTTACGGCTGGCGCGAGAAATTAGGAAGTAGGGAAACAGCCGGGAACGGCATATTTATCCGAGAAGATAGAAAACGATATGGATTGTTACAATTTTCACGGTCGATTCATCACTAAATTTAAATTTCTCTGGTATAGTGTTCTAAAATTCTTAGTAAAATAAAAAACGGGGAAGGTAAAAAGATTGAGGTAAATTAGCGGTAACAAGAAAATTTATTAGAATATTCTTTTAAATGATAGTCTCAGAGTTTTAAAATAGCAAAACCTTTTTTAAGATCTGAATCTGAGTTCAGGTCACTATCTTCGAATGAATTCTCATCATTCACTGCTTGTAATTTATCTGCTTATAATCAATCTATTTCTTTTTTTGTGTGTATATTTCCATATTTACTGAATGTTCGTTCAGTTGCGGCACTTGTTTCTGGCATACTAAGGACATCAAATGTAATCGACTCTAACTTTGTATCTGAATGATTCCTTTTCCACCAAATTATAGGTGGTAATGTTTTAATTGTATTTTGCAAAAAAGCCGCACTATATGTCCTTTCCTTTTGTTTATAATGAGCGAAATCCGTTAAAACTTCGGTTACCGCGTCACTATTTTCTCTATATAAATAGCTTGCTCTAGTGAGAATTAGTTCCATTCCTAAAGTTTTTTGTGTCCGTGTAAAATTTTCACCGTTGTTTCTCGGGTCCAGGATGTTTGCAGCAAAGTGAATAGCTTGCATTGATGAATCGCTCATTTCTTTTACTTTTTCTCGAAGCGAACTACGAAATTCGCGGAGCATTCGTGGAACACGAGACTGAGATTAAAATTCTGTCCAAAATGTATAAAAAATGATGAAATTGATAGTATTATTGTTATAATCAATAAGTTTTATGCATTTTAAGATGATTATTGTTAAATAATTATAAAAATTTAATGTTTAAATTAATTTCAATCTATTACAATTTATTATCAACATTTGTCGATAAAATCAATACAGCCGCGCTTTTTAGCAGGTAGGTGGCATCACTTTTTTTTATTTTTCTTTTCTGTATTTTTTTATTAAGGGGACTTTCTGGTTTAGAATTGACAAAAAAGGAAGGTTTTAAAACTTTTATTGTAAGAACAGTCTTAAAGAAATTGTAAAAACTATTTTTGGACATTGTAGCACATTGCGTAGAGAAAATTTAAAAAATTTCATAGCTGTAGGTGGCGTCTTCCAAAAGATACCTTTTTTTTGGTACGTTAGATTCCGGGCAACCTGTAATACATAAATTCAAGTTTCAAACGGGAATCTCTTCATAAGGATTTATTCTTGTGCCTAAATCTCAAAAACGATTTTTTTAAAAGTTTTTTTATTTTTTATGTACATTTTTCTCAAAAACTCGCAAAAACGCCGTGTTTTTGGGTCAATTTACCTCCATATAAAAACACAGGGGGTAGAAATATGAGTTTTTAGAGGTTTAGGCACCAGTTTTTTAAATAAAGAATCGAAAATTTTTTGGGATTTCAAAATCGGTTTGGTAGATTTCGAGAAAAGCTCTGTACCAGTTTGAAAAATGAGTTTTCGAGAAAAACGCGTTCAAAGTTTTCATAACATAATTCATTGAGTCATGAATATCAAACAACTTTTTAATACAACAGAACTTCGTATCCCGCTGTTTTTGGGGTCGCTGATTACGAATTTGATGTCCGTTTTGAAAAATCCAAAATGGCGGATCCAATATGGCGGACGAAAAAATAAAAATTCAACCGGATTTGCTTAAAACTTGTTACTCGGGGGTTTTTGGGGTCGCTGATTACGAATTTGATGTCCGTTTTTGAAAATTCAAAATGTCGGATCCAATATGGCGGACGATAAAATAAAAATTCAACCGGATTTGCTTAAAACTTGCTACTCGGGGGTTTTTGGGGTCGCTGATTACGAATTTGATGTCAGTTTCTGTATATGTATTTAAAACGTTCCTAGAACGTTAATGTTTTGTGCCTATAGTCATAACTAGCAATCTCAAAAGGCCACAAGTAACCATTTTCAACTAAATTTAATTAATTTCTAAAATCTTTGTCCGCCATATTAGACCCGCCATTTTGTGTTTTCAAAAACTGACATCAAATTCGTAATCAGCGACCCCAAAAACCCCCGAGTAACAAGTTTTAAGCAAATTCGGTTGAATTTTTATTTTTTCGTCCGCCATATTGGATCCGCCATTTTGTATTTTCAAAAACTGACATCAAATTCGTAATCAGCGACCCCAAAAACCCTCGAGTAACATGTTTCAAGCTAAATATCAATATAAGAGGAACACCAAATATGTAAATAAGATAACTGTAGATTGTTGTTGAAATACATACCGTCATAAATATTGCTATAACTTTTGTTTTTGTACATATTTTTTAAAAAACGTTTTGGGACAGTAATTCTATGATACTATGGAACATTTTTAAGCAAAAAAAGTCGATTTTTTTGAAATTCTAAACCAGAAAGTCCCCTTAAAAGTAAAACTCGTTATTTATTAACAGCATGTGGGAGAAACCCACGTGACCTAGTTTGGAAAAATGTGTTTTGCAATATTCCAACTTTCTCTAAAATGAAAAAAGATTTTAGGCTAAAATTTAGAGGGTTGATAGATTTGGGTACAATGCACCGCGCTGTTCCCCTGAAAAAACTTAATTTTGTGTTAAATTATTTAAAAACTAAGTTTAAAAAGTTTAATTTTTAAATGAAAATGATAACAAAGAGGCGGCGCATACACAGACGTTGCTTGAGTGTGTCAGTGCTCCAGTAAACAGCGACAATTCGAGCGAGTGGTTGCTGAGTGACTTATGATATAATACATTACACGAATTTTTAAAAAGTAGTTGGATTTTTACGAAAATTGGTATCTAGGGGTTTTGGGAGTCGCTGATTACAAATTTATCGTCAGATTATTCAAATTCAAAATGGCGGATCCAATATGGCGGACGAGTTTTTTAAAAATAGTTGAATTTTTATGTAACTTGTCCGATACTGGGGTTCCGAGTCCCTGCATCGTAATACGTTTCCTACGTGTGTCTGCCATGACGGCATCAAAGCCATTATCCAGGGACTTAGACGGATAGCGGACAAACTCCGTTGCCCACCGTCACCGCGCACAGTGGGAAAAAAATGACCCTCTGTGGACAAAAATCTACCGACAACACAAATCTTAATCGATTTTAATATGTTTTTTTTTTAAAATACTCGGAGAGGTTTTTCCTGTAACGCACAACTGCGATAAATTTGATTTATTTCAAACTAACCTTAAAAATGATACCTATATATAAAATTACGTTATTAGGATGGTTTAAAAAATAAAAAAATGATTAATTTTGATATAGCAGAGAGTATTGTGAACCC